AGCGTGGACAAAACAATTGCCATATTGTTAGAAGAGCGATAGGTTGCGAGATTTTCATCCATGTTCGCATCCAGCATTGTCTGAAAGGGGGGTAGACACAGGGTGGAAGCGCTGTCCAAACTTGGTTTGTTGGTTTGGGTTGTTTTAACGCGCAATTGTAATAAATATAGATGTCAAGCTATTACAGAAAGTTCTGTAACTTTCTAGATCCTTCTGCCAAATGACAAAACCTGAAATACTTGCAAAATTATGCAAATGCGAGGGAAAACGTGACATTACTATTGCGCCAGGTGTTCTTCTTTTCACTGTCCAGCGAGGAAATGGATGTGCTTTTGGGGCAACTCCACATTTTGCGTGGACAGCGCTTCCACCCTGTGTTAGAGGATTTCAAATTATAAATTTTCTCTCTGATGTGATAGAGGGTGGGAGTTTCTAATGTTGGAATGGGGCCTTGTTGGTTTGTTTATCAAGATTCACTGCCAGCAGCCGCAAAACAATTGCATATAAATGCATACAACTGAAAAACGGTTTCAAAACAAACCAGTTGCATCTTGCACATCTTGCACAAAGACCCGCAGTACAGAAAAAGTGACTGGGTGAGTTTAGTTTTTATGGCGCTTAAGCAATATTCCCGATATATTATGGCGGGGCACATGCACCAGAAAATTATGCTTTTACACAGTGTACGCTATAAGTGAGTGAGTATGGTTTTACGCCGCTTTTTAGCAATATTCCAGCAATATCACGGCGGGGGACACCAGAAATGGGCTTCACACATTGTACCCATGTGGGGAATCGAACCCGGGTCTTCGGCGTGACGAGCGAACGCTTTAACCACCAGGCTACCCCACCGCCCCGTGTACACTATAACCACAAGGTTCTACCACCGCCGCTTTTTAAGAAAAAATCTGCGAACATCACGTTGCAAAATCACGTTGTCGGCTTGTTTTAAACAATCCATTATATTTGATTTTTCAAAACGAGGGGGTCTGAACACACACCCATCCGCGCGCATCCATATCTGTGGACCACACATCACAAAATCAGTTATTGCTGGACTAGTGTTATAAATAAAAGGAAGATATTTTCTTGGGAAGTAGTGGCCAATATGTGTGGATGGCTATACAGGGGTGAGAAGTAGCAGCGAGAGCATATTACACAATCACTTCTCCGCTGTGACCAAGCAGACGAGGTGAGCATAGCGAGCGAATGAATTCCACCTACTGTAAAGCAGGCTGGAATTATGATTCTGGGGTTTCCGCTGTGATAGCGGACAACCAGCAGCATAGCGATTGAGAGCTTCTCGCCCCAAACAGGCCACCGCGATACAAATCGCCGGCCATCCACAGCACGATATAGGTATTAGACAACAGTGGATACACGAACAGCAGAAACAACCCCAAATTAGCGGAAAATTATGGAACGCGTGTGCTCACTTATTGCCGTTTTATTAGCATTATCTGAGTTAGTTGGCAGTTAAAGCATTGATAATATTGTGCACGAAAGAGTCCATTGCACTGAGTGACAGGTGCACCCCGTCAGCCAAGTAATGTTCCGAGCTACATTTGACTGGATCAATCTGATCGTGGCGGACGCTGATCCCATGTAGCTCTTCAATTCTGTTAGCCAGTCTTCGAATGAGCTTTTTGCGAGAAAATTCAAGCTTTTTAATGTTCCCAACCACCGGCCACACAACACGTGGCAACATGAACGACCACACCAACCTGGTGTCTGGCAGACGTACCTTGGCATACAGCAAATCGTATAGGATGTCGTCGTACATGCACCTGGCAGACATTTGGCACATGTCGTTTGAACCTAAATGGATCACGAGCCATTTGGGGTGGTGTTACCCGCAGAAGCCAAGAAGGGAAGATCGGAAGTGGCGCCATCGCATAACGCCTCGGACTTGCCATCATGTAGTGCCAAGACATTGCAAATGTTGCTCCAAGCTTCCCCTCGTTCTGGCCATGTAGCTGTCGCCAATTACCCAGGCCACATCTGTAACATAGATCGGACAGCAGAAAAATTGCTACAACAACGTAATTAATAGAAGCCAAGCTAGTAAATATTAACTAGATTAAGTTAATTATTTGTGGGTGTTTTATTAGAACCTAATATAGCCTTAGTATGCGCGAGATGACCATCTACCATAATGCTGAATTATATTTTCATCCAAACCATTAATCGCCGCAGTTGTAGCAGCGCCTATCCTGAAAGCATGTGAGGTATACTGGGTCACGTCATAACCGACATGTAATAGCGACTTATTGAGAATCGCCTGAAATTGATAGCGCGTTAATGGCGAGCCATCAAAATGGACAAACAGCTGTGAGGTAGAGCATGGTCTGGACGCGAGATACCCAGCGAGCGCGCTAACAGGGCATAGTTCTGAGACAATAGGAGAAATTGAAAGAAGTGTTCCTCTACCGAACTGGTCAGTTTTCGAAAACCTTATGCGCAATGTTAATCCCCGGTCGGAAGTGAAACAGCATTAATTTGCAGTGAAGTTTTTGAATTATCGGCCTGTGAACTGCAAACCAACTCGCTAACCCTAAGGAAACCAAAAAAGGCTAAGGTAAATGCTGATTTAAACATCTGAGCTTCGTAAGAAGAGCGACAGATAACAGGCAAAGCATTGACGATTCGCTGAAGAATCGGAAAAATGTTGGAGACATTATAGTGCCGTGTAATATGTGCGTCCTGTGTTGCGAGACAAAAGAGGACGAGATTAGTCTACGAGATTCTGTCATACAATCTCCCAAATGTCTTTTGGTAAGCTGGTCTGTGTCGGGTCTGCGTCTGGAGCCACTTGTTGAAACCTCTGCCACTGAAAACGCGAAAGAGCGTCAGCTATAGCGTTATTATGCGTGCCAATATTATGTTGTGCTGCAAGGAGAGTAAGACTAAGCACCCAAGTAGCGCCATGACATTCTTGTTTTTTGGATGATTGCTTGTTGGTGATATGTACGACTGCTTGGTTGTCACATGTGAACATAACTTTTTTGTTGCTCAAACAATTTCCCCACATTGTTAACGCTACCACAATAGGAAATAATTCAAGGAGTGTCATATCCTTGGTATAGCCTTTTGTATCCATGTTTGAGGCCAGGACGCACATGTCCAGCTGCCCTGGAAATACGCCCCGAAGCCGTGTGTGCTGGATGCATCCGTGAAGAGCTGTAAGCGTTGACCAAATAGAATCATGAAACACAGATACACCATTGTAGTGCTGCAGGAACTGTAACCATACTTGCAGGTCTTGTTTCATACCGTTAGTGAGTCTTATTTGATGATTGGGATGGACTTTTCCGCAAAGGGCATCAGTCAAGCGTCTACAAAAGGCCCTCCCCGCACCTAACTGCGCGACACACAAAATACAGCTCGCCTAACAGGGATTGTAACTGATGAACTTTCAGTTTACGCTTTTGTGACTGCAGTAAGGTGACAATTTCCTGACACAACTGATTGATTTTTTCTGGTGGTATTCTAATCTCCATAGAAACGGTCTCTTTGGTTATGCCCAGGGAAATTGATGGTCTTGGTTGGTTGAACTGTTTTTTCTTGTGCTATGGGAATACCGAATTGTTGAAAAAGCTGAATGCTTGAATTTAACAGGTATTTACATTTACCTGATTGGGCGCGACCTCCCATTAGGAAATCATCTAGATAGTGCATGATGGATGTACTGTTGGTGTATTTGGTTATGCACCACTGCAAGAAACGGCTAAATGTTTCGAACAAGGCGCATGATATAGAACAGCCGAAAGGGAGACATTTGTCAAAATAATAACTTCCCTGAAAGTACATACCTAACAGGTGGAAATCCTCCGGACGCACTGGGAGCAAACGGAAGACTGACTTAACATCGAATTTTGCTAAACGCTGAACTAAACTTACCGCCTCACCGAACCGTGTGTACTGAACAGAGCAAAATTCCGCGGGAATTCCATCGTTGACGGACGATCCCCGGGGATGGGAGAGATGGTGTATAAGACGGTAGCTATCCGCGATTGTGGAGACATTTGATGTGTCGGATTTCTTTTTGACTAAACCAACGGGAGATACCTTGAGGTTTTGAATCAGGCGTGAGGGGAAAGGTCCGGCAATGCGACCAAGAGAGAGATTCTTTCTGTAGCTTTATACTTACAATATGAGGAAGTTGCCTCGCTGATCTAAGGTTGGGAGCGTCGTTAGGAATGAACGAATCAATATTCAATATCTATACAAATTAGATTGATAAAATTATATTGAATGATCCGTTATGCTGAAAATATTATGTGCAGATTTCACTAAATTGTTACCGTGAAGATCAGGGCTAGAATTGATCTTCAGTAATCAATGCATGTTGTAAGAGCTAGGCGACTGACGGGATCGGGTGGTCAGGCTCGCTGACTTGGTTGACACATGTTATCGTATTCCATTTGTGCTGATCGATGCTCATGTTGTTCATCACTGGATTGTCTGGTCCTGACTCGATTATTTACTGACCGTCGCCATATAGCTGGAATATTGCTGAGTGCGGCGTAAAACTAAACTCACTCACTCACGAAATTGTTATGTGTTGCAAATCAATTCATATTTACATAAGTATATATGTATGCGATGTTTAGTAATTTCATCATTGCTTTGGGTTTATACAGTATTTCCAGCGGTGCAATGTCCCTCTGTGCTGCTAACTTTAAACGAGTTTTAGTTTGTCAAGACCCTGCACAAAGCAATAGGCTAGAAATTCTGCTCAGTTTTCCGTGTAGGAACCCATTCTTGTGGTATGAGGTTTTATTACACACAGCCAATACTGTCTGTCTTTCATATCTGTCATTCTAGACCATTCGATAGTATAATCAATAACGGAAATATGAATTACAAAAAAATATATCAATGCTTTGTGAATCGTGATACGTATAGTAGCCGGTTTGACTTTTATATGGCCGTTTTGATTAGTACCCAATTCGGCTCATCCCAGTCAAACCTTCTTTTCATGACCAATAACTGTAATATTCCGAGCCAAGCCGCATGCAAGCCACATAGGGACGAATGGTGACCAACTTATAGTCTCATATTCAGTGGAATAGGACGAGTAGAACCGAATGAGCAGTGGCTAAATATACCACCCGGCTCCGTTTTGAGTCCATCAAGATTACGTCCCTTTGCACGCATGGCGCCGAGGTGCAAAGACTGACGATCGGTATTTGAACTAACACTTTAGCAATGTTTCGACGCTCAGGCACGGCTGAAGTTTTGCGGTCGCATCAAAAAGATGATTATCACTTGTCATACCTGAGGACATCTGTTGCCGATCTTGTTCAGACAATTGCAGGTAATTTCGCACACACTCAGTGGGACACTGACACAGACAACATAACATTAGAGTTCGGCTAAACCTAGCCGAGAGCCGCGATGAGGTCCTATACAGTCAAGACATGACCCTGCATCATGTCTTGACTGTATAGGACCGCATCGCGTCTCTCGACTAGGCTAAACCTCGCTAAGTTACAGTAGTCTCTGCCTAATGAAACTCAGCAATGTATCACAGGTAGTTCTAATGCCTCATCATAAGATGAAATGCGTTATAACATTTTTACAGAGCTCCTGTCATAAATGTTTAATTCAATCATGTCTGATTCTCATTAAGGCTTGCAAATCACGTATTGTTTTGATCCAGTGAAGCGTATGTAAAATCACCATTTCTACCCTAATATATAACACTCTCGGTAGATCTACACATCTTTTGAAATATTGTCAATGTTGGGTGGATGTTTGTTTCTTTCATAAGTTTCTCCTTTCAAATGTAAACGAGCAGAGGTAACACACGTTCAAATGTACGTTATGAAACACATGTTTGTGATCGCCAGGCTACAGATCGACAGCTGATTTGAATATAAACAATATATTGTATAGTTTGGCATGAAATGCATGTGGACCCGTTTTTTTGTAAATATCTCTTCATCCAATGACCCAATCGATCTCAAACTGTGCAAGTGGATGTTTTGTCAGACAACCTAATCACATTGTAAATCACCGATTTCATGCATTTGTATTAAAGAATCTGTCTATGTAACTGTCAACAAAATAAACAGCAGAACGCAGACGGCTTGCAGAGGGAGGGAGCCAATGACCTGTAACAGCTACATAGACACATTCTTTAATACAAATGCATGAAATCGGTGATTTACAATGTGATTAGGTTGTCTGACAAAACATCCACTTGCACAGTTTGAGATCGATTGGGTCATTGGATGAAGAGATATTTACAAAAAAACAGGTCCACATGCATTTCATGCCAAACTATAGCAGTAGTACATGTTTTTAGTTACTAGGCTTTCGTAAAGTAGGTTTAATTTTATTTATGCAGCGATATGTCTTAGGTTTCAGACTAAGTGCTTTTGTTTGACAAATTAGTAACAATATCTTATTGTTGTGAAAACTTTGATGTCTTTAAATGTTCGTAGTTTTGTACACTCTAATAAAGTGGGAAAATTTTAGTCAAATTCGAAATTTTCCTAACATTTGCAGCAGATTTGGGGCTGAATATCAGCTTCTTTGCAGGTCAAGATAAACCCATCATATAACATCAAGATATTGAAAACACATGCAGTGCGATTTAGGTTTTCATATTGTGTATATATATATGTTTATATTTAACAGTGACTTGGTATCATATTGGGATGGCATTATAAAACTGGCATAAGTCAAGACAAGCAGCCGGTATCCATATAAATACACATAAATATAGAGGAAAATATCGTCTTAGAATGTGATGTTATACCCCATTTCACCTACTTTACCTTGAAGTTTGTGTTTGTTCCAGGGGCTCGGAGATGGATGCACTGGAGGAAGGAACTAGACCTCCTCTCGGACATCGGCTACTTCATGCTCACAACTCTCTCAGGTAAAACAAGAACTTAAGCAGTTTGTTAAAAAGTCATATTTCTGTAAATATAAGTAACCTATCACCGAGGTTATGATAAGGACCCTTTCATACTCATGAATTTCAAACACCCATTTAGAATAGAACAATTGCCATTTTATGTCAGAAAGTTTACTATGAAAATACTTTTTCCGTCAGCTCACATAATACCATGTTAGCACTCAGAAAAACCCTTGTGTTTCCACAATGCTCATGCTGTTGATCACTGAACTGTCTGGTCCAGACTCGATCATTTACAGACTGCCATAATATAGCTGGAATATTGCTGAGTTCAGTGTTAAACAACAACCAACCATCCATGATGTGATCAGTGACATAAACTAACGAATGTTATGGCTTCACTCTTGCTTGACAACGGTACAAGAATCTGTATCGAAACGTCGCACTCACCAAAATAAAGAAGTTGTTATCCATAAAACTTGTTATATATTGTACGTCTCAACTTCTAAAATGCCACTCAAACAAGTTATGGCTTGTATTTCACTGAATATATATCCAAAAGGCTTCAATACTTTGGGTTTTTTTAAATTCAGTGTTAATATTTTCTGAAATTTTAACAAGATATCGCCTTTTCCCAAATTGACGTACAGTCAAATCCCGATAAGTCGAATGCCGGTGTCTCGAATATTATGCATAACTCGAAGTACCTGTCGGTCCCGACCATTCCCTGTTATAGTTGTCATTATTTGATTTCTGGTTACACGAATTCGTCTCATAAATACACACGATGACTCAAGAAGAAAATTTGGTCCCATGAGATTCAAACAACAGCAATCTTGTATACATAAGCTGAAGTCAGTCAATGAGAAGTTGATTGGTGTAGCTAACTGATCCAATTTACAAACCAGCGTGACTCACACCTTTCCGCCATTGACGGGTGAGTTCAAAAGGCAGATTAGTGATTTTACGGAAATCACTGTCTGCGCTTATCAGACTGGAACTGATAAGGCGCCCCTATTAGTGATAGGGAAATCATTAGATAAACAAATGCTTAGGCGGAGGAATTAGGTTCCTTTTTTTCTACCCTCATAGACATACCTATGTCTCGAATACATCGATACATCAAATTTATTACTTGGTCCCCAGAGATTCGACTCATCGAGATTTGACTGTATGTTGTTGTGGACTGTCTGTCATTTTGTTTCTAAAGGCTGCCAGACTGTGGGTGAGGAGTATGTGAACATCATCCAGACTGACCGGACTCTGCGTTCCCTGCCAGCACAGTGGGTGAGAACAGCTAGAAATATCAGTGCTTTTGGGCACTTGTGCCATGATCTGATTTATTGTCAGAATACATACAGAGTTTACCGGTAGTTATGTCATCCAATTGGATAAAATAAGCAAACTAAATCATGATACCCAATAAATTTTGATATGCTTGCTTTCACTACGGATGATCAGATTTCCAAAACAAGATCCTAGTCTTTGAACAGCATTTTGTGATACACTTAAGGCGAGATTTGTTTGGGATGTTTAACTTCCTATTTTGTGGAACATGTTTAAGAGCATATATTTACTCCTTCATCGGGTAAATGGAAAACGTTAAGAAACAGATGGCTATATAAGTACATGTAAAACAGCACTGTTCAGTGTAAGGTGCTTGTCACAAACAGAACAAAAAGATTTGGTTACAAAAATTTATTAACCCAAACCCTCAACTATACATGACAAAACACACTATCATACACACATTCATTCTTTTCAAAACATTGACATATGCAGTACAGGGGTGGAAATAACTTTAAAATTGCTAGTGTACTCCGGTACAGTGGCACATGTAAAATCACTTGCCCTGATAATTTTTCCACTATACCGTCCGTTTTCTTGTTGATATTTTAAATAAACAACATACTTAACATTGGAAAGTCAACTGAACACCGGTACAGTGTGATATACAAATTTGCTTGCCCGACAGAAAAAAACACTGGACTCGGACGTCGGGCAATGGGTTATTACCACCCCTGCAGTACCACGTGTGTCTCACATGTAACTCACACTCAGTTACCCCAGCTTTGCCTTCCTCATCCCAATATACTCAAACTATGATGCACACTTAATAACCTGCACACAGCCCCTCCATCACTAATCACAACACCTTCACATCGGCAGTCATACGATCATAACTGATATCGGGTACAATCTATAGTGATACAACTGCAGGTTACTATGGCAACAAGACAAGTAACTGGTTAATATGGCAACAGAATAACAGTGTTCGTGTTTGGCATCAATGCCTGACCTCTGTCAGTACGAGCCCACAGTTCACATACACCATCCCAGGTCACTGGCGTTGTTAGCCGTCCTCAGTAGTTCCACTGTCCGACTCGTCAGCCAGCCTACAATAGCCACTACTCCAACCTTGACAATTTCTCCTGGTGATCTTCACGCTTGCCCTCTGGTCATAGCACATCACCCTCTTAGAAAATATCAAGTTAAACAGTCCAACATTGACAAACCATAGGTCTTCACGACTGGCTCTCAGTAACACCATATCCTGGATGCTTAAATACAAACCACTTGTATTTAATAATATGTACTAGGTTTATATATTAATGCCATTTCAATAACACTATTATTTTTACCTCTTAATACAATTTAATACCCGTACAACTATCCCACAAATAATACATTTCTTATTCAAATAGTAAACTCACATTTCCACAAAATGTCATTAGAAGTGCAATACAAAACAGCCAATATTCAAATAATTCACACACTTCCAAAGAACTAATATTCAAAAAGCAATGCAAAAATACACTCATGCCACTGAAATACACGTCTGAAGCTTTCACAACTACATTTGCTGGGTATCTCCCTCTCACCCCAAACCGTCACACTTGTTAACTCCCTGATCGTGCATGAAAATCACGCACTCCTTCGCAGCCAGTTGCGTTCCCGTGCCCCGTTCTCCCACCGTAAACACACAAAGGAGCAGATCGTGACAATGCTCTTGTTGACTGTTGAGAGCAGTTAGTCTCAAGTTTATTGTTTGTTAAGCTCATGTTTATCATCACTCAGACACAACCATATGTTATATTGTTTTCACAGCGAAGAGTTCTCATGGTATTGCTTCAAGTGGTTGCCCCATACACTCCAGAAAAGCCTAGAAAATCTGGAGAAGAATCTGCGAAGCACTTCGTCACCTAACATGTCTCCAAAGATGAGAGAGTTCCTCATTGAATCCCTGCCCACATTCCGTCACGTCATCCTGGTCCTCCACAGATGTCACTTGGCGATCTTCTACCTGGAGGGGATGTTCTATCAGCTGGCCAAACGTGCCAGTGGGATACACTATGTAAGTGGTCAATGGGAGATAAGTCAGTGTGTCATGTAAGGGAGATAACTTTGGAATAACCTTTATGAGTGATATTAGGGAGAAAACAATGGAGGACATGGTGATTTACATTCTCTTCCCACAGAGGTTACTCAAGTCATATCTTCCATGGTACGCACTGCCTCTGTTTTGGGATACAGCCCTTTCATGGTGAGATTGTTCAGGATTATCTCAGTGGGTGATTGGTTGCGATCAGATTTGGTTGTGCAATCAGCGACGTTGTTTCAAAAGTGATTATTCTGTAAGGCCTCTGGTAATTTCAGGATTTGTGATGCTTCGGGAAAACTTGAACCTCTTCCCTTGCGCGATGCGCAAACGTTTCTTCTAGACAGAACACAGTTATGTAATGGCGGATCAATGGCGTCTACATCGCCCGTGTTGACAACAGTCTAGCTAGCCATTAAATGTCTTCTGTGTCACATCAACACAAGTCCCTGGCAGAGGAGGGATATTTGTGGCCCTACATTTGCTTGTATTAGTCAAGTTGGATCCAAGTCGATGTAACGTGTTCTGATTGGATGGAAAGAAGGGAGATAATTTGTGTTGCGTTTCTTTGCTGCTGGGGGATTTTACGAGAACCAGGAAGTATGGCCGTATTAGAACAGAGGTTCGAAGAAAGAAATGACAAGTAACCTCTGTGGGAAGAGAATGGGTGATTTAAGGAAACATAACTTTAGGAAATAAAGTTTATGTAAGGGAGATAACCTATCCTTATTGTTTTGTTTGATGAAAGAATGTGTCTTGTTACTAATATACCGTAGAGGTTAGAATGATAATGATTTTCTGAGAAATAGTGTTGACTTTTTAGCACATGTGCTGTGGTATCAAACAGCTAGCAGGCATATTCTGATTAACTTATCTTACATGGCTTCAATAGCATGCATCTTTGTAGTCAAACTGTTGTGTCTTCTTTATCATGTATTCTCACACCAATAGCAAAGTTTGAAGCTTGTTGAGGTGTTGGGTAGCCCAGTAGTTGAAGTCTTGGCTGAGGACTTGCATTCCCCTTTTGGGTACAATGTGTGTAGCCTATCTTGATATTGCTGGCATATTGCTAAAAGCAGCTTAAAACCTCACTCACTCATTCACTCATTGCTAAAATATTGCTAAAAGAAACGTAATGACATACACACTCTCTCACTCGCTCACTCAAGGTGGTCCTACAGTATTTGTTGTTTGTTCAGGTTCAGTACATGGCCAAGAAAACTGACATCGGCACAGACCCCACATTCCGCATCCTGGGATGGGTGTCACTGCTGCAGCTGGCCGGCAGTGTGGGGGTGCAGCTGTACTGTCTGTGGAGGAACACACCTAACACAACTCTCTCAGACCGACACAGCAGGTGATTTCTGATACCCTACACTCTCCTCGCAAGAAGCCTTGGAAGTTTGATTATTTTAAGACGAGTTCAGGGTAATGGTGATCCGATTAATTGAAATAATCGAAGATTGGTCGCAGTGACTAAACGACCAAGCAATCGATCATGTTTTCTCATAATCGAACACAAACAATTCTGGAACACTTGTTTTCATTAACAATATTTTTCACAAGGTTGGTTTTGTCTGTTACATTTCATAAGCACCACAAGCGTTCCAAGTCATGATTGTATTTATTTTAAAGACACCAAGAAATTTATGTTCTTAACATACTAGTCATCCTTTAAAGATGTGAAATTTGTTTTTCCTTGTTTTTTGTGCATTAACAAATTTCATAAATGACGCTAACCAATTATTTTCGATGGTTGATCGGTGGTAATGAACCAATCATCAATTATGAGATTTTGAACAATTCCCAACACTAGTTCAGGGGACTAGTTGAGATGTTGACTGACGTCATGGGAGTCTCTTCTCCTGCTTGACTAAGCCCATGATATGGGTTAGAATCAGTGTTCGAAATAGCTGCTGGGACGCTGACCAAATGCTAGCTGATGGTGAATCGGGCCAGTAATATATTTTAAAGCTGTCCCGATTGGCTAGTTGAAAATCTAAAAAAACTTGTTTTTATTTAATGCACCTGAATAAGTCAGTTATTAAGGTGTTAAAAGTAAATCTGCAAAAGTTCCATGATATTTATTATCTCTTGTCACACCAAGATCACTATATAAAAAATGTTAATAAAAGAGCAAAAGAGGTTAAAACTATTACAATACGAATGTAACGTTTAACTTGATAGCATTTTGATATTGATATTAATATTTTCCAGGGCTAGTGAAGTATGATGTGGGCTAGGAACATTTTTACTTAACTAGCCCTCCTGGCCAGTGACTTTTCAATATTAATTCACACACTGGTTAGAATTTGTTTTCAGCAACCCATGCTTGTCGTAAAGAGGTTTCAAACGGGATCGGGTGGTCAGGCTCGCTGACTTGGTTCATGTCATCGTATCCCAGTTGTGTAGAGTGATGCTCATGATGTCGATCACTGGACTGCTTCCTCCAGACCCCTGCCATGTAGCTGAAAAAATGCTGAGTGTGGCTTAAACAACAAACAAAAACAAAAATACTGCTTGAGATAAAATTGTCCATGTAAATTTTTTCAAGGTTGCCCAAGTCTGAACACCAGCATTCCAGATTAGACTATGGCAGAATTTACTTATTTTAAAAGTTGAATCAAGATTGACTATCAACTGAAACAAAAAGTAAGGGTACATGTCAAAAGTATGATTGATTACACAAAAATGAACTGAGACATTTGTTATAAGGATATTTTCAAAATATTCTCGAATAAAGATGATTTGTTCATAAGGTAATCTTTTCTTAAGCACCTTATAATATTATTTTTTAATCTGGCACTGCAATTATGTTCACAAAATCGATCTTATTTCAGATTGAAATTTCATTATTATTTTTGGGGTTTTCTTTTCAAGTTTTTAACTGCAGATTTTTTTGCAGAATCTTGAAAAGTGGGATGTAGAATTTACTTAAAATTGCCACGGAATTCTTTAAAATTCCCAGCGCAATCCAGGAGGTACTGATGGGTGATAGAATGTATTAGATGGTGCTTGGTGATCAAGTGACAAGGACATGGATCATTGCTTAACCTACCAATCTTTAAAGTCTTTTATCAATACTCCATTGACAGTTTACTTCATTGTCATCATACAGTTTATGAAGCATGTTTTTCCTGTTAATTGTAGCATCTCCTCTGAGGAGGGTGTGTCGGAGTTGGTGACGCCAGACAGGAAGTGTCCTCTGTGTTTGGAGGGGAGACAATTCTCCACAGTAACGCCCTGCGGCCACCTGTTCTGCTGGAAGTGTATTCATGAATGGTGTCAGACCAAGGTATTGTTCTGTGATTTAGGTCCCTGAGTACTGTATAAAATGTAACTTGTCTTCTATTTGTTTGCTGTTTTATGCTGCAATCAGTAATATTACAGCTATATGGCGCCGGTGTGTAAGTAATCAAATCTGGACCAGACAATCCAGTGATTGATAGGGCTGCGTAATATAACCGGTTTAGGCATGAGAACGATACGTATTGCGATACGCTGATTGAAAACCGGTATTTTGACATGCATTCGGAAAACTTCATAACACTCGGAAATCTTCAGATATTTCTGTTTTTTTAATTTGTTCCTTTCCTTGTTTCATTTGTTCCAAACATTATTTGCTTTTTTATTTTGTCATGATTTAATTTTTTTATTAATGCCTAATCAAGTGATTTTTTTGTGTGTTTTTGCTTTGTAAATCAAGCATTAACTCGATTATAAGTAGTTTTTTTTAAAAAGAATTCTTGCAATATATTGCAATACATATCGCAATATATGCTTTCGCATCGCAATATATCGCAAATATGAAAATTTTCGGAAATACCCACCCCTAGTGATTGACATCACAAGCGTCGATCTACACAACTGGGATACGAATATATGCATCAACCACATAAGCATGCCTGACCACACGATCCCGTTAGCCGCCTCTTGGTTGCTAAAGATAAGTTCTAACCCAGGTCTTCACACGTATCACTTGTAGAGTTTGAATACATTCCCAGATACCTGTTCAGGTTGTACCAGGTGCTTTACTGAATCAGGTGGACAGACTGTGACTTACCGTAGTCGTTTTTGTGTGTTGTCTGGAGAAGTGGTTCATTGCTCAAAATATCAGTTCCTGGTTTGTCTAGGATTGATAAGATGCAGGTTGTAGTTACATAGCTAGAATGTGACAGATTGTGACAATGAAAATAGGGTTCGACCTGTTATTACTAAAACAGGGCTCCAGATAATCTTTCGACATCAGGAGTATGTACTCCTTATTTTTTCAATATAGGAGTACTGGAAAAACTTAAGAGTACATTTAGAGTACTGAATGGAATTTAATGGCGGTAATCTTGTATTCTATTTCATGTATGCACCACAACATTGCTGCTCTTGTGTAAACAGGCCAATAAACAATAAAACAATACTCTTTCAGATAAATTTGTGTGTAAATGATTCTAAGACCGTATACCATTGCTGTGGTGCGTATCTGCCACGTTTTCTAAATTATTTCCTATATTTTTTATCCGTACATACGCTGATATACGGCCCTTATCTGGAGCCCTGCTAAAAGCAGTATTAACCTTGTGTTCTTGTGTTGCAGGCTGAGTGCCCACTGTGCAGAGACCAGTTCCCTCCACACCGCCTCGTGTACCTCCATAACTATGACACATCGTGACATTCCTCCATAACTATGACCAATTGTAGGTACGATGGCAGAGATCCATTTACCTTCTCAAATGGTGTTGTCTGAGAATGGTGAAGGACATGTGTGTGGCCAATCTGTAGTCTTCAGGAGAGCACAGTTTGCCAAGATCTGTGATATCCAGCGGGGCTTGGTGTGTTGGAAGAGATTGTGGAATTCAGCAGGATGCAATGAGATGACCAAGATCCAAGATCTCCAGCAACTGTTGATGGTGGAGATTGTGTTCTCTGTGACAATGATGGTGAAGCTACCAGTGATGGAGAAGGGCGGCCTGCAAGCCAAGTTAATATTTTACACTTGTACTACAAACAGATGTTTTCTGTCAGTGCTGGTTAGGTGCCTTGAGTGCTGTAGTTGATGCAACAGATTTACCTGAACACGCATACATCCGCACACAACATACACACACATTCATATACATGCACGCTTCATGCAGCAGAAACAGATTTATCCGGTTTGCCTTATTAGTGCCTCCATGAACTGCTACCACTATTGTGTATATGGCACACACCACACAATTATATGGCACTCATGTACACGTTCACACACACAAACATATTTCCATAAATAATATGGGCAAACTGTGTGTTTGTGTCTGTCTGTCTGTCTGTCTGTCCATGAACTGTTATCACTATCAACTACATGGCACACACCACATAATTATATGGCACTCATGTACACGTTCACACACACAAACATATTTCCGTGAATAATATGGGCCATGTGTGTGTCTGTGTGCCTGTCTGTCCATAAACTGCTACCACTATTGTCTATATGGCACACACCACACAATTATATGGCACTCATGTACTCGAAAATCAATCAAAAGAAGCATTTCATATAATTATTGATTGTAAGAAACATATTTTCGATTAATCAGAATTTTGTTGTTTTAATAAAACTAACCATTAAATTTGATGAATATTTACGAAGAAACATGCGCTCAACAGCGTAAAGCTATCTGCAATTATAAGTGTATTCATGATTTCGTATTCATCACTACAGTAAATATTACTGTAACCTGTCTTTGAATATATTTTACATCTATTGTGAATGTAATGAGATATTCTGATAAATATTTGTTGTATAAATAAACAGAATAATTACACTAACGTTAATTAGAAAAAGCGTTGGGAAAAACCCTTAAAATTGGTGATTACAATAAAAACGTATATATTTTGATTATAATCGATAATCATTCACCACAAGTCCTTGGATAATCGATAGTGGATTTGGTTTGCGATTCCCAACACTAGCTGCAGTATATCAGTCCTTCTATTGTCAATTTTAGGTCTGTGACTGTTACCAGTTTCAATGTTACCCTGTTTGACCAATAGGGTGCATTATTCTGTTGCAGGACATAACCAGGCCTGTGATGTGTTGCATGTGGACCAAGTTGTTACTGTGTGAAAGGTATTGTCATGAAGACATGAATAAATGCGTTTGTAAATATCTGTTATCACATGTTTCTGAAACGGAAAACTTTGAAAATAAATAACTGTGTGAAAGGTATTGTCATGAAGACATGAATAAATGTGTAAATATCTGTTTTCATATGTTTCTGAAACAGAAAACTTTGAAAATAAATTAAAATAAATTATTATTCTGTCTGTATTGTTCTTGTTTCTGTTGAATTGAACAGTCTTTGTCTGGATCATTGTCCATAGTATTTATCACTGGATTGTCTGGTTCTGACCTACTTTAGTGTGGCATCACATTCTATAGAAACAAGTTATGGGAATTCAGACAAGGTGTTTAATAGGGATGACACGATACATGGATGCATCCATACTTTTCTAAGATGATACAATTATGGATACATTCAAAACTGTATTGATATTTAGTTTTGAAAGTATTGGTTTAAATGTTATGTATCGTTTACATTTTGCAATTGTATCATGTTTTTTGATGTTATGAGAGTTATAAATGATTATTTTTCATGCACAAATATGGGAAATTAGAATTTATAATCTCTGAGAATAAAAAATGTTGATCTTTTCATGGACAATAATAAAATATGAAATATTAATGTTCAAAATGTTCAACTAAATTTACGCAATAATGCCAGGAAAATAGGTATCCTGATACTGATACGTATCAAATCGTGACATGGGTATCGTGATACCTATCGAATCGTGACATGGGTATCATGATACGTATCGAATCGTGACATGGGTATCGTGACACGTATCGATTCATGACACTTATGTATCGTGACATCTGTTGAGGTCCAGATAAGGTGTAGAGAGAAAGGTGTGCGTCAGGTTGGGGTTCAGTCAAGGTTTTGGAGTCAAAACAAGCTGTGGCTGGGAACGAAATGTGAGGGTCTAACTGATGGGTTAAGATAAAGGTGAGGGAGGGGGGGATATGGGCGTGGATAGATCACAACTAAATGATTGTATCATCCGTGAAATTGGTGTTTCTTAAAATGACGCACATTATAATACTAAATCGTATGAACAGAGACCATAATTGTTTATGATCTCTGGTCTGAATATCGCAATTGAAACAACTCACTTAATATCGGATGCGAGGATTTCCAGTTCATTTCTGTTTGGGTTTCTCTGGAAGTATGTACACAATTGATTGTGTGACGAAGTTCGTACACTTCATAAAGCCATTATCCCGAAACTATGGTTGCACAGGTTTTGATGAAATATGTTATAAAGAGTGTCAGTAGTGGTGTCTTGTAGTTTCTATTCAAACCGTGTATTAGGTTGCTAGTCTATTGTGATATATTACGTAGTATGCTTAGTAAACAAGGTTCGGTTCTTCAGACATTTCGATATTTCCACTCCCGATTAACCAGTATGCTAACACCGTGTGATATTTCGGACATTGAAATACCGTATTTATTTAATTTTCTTTGATCCTCCAATGCTTAAAAGAAATCCCGACCAGGCAATTAAAGTGTATAGTCGATACCAACAACAACAACAGGGGAGAAATGTATGCTCGTGGGCGGCATTACGAGGATACTTTAGAACATGCACGCCACCGCTTTGCGAATGGACTCTTCCGCTGTCTCAAAATGAGTTGTTCCCATCGACTTCTAATCTCTCAAATTGTTTGGCAGAAAATCTGAGAACTCTTACAAATAATTAGTAATCAGACGCACGAAAGACGGTGTTAAGTATTTATTTAACAATCGTAATAAATATTCACATTCATCAACAAATCAAATAAAACATTAGTTTTGCCGTTGTACAAAGCGATCTTAGCGCAAAGGTGATCGTAACTCCCCTATGCCATCTTGGCGCTAAGAGTGAGTGAGTCTAGTTTTATGCCACTTTTAGCAATATTCCAGCAATATCACGGCCGAGGACACAACAAATGGTATTAACTCTAAGATCGTTCTGTACGACGAAAATAAATAAAAATAAAATCAGAAGAAAGCGAATGCTTAATTCAAAATATTGCACTTGTTTAGTAAAACCACTGATGATCATTATCTCGGCGTTAACTACTTCATGTCAGGGTCCACGTTGAACCAAGTTCAACAAAGAACGTTAGGACTGTCTAGAGTCAGCAGATCCCAGTTTGAACCGTCGCCACGACAATGCAGCGTGATAGGTCCTCTGGCTTCTGATAACAGCTTAATCGAAACCCAGTTCCGATCAAAACCAGCGTCAAAATGCTCCTCTTCTTCGTGCTTTCATTTGTTAAAGAATAACGTCAGATTGAATCCTGTCAACGAAATACTGATAATATATAGAATGTAGCGTATTTCACATCCGAGTGCAATCCATTTTGTAGTATTACTGGTCCGGCCCGGCACAACTTTCCTTGGCCCGGATTTTAGAGGTCCCATCCACATATGGCTGAACAAGAATGAACCACATTTGTGTACCTGACTCTTTTCAGGACTTATGCTCGTTGCACAATATCCATGGTTCTTGGACACAATTATTCCCTGGTGTTGGCACCAAGAACCTCGCCTTTCTTCCATGTAGATTGTTCCAACGCACGTGTTGTTGACGCCACCAGTTATTGCAATGTAGGCCTACTATATAGCAAAACGTAACTGTACACGGTGAAAGTTAGCAATAACTGAATATTAATAAACAAACTGTAATGTTAACTGATATAGACTGTAATGTTTTCAAGACTGTCCCATCCTTGTGAACATGCTACCGCGATAGCCACTTCAAATCGTGCTTTTACGAAGTGGGGGAGTTAATCGTTGTAGCAAATTTATACACACAAACAAATATAACAACCTACACGGCGACAAAAAATTACGCAATTTGACTTTGAATTTTGTTCATTTCAACTTTAAGGGTGATCTGAGAATGTTTCTGCTGAGTGTCACACTGGGGAGGTCACTTTAGTCCTGTGTGTCATGTCTCCCCGCCCCATCCCCTCCTCTCAGAACGGTAGCCTGGCATCAAGTCATCAGTCGTCCCCGGGGATGCTTCGGGCTTTTGAGAGGGGAGGGACGACAGGAAGGGCCGCCGCCGCACCCCCAGGCTTTCCCACTTCACCCACGACAGCCGCGCTGTGAGATCTGGAAAGAGACATATTCCATTTAGTAAGGTAATAAAGTATCATATAACATTTTACAATTGCATTATAATATCACGGATTTCTATTTGGGTTTTAACGTCGCTTGTAAGATTTCCCATGTTAACAGCTGCTCTCAAGCACAGTGAAATATCATGGCGCAGTTTTAACATGAACGCCTCCCTCAAATAAAGTGGGTATGTCAGTGTGTTCTGTCTCACAGTCCCTGTACCTTACTATTTTCCCTTCCGCCAAGCCCCTTGTTTCCGAGTGTTAAAGGTTAAATGAAGCAAGTCTAGATTTCCTCAGGTTCAGGTTTTGAATCTCCCATCCCATTTGAGCTCTTTTTCAATTTACAGGAATTATTTGGTTCTGTCAAAATTGTACATACATATATTTAGAGACTGGTCGTTAGACTGGTAAGGAATGTTGCGTGAAGAAATAAGAACAGGAGACAAAATCTGTGTTCTTATTTCTTATTAGTTATAGTACGCTAAAGTGCTTCTTAAAATCAGTGAATCAATACACTGGATATGATATTTTATAATAATTTTAATGCCGAATATTTTATTTTAGTTGGTTAGTTGGTTTTACGGCGGTTTTACATATCAGCCAAAATTTCACAAATGATGTATCCAATATAAAATATGAATATAGGTTTTGGTTGGCTCTTCGTTCAATTGAAAAGATGGTCACAATAGGAAAGACTGAGCGAGACACTGATTTTCAATAAAAACAACACTTAGATTTGATTTCTTTCACATCATCAACTGCTAACGATTAGCGGACCATTTTTTCCATTTATAATTTGACTGTCGACAATACAGCTCTTCACATAAATATACAAACCAAGTATTCGAAGACCTAAGAGTGTTACATGTATCAGTTTCTATACAAATCAGCCCGTTTATATACAATATAAACAAATGGGAAAATACATCCCATGTTAAATTGTGGATAAAAATGAAGCAACCGAGGAGTGGTTGTTTGGTGGCGGTTTAATTGTGTTTTGGAACCAAATCTGCTGTTTTTCGGTGACTGTTTTTAGCCGACTAATATTTTGATAATGTTTGTCATTTTTGGTCCAAATCCAGTTTTCTAGTGTATGCTTTCTTTCCCGGGCAGTGAATTTTTCAGATCCGATGCCGCCAATATTAACATTTGTACCTAATACAAGTGCTGCGTATTTTATACGTATATCGATCGATATAGATATTGTGTATATATAACACACGATATAAAACATGTGACGTTCATACGTTTGCATATTTTACTATGTTGTGTTTGGGGTTTTTTGCATTATTTTTTTTATTATTTTGTTACAAAAGCTATTATATTTGTTATAACACATTATGGTATTTTGCTTTGAGCAAGCACTAGTTGCCTGGATATGTGCGCTATATAAAATCCTATAATAATATTTTGTATTTGAAACTGACATGATACATACACATACAAAACATTCTTATCAGTTTTTAGCACATTACACATTATGCCCATATAATATTTAAAGTTTCGTTGATGGTGAAAAAATCCTTTTCATCCGTCCATAGCTCTCGAGCTCGTTTCTCATTTTAGTGGAGAGTTCTGACGTTAACAGTTACTCATTCATGCTGCATACACCGGACTTCAAAACCTCATGGCTTTCATCGGGGCGGTGGGGTAGCCTAGTGGTTAAAGCCTTGGCTCGTCACGCCGAAGACCCGGGTTCGATTCCCCGCATGGATAGAATGTGTGAAGCCCGTTTCTGGTGTCCCCCGCCGTGATGTTGCTGGAATATTGCTAAAAGCGGCGTAAAACCAAACTCAGTCAGTCAGTCATGGCTTTCATTAAATCTACTATATATAACAGTAGAAGATAACTTCTTCCAATCACGGAACATGTGTTTAGGGACAAGCTCTAGGAGAATTCGAAGTTACTATTCTTTCTTGAACAATTGCCCTTCCCTCAAAATATTTTTATGTCCTCAAAATTATTTCACATCCCTCATGTGAATTTAGAAAAAAAAATAAGAAGTTTCTTGTAGAATCTGACCTTTGTTTCAATTTACCTACTACAAGATACAAATTTAATTCTCTGCTTAAATATAGGAGCAGTATATTTATATCGCTAATATTATTTATCGCCACCGTCAATTCAATAATATATGAACAACATTTATGTCCCCGACAATTAAAGGTACTGAACTTTATTTTCTAAATTTAAAATAATGTTATGTAATGTTTAGACACGAACTAGATATACCTGCTAACAGTCTTACTATCTTAAGCGGGGCGGTGGGGTAGCCTAGTGGTTAAAGCGTTGGCTCGTCACGCCGAAGACCCGGGTTTGATTCCCCACATGGGCACAATGTGTGAAGCCCATTTCTGGTGTCCCCCGCCGTGATATTGCTGGAATATTGTTAAAAGCGGCGTAAAACTAAACTCAGTCAGTAAGTCAGACTATCTTAAGCTTGTCATGTGTTTCATGTAAGTCATCAGTGATATATTCAAGACGTTCCCGTGTCACCTTGACATGTGTGATTCTCATGACAATAATAATTCATTATTTCAGTAGCCTCATAACATGTTACTTAGGACATACATGCATTGTGTGAAAATCATGATCAAGTAATAAAATATTTTTCCCTCTCTCATTTTCCCTCTTGGATTTAATTGGGAAATGGAACTTCTTTGTCAGTAAATATCTTTTTGTATTTAATATACACGTGTAACCAAGATATATTTACAGAAAAATACCCGTTGTTACAAAATTGTAGCACATTATACAGTCTTATTTACATCATAATACAGGAAAATGTTCCAGCTATGTGACCGCATGTTAATTAGTAAATTTACAATAAACGACACAACAAACGTCACGATAAACGTCTCTCCCATGTGCCCTTAAAAGCTCTGACACAATTGACATTTTTAAGTCCAGACTTAAATCCCACCTTTTCTCAGTATATTATGTATAACTTCATCCGTAAATACTCCAGTGTAAATATTCTGTAGCGCTTTGAGCATGCCTTAGGGTGTGGAAGGGGCGCATTATAAATATGCATTTATTTATTCTTTTATTAAAGAAGTTGTCTATCCCCAAAGTAACTGTTTCTCTTCAACATACCGGCTTGTAAATGTCCATGTGACATACATTTTCAAAAATATGTCAGAAATTAATATTTATCTTACTACAGATGTCGTCATCATTTGAGTGTACAGGTCTTTTGTTTATGGTAAGTTTATTAATTCATATTCGATCATATATAAGTGGAACAGTTTCGTGTCCAGTATTAAACAAGAAACAAAAACACCAATAATAACCAAACCAAACATGCTATAACATTCAAACTGAATAATGAATAATAGATAAACTATTTGACTGGTGATTTAGGTTTTCCAAAAACAATCAGCTCGGGCCATTGTTAATGTGTTCATTGTAATCTGAAGAACAACACTAAACCGTATTAAACCATACAATCATCTTTATGTAACATCGTTATCTAAACAGGAGTTGGAACCGCCTCCGTGGTGTAGTGGTTAGAGCGTCCGCCCGGAGAGCAGAAGGTCGCGGATTCGATCCCCGATCGCGTCATACCAAAAGACGTTAAAATATGGTACTTGTTGGTTCGCTGCCTGGCGCTCGGCATTAATGGGTACAACAAGGACTGGTCGGCTCGGGGTCAGTATAATGTGTCTGAGTGGGGTATTCATGCTTCACTGTGGCATGGTATCTCAGTGGGCTAGCACTATAAAACCAGCTTAAGTCTGGGCTAGTACAAGCAGCCGCACATACACATACACACGCATGCACGTCGTGATATGAGCGAAATATTCTCAAGCACGACGTTAAACCAAATTTCACCTCACCTCACCTGAAGAGCAACACTAAACCGTATTAAACCATACAATCATCTTTATGTAACATCGTTATCTAAACAGGAGTGGGCGTCCTTTTCAATTTCCATGTTCAATGCAAAGTATAAATATCGAAGTATTCGTGGTCGAAAATCTTGTTAACGTTTTTGAGTGATCGTATTTTCATATTTTTTTAAAGTGAAAATTAAATGTCGGTTGTCGAAGATAAGAAATGTAAGATCACCTTGCTCTTCCTATGTACTTTATGTAAACATATCTGTTAACACATAAAAACACTATTCCCAAGATATTAATTTGTATTGCACATTCAAGCAATAGTGCATCGGCAGGTGCCGAAACCTAAGTCATAAAAACACTGTTGCTTTTAAATTTAAATATTCCCTTCTTGGAATATCTTAACATTAACATGTACAGTATATGCATTATGTACAGCGAGTGTGTAAAATACATGGAATTTCTACAGAATATTCATACTGAAAAGTTAGTAAAAAACAACTGGCCATTTTAATTGTGATATAGAATTTCAAATATTTGTACTTTCAATTTCAGCGATAACTGACTGAAAATTATAACTTTAAAGAAACTGTTGAATGTCTTACAAAATTAAACAAAACACATATCTACAGATTACCATTTCAAAACTACCGAAAAGTATTCCACTGCCTATATGTATATATGCATGTTGAACAACAATAAAGTGCAGGACGTAGTGATATATTCGATACAAGTCTTCTGGGGCAGGAGAAAACCCTTCGTTATTTTTTAACTTGATATTTAGTCGAAGATAAACAAGAAAACGGTTTTTGCTGTTTCCCTATTATGAGTTCATTTTACTTGTTTATAATCATTCGAGAAAGACGATAAAGTACCGCATTACAAACAGATTTATGCAACAAAATGATACCACGTTGTTTTTCCATATGTAGTTCTACCATATCCCTCTCACTTAATAACACCCTTTTACCAAGTTAACTTGCATATTTAATATTTGTTTGCACAAAAATATATTAGAGTAGATTTTTAATAGAAACCAAGCGATTGTACAATTGTGTTTGAGATGCATTCCTGAACGTGAGATTAGGATTATACAAGAAGTTGACTAATGTTTTTAAATCTCAACAGCCGAATCAGAAATTGTATTTCTCAGAAATTCAGACTGATGATAAAATCGGAAATTTTATCATCGTTTAAATCAAAGTTATCTGTAAAAAATGACAAAGTTTCAAAATATTTTCTTTTTGGTGAAAGAAAGACCGATATACTACGCACGAAGTTAAGACATTCGTGTAGTTCATTGCATGCAGATCTGTTTCGTGTTAGTTTATCAGAGAGTAGAGCTTGCGATTGTGGTGCTCCGGTGGAAGATGCTAACCATTTCTTTTTAAAATGCCAAAATTTGCCCGCTGCCGTTTTGATCTGAAGCAAGACTTTAAACTATCATAGGTTCACTTAGACATTGATACCATTCTTTACGGCAACCCTGCTCTGCTAAATACCATAAATGAAAATATCTTTAGACATGTGCATAAATACATTGTACGAAGTAAGCGCTTCGATTAATGAATAATATTTCTTAATATTATTACATCCATTCATTATTGTTCATGTTTCTTATGGGAGCGGGCGGTAATAAGTTACATAACTTGTGCCCAATCCCTTTCAACACTTTATAAAATATGTTCAAACAAGAAATTGTACTTTTGTGGGTGTGTTGAAATCTGATTTCTTTTATTCGATTCTGTTGAAATATTTGGGTAAAATAGTGAAAAATTATTTTAAGAGAACATGTTCGCGTTTAAAGGAAAATGGAGGCTGAAAAGCTAGAGCATATACTGTAATTTTACCATTTGAAATATATATTATTGAAATATATTTCACTGTCAGAAAAATAATAACACATGGTTTTGTCTTCCCTGCCCAGAGGTCAGTGAACTCACGGGGGATGCCGACAACAACAATTGTAGATTCTGATTTGCTTGGAACTCTGATAAACAACTGCCGTGTCAGCATTTATACAAACGTGTCTTAAAGAGCATGAATATATTTTGAATATTTCTTTACAGAGTTGACATTTGATATGCCCAAGGATCATTAGTAGAGATAACTCATTACTGAAATGTTTAATGTTAATATAAACAATAAATTAATAAGATTGACAGTTTAATGCAGAAGCAAATCACAACGGAAAATTGTCTCATGGAATATAGAGTTATGCAATTTTATGTTTTACTGCATTTTCAAACCAGTATAGATATAAAATTTTAAGTGACAGTAGATTTTGAAATCATTATTAATTGCCGGGCGAATGAAACTCAACATTTGAAAATTGGATTTGACACGATAAAATTACAAACCTATGTACGAAGACTGAAAACAGTCGTTCAACCACTGCAAACTGAGGGTCCCAAAAACAAACATGATACTTGTATGAGTGAGTGAGTTTAGTTTTACGCCGCACTCAGCAATATTCCAGCTTTATGGCGACGGTCTGTAAATAATCGAGTCTGGACCAGACAATCCAGTGATCAACAGCATTTGCATCTATCTGCGCAATTGGGAACCGATGACATGTGCCAACCAAGTTAGCGGGCCTGACCACCCGATCCCGTTAGTCGCCTCTTACGACAAGCATGGGTTACTGAAGATCAATATTCTAACCTGGACCTTCACGGTATGAAATACTTCACCATCAAATAAATTTTTTGTTTGCTAAACTATTAGACGCCTTTAAACGTGGGTGCGTACTTTCCTTTGCCCGGAAAATTAGTATAGATATGCTACTGCAACTGACAGTGGCAGGATAGTAAGTTTTATTTACATTTATTCATATAGCAAACAAATACAAAATGAGTACGATTTTACGCTTTTAGTAGCATTTCAACAATATCATATCAGTAATTTAACGGGTACTACATTGAAGTCATTATGGAATTTGAACCCGTGTGTTTAAGCCTAAAGAGCTAAATGCTTCAGCCACCTAGCTACTCCATTACCCCTAGGTGTAACACTGCACTACATTATATACGAAGTTTACTAAATTTTAATTATTAAGTTATAAAATAAGGTGCCTTAAAACTGACATTTGAATTATGTGTTAAAACATATTTAAAATAATTCATAAAAATATATATATTGTTATTTACCGCTTGTGTTCCATATTGCTTCGTTCTGTCCCTCCGTCCCCTGTCTTAGACTGTTCTCGACAAATTCCAGGGGGTCCGCACGTGACATCAGTATATCTCTGAGTAGCGCTATGTAGGCAATGGCGAGCCGGAGGGTGTCAATCTTGGACAAGCGCTTCTCGAAAGGAAATGTCGGAACGTGAAGTCTGAGCTCTTCAAAGGCAGAGTTAATATTCAGCATACGTTTTCGTTCTCTCACATTGGCCGCGTATCTCTGGAAGGGGGGTGAATCCGGGGCTAACCCCGGGCCCCTGGACAGACACATATTCTCATCATCGTATCCCCCCTCCCCCATGTCCCGGGGGTCACGCCCGGCATATGCACATGATGGGTAGTCGGGGGTGTCGTTGTGGTACTGAGCGTAACCATCGTCGTAGCTGTAGTTGTTGTAGTTGTCCTCGCCGTCCATGGTGTTCATCTCGGGTTGCGCGTAAAACGAACACGGCTGGGCCATCATATTTCCCCGTACAACTATGTCAGCCTCGGAATATGAAATAGTTCAAGCTGGTTTACCACTGAGGCATACGAAAATGAATTGTTTAAATATGCAGGTAGAAATGTCAAAAATTGATATAGTTCAGAAGAAAAGTCAGTTTCTATGTCCGGACGACGGAGGATTCGTTTGACTATCAGCTGACTCGTACTAATCTGTCTTCACAAATCTGTTGAGTCCTGTAATGGACTTAACTGTCAACAAACCAATATTCCTTGCAATTGATCAAGAACCCCGAGTCTGCTTTATATACAGATGCACTTTTCCCCAATCACAACATGTCAATACCAACTGGATGCTAATTACTCCGCCAATCTCTGCCCGTCGGCTTTCAGATCCCCTCTGTCCGCTCAAGATGTTCCGTGTATGAAAAGGTCTTTATCGCTCGCCCCAAGGTGTCTACTAGTGTTCCTAAACACGAGGACAATTGGCCCCCATTTTGTTACAACACTTTTCAGCCAAATCCTCTTACCAAACGGTGGGGCGTGGGGACCCTGGGGTGGGACAAACCGCTGAGGGACCACGGATGCGCCTCGTTCTGAGTTATGCACGCGCTTCGCTTGCGCTGGCACGGCGTCACCTTGGTATTGAGATTATCTGGTCAGCCGAAATTTGACAGGAAATTTTCTTTATGGCACGCGCCAGAAAATCTGTTGGAAGCATTTGCGTGGAATAATAAGGAAACCTACGTGTTGTGTGTACTGTTATCAAGTTCTTAGAAAGATCCTACCCTCCAACGTTCTGACTCACGGTGTTAAACCAAGGAACTGTTTGCTCGTGTTTCTCTGTTTAACAAATTGTGTTTTAAAGTTTTGTTTCCAGAAAAAAAGATATTGAACAAAACAAAAAGCGACGAAGAGGTTGGGTGATGACAGTGTGTCACCAAACTGATTGCAGGTACTTTTGTTCGTTTGTAGTTTAACGTCGCACTCAGCAATATTCCAGCTATATGACGGCGGTCTGTAAATAGTCGAGTCTGGACCAGACAATCCAGTGACCAACAGCTTGAGCATCGATCTACGTAAATTGGATACGATGACATGTGTCAACCAAGTCAGCGTGCCTGACCACCCGATCCCGTTAGTCGCCTCTTGCGACAAGCATGGGTTACTGAAGATCAATTCTAACCCGGATCTTCATGATTGTAGTGATGTTCATCATAACATCGCGCTTAGTCTGTTTGCATTGAAAACGTACCGATGAATGTCAATTTAAACAAAAAAGTAAATCGAATAAGATGAAATTAAGATTGCGAATCCTCATAATTTTACCTTGCCAACTAAAAATTTAAATCTCAGAATTATATTCAACTTAGGATAAAAGTTGTTTAACAAACGATCATAGTTTCAAATCGCTATTATTAGTTTGTATTAAAAGGGTGTATGCACATTAAATGAAACACCGAGAACAAGTAGAGTTTGTCTAAGTTACCGCTCATCACGAACCGCACGTGCATTTGTTTCACTGTTCCATCTACTGCGCTCACCCCCCTTGTAATACAAATCAATAATAGCGATTTGAATGTATGATCGTTTGTTAAACAACTTTTGTCCTACAATGAATAAAATTCTGAGATTTAAATGTTCAGTTGGCAAGGCAAATTTATGAGGATTCGCAGTCTTAATTTCGCTTTATTTGATTTACTGTTTTGCTTAAAGTGAAATTCATCGGTACGTTTTCACTGCAAACAGACTATAGTGGGAACTGCATCCTTGACCATCAAGGCTCCCTGGCACAAAGGAAGGGATAGCATTGTGGTTACAGCCTCGTCACGCCTAAGACCCCGGTTCGATCCCCAACATGGCTACAATGTGTGAAACCCATTTCTGGTGTCACCTGTCGTGAAATTGCTGGAATATTGTTAAAAAGAGAACCATACTCACTCACGCCAGGCAAGGGAGATATTACTGACTTTAAAAGTCATGCGACAGCCTTAGCCCTAAGTTCTCTTTGTGCACATGGACTCCGTGCATTAGATATCCTTCTATTTTGATTAAAGAAAAGACAGAAAGAACATTTGTTCAACTCCATACTATGCATTTTTACCTTTTGATGATTTTTGAGACAATGTAATGTACCCTATCGCGATGTTACCATAGCAACTTCACTCAAATGCTGACCTCATACGAAACTTTGGGAGGACATTTCCCATTAAATGGAGGTGGATATTTTCATTCATTGTTACAATATCGAAACCACACACCTAACAACTGTAAAGGAACCCAGCGGTATCAGATAATCTCGAGTGTCATTCACATAACGTATTGCTTTAAGGCTTTCTCACATGGACTTGTTTTTCCTAACATGGTCTTCTGCTTGTACTATCGAGATTACTCCGCTTTCCGCCACAATCTATGAACATCACTGCGGAGGACTCCAGAAATGAGAATCGAACTCGGACCCGTGTTCCCGGGACCTATTCTAAGTGAGAATAACTTTAGCGCCCAACTTCGGTGCGAGCGGGCTTGCTTTTAGGATAAAATAGTACGTGGTATTGATTCGTGTTTAAGTAATGTTTTGGGTAAAGGAAAGAACTTGATGTTTCCTTAAGTTTCTTGGTGGATTATTTCCTGAGATACCTGCACATTACTCGGTGGTTCTGTCCCCTCCCATGCTGTATGACTGATCTCCTGTTCCGAGAGACGTTAACCCCATGGATGCCAGAGCGACATATATGTCCCTGCTGTTCAACCGTCACTTTGGAGTATGCTACCCATCAAAAGTTTAGACTCACTAGTGTAAATATAGCCACTTACTTCAGTCAACTGTTCTAAACTAGATTTTGCAAAATATTCCATACTGTTTAAAGGGACTGTCTACACATGAACTGATGTATTGTAAAACAAATTCGTAACATTGAAAAGATTATTGTCATGAGTTCAATAAATGATAAAACGCAGTGAAAATTGGCGAATTCTTAAGAGAACTTTACACCAAAAACGCAGCTGTTTACATGCACTATATTTGCACATGCTTTTCAGCAAATTTGATGCATGGGTCCTCGTGCAATTCATAAGGTTTGCAGTCCGTTCCCCCAAGTTAGTGGAGAAATTCATCTTCGATGTAACCACATACATATACATAACATATAGTGAGTGCTTTAAGTGAGTCTAAACTTTTGATGGGTAGTATATAAAATTCAAAATATATCACGCACACAAATACACTTTACAGATTTGAATTGTTGTGAAAAGTCCAGCTGCTTGATGTAATCTTGTGCAAAGCAAAAGTGCTGAAAATAACCTCGTAAATGTCGCCATTTTTTACACATTTAAGGATTGTTTTACGTTATTTTGCATTTATCAAAGGATAACAGTAACAAATTGCATTTAATCCGTTATTGAAAAATAACATTCAATTTTGACTTCTCCTCAGTCAATCAGAATCGCGGACAATAGGATAACACACACACTTTGTAATCATCACGATTTGGTGTATGTTTTAAAATGTCAAAATCGGATATTACTTGGAGGATGGAATTTCCAAAATGGCATCTTAGTGATCACTGAATATCTGTTTTTCATCAAATCATCAAATTCCATCAAATTTTCACCAATGATAATTCTCAAACTTCCCCGATAAACAATGTCTATCTTTCAAAACGCCAGAGTATTCGTAATTGATCTCATAGCATTGGATAGGGCATTGAACATTCTACACATCTGTGTAACATACAGGTGGATTTTTACAGGTACATGTAGATTCTATGCCGCGCGAACGCAATTCTCGAACGCGAACGTCCACTTAAAAGATCGTATGTAAATATGGGTCAGAAAAAAACTCGGTGGAAAGCCAAACTGAATTTGAAAAAACCATTGTGTGATGTTTTTAAACGGCATTATACACTGTTTGTTTCCTGATTAATTATGAAATATTTCGTTGGTTTAGCAGTGTTGGCTAATTAAGATGTTGTTTTTCAGTGTAACTGGCAGAACAGAGCTTAGGCCAGGATACTCGGCATAAGAGGTACAAATATATGTCTGTACACAGGTATTGGCCATAATGGCAAGTCAGCCTGCTATAAACGCAAACGTCGTGTGACTGCACCAAAACGTTCGACTGAGCAACGTCACTGTACACTTCCTTCCTCCCTTGATTTATCGATATACACGTACATACGTGAATAAATTTTCAGCATACATCGTCAAGACGTTTTGCTTGTTTGATCCAGGTAACCGGACGCCTCGCTATCCGGACGATTTCTGACTGTATCAAATGTCCGGATAAACGGGGTTCGACTGTACAGTTAAGTGTACATGGTTCACATTGAACATTGTACAGTTTTCGAGATGGTATTACAAAATATATATAGTTTTTTCAAAACACTAATTCGTTTACCGTTATACAAATCGTTAACTTTTAACAGCAACACATTGATCATATTTAAACATAATGGTCTGGGATATAGGGTTTCCGATGATGTTTGAAGAGAGGGCAGACAAAGGTATTGAAATTCATCGACGACGTCCTTGAATTTGCCTTGTCAGTGGTGGTTAACGCTGCTGTCTTCACCAAACGCCGCGCAACAAAACTAGCGACAAGTGGAACATTATAGAAATTCGACTCTGCCCATTTCAAAATATGTTCTTTTTACAGCACATACATACTCATTAAACGATGTAATTTGCATAGGGATTTGGACTGGTAAAACATATTTCGACATTATCTAAAGTATCATACTTTGCACCGTATCTAGGCGTTCATATCGGTAACTAAGATCACCACAATAGTACCGTTACGTCCTCAGGGGTCGACGGGAACAAGGCGTTAACCTTCACCTCTATTGTGAACACGTCACAGCCATTTCACGGAACAATACATGACACTCGTCAAGACTACAGGCGCTGTGTTGAGCTCATGTCGCTGTTTTGTTAGCGTTAACGAGACAGCTCCTTACATCGCATCATGGTGGCGAAGGTCAAGCTGAGCCACGTGCCTTGACCAATGTGTGTGACAGTTGGGGGTGTGGCGGTGGGGGCGATATGGCTGCCATGGGATTCTGTAAAGGAAGCAGTAGCCCTTAAGAGTCAAGACAATATGGAAAATCTGACACTTAATTAAGGCGACATCGACGAAATATGATTATGCAATACAGACCTGCCAATATTATCCATACAATCTGACGGCGGGATAACTATAGAATCGAACTTCGTGTTTACGCCTCAATACTGACATCCGCACTAACATATCTATGTGAGAGATAGTATGATATATAATAGGTTTTTTTCTCTGATTGATCCAAGAGTTCAAAATGTACGTCATCTTTTCCCGACCAAAAAATACCTCCAAGTACTGAATGCGCCACATTCGTAAATGATTGGGAATATCTCTCAATAAAATAATTTTTTAAAAATTATATAAACTAAAATAAAGTTACGAAAATGAAATATGATGGATTAAAATATTTTATGGATTGTTGCTTCGTTGTCGTTTTTATCCCAAAATATTTCATTTAGTAAAAATTTGACACGAAAACTTACTACGCTTTTGTGAGTGTGTTAACAGTGCAGGGTGCCGTTGTACAAACCGATCTTAGCGCTAAGGTGGCCGTAACTCCCATACCTTAACATAGACTTAAGGTAGTCTTAGCGCTAAGGTTGTTTTGTACAACGGCACTCAGGTTAATAAAATGGTACATTACAAAGTAACAGCATCCGATAACGCTGCATGAGTGGAGGGGAAAGATGGAAGTGGGGAGGGAATGAGATGGTGGGGGTGGGGGCTGGGGAGAGAGGAGGTGGAGCCGGATGTCGCGCTTAACCACGCCCGGGGGTACTGATCTGAAGAGGGTGGGTGCTTCACAAACACGAGTTATCTTTCAAGTCAGTGGAGTAGCCGGCTAATTGAGTCGACACACTCACAAGCATAAACATTGTAACAGTGGCACGGAGGTTAATTTGTATCTGCTTTTGTCAAAATCACAAGGATTTTACGTTTGAATTGAATCCATGCGTCTGGTTTTGAAACCATTCAAGCAAAAACATGTAGGGTGAACACTGTTCGATGGATATTTGGAGTCTTGTTTGGACCATTTCACCCACTATTACTATAAGAGCATCTGAAAAAACAAATTATGTGATAAAATGTAATCCCTCGTTTTCTGGGGGTGATTATTAAACGAAGGATTATTCACTAACGTGAATGTTTTTTCTTGAACATTTTTATTCCACATGGATAATAGACTTACACACCATTAAAATAACTCTGTAACTGTCATTGTGATCAAAGTATTGTTTCATCTGAGTTAGCAATAAGCTATCGTTGGAATTAAATAAATTGTATATTTAACCCAGCTGTATATTTAACTCAGTTGTTCAGATAGATGTATTCAGAGAGACACCCAGAATTCGTCGCCTGTAAGCCATGTGTGCGTAACACACTGTCAGGCATTGCTACAGATAGAGATGGTGTTTGTGAAAAAATATTTACATCTAAATATTGAAAGACTAATTAAAAAAAATAAAAAAATATTAATTCATGATTTGTGGTCAACTACGATAAGAAAACAATAACGTATGTGGCCAGTGATACGCGGTATTACTACAGTAAACAATCTGAGAACCAAACCAAAAAGGAAAAAAATGTTTATTGAGAATTTATCACGTGTCAGTCCAATATCAAACGTCCATATCATTAGATAAATACAGGATGTCATCAAATTGCGAAAGATCAACAAAAAATACAATAACTGAAAAAATGAGGAAAATCTCTCTCTGCGAAGCAGGATGTATTCAAGGCGAACATGTCAAAATAATTATGGACAATAAAGTCAAAACAGCTTGTATAAAAATACAAGCTCCCTGTTTCATGCAAATCACATTTGGGATCAGTGACGACTTAGACTAGCATCCCTGCCGCAAGGCAATTTGCATACCACGTGACAATATTTAATCCTTCCTGTATTTGAGAGAAGACTTCATGCCAGGCATCCTCGATAATCTCCAGGGTATACGTTACGATCACAGGGGCGTGTCACGCTTAGAAACAGCGTTAGAAAGACCCTACCCTAGTACTATATAAAAGGCCTTTTATATAGTACTAGGGTAGGGTCTATATACCTATATGTCTTTCCAATGCTGTTTCTAAGCGTGACACGCCCCTGTGGTTACGATCACACTCCACTATACCCTGGATGCATCCACGGCTTGGCCCGATAATTATATTACCTCCCTTTGCTGGCTCCGCATTCTCACAGTAGCCAATCAGCTAAGCCGCCGTTACATCCGAGCTTGCCAATATCAACAAAGATAGAGGTCGCAATCGAGAAGGTTTGTTCGCAGTGCCACTCAGATTTTTTAGGAAATAATTAAGACAAATTGAAAGATCTGAAACTTTCAAAAAATATATAAAAGAACGCCTTCGACCTCTTTCAGAGTACCTCTGCATCAATTGTGTTGCCAAGTTTAAACGGTTAGATAATTTAAGAAGCGAAAGTGATTTGTGATTGGTTCGCTTAACTTCCCAGCGTAGACACCTGATTGGATAAAAAGCCAGCCAAGGGAGGTAACAAAATCATCGGGCCAAGCCGTGGATGCATCCAGGGTATAGTGGAGAGTGATCGTAACGTATACCCTGGGGATTATCGAGGATGCATGCCAGGACTCTCTAAAGCGAATATTTGCATTTACGTATCCACGCCTCCATTCCATGATGCTGCATGTGAAACGTGGCCGTGTAGATGGATGTTCCACTCCCACCCAGTATCCGAAATATATGGAATCCTAGAAGGGACATTGTCGTCCTTTTAAAAACAGACAAAAAGCGTCAAATTTAACCAAAGCGCGACAATGCGACTTTTTGGCCATTTGTCGCGTTTTGAATAATATTTATTCTTTTTATTCACAGGGCAAAGATCAAACAAATCGACATATTTCGACGTTGGAAACTGTGTCATTGTCGCCATTTTGAAGAAAAGAACAATACTTCTCAGAGCACGACAATGCTACATACCGACAGGACTACAAACGGCCAAAATGTCGCTTTTTCGCACTTTGGTAGATTTTACCACTTTTGGCTTGTATTTATCAGGCGAAAACGCAACAATGTACCCATGTGGGGAATCGAACCCGGGTTTTGGCGTGACGAGCGACCGCTTTAACCACTAGGCTACCCCTGGATTTTGAAGATACTGACTTATATCGAACGGATCATTTACCGGAACGTGAATGTGAATATTCATGAAATGTTCTGATGTGTTCAGAATATTGAGACGTCATACAGGCCGATTTAACATGGAGAATATTGTACCCATAAGTGCATGAATATAAAGAATGGCGTAACAATACCGTCACAATTGGGATTTCCAAATGTTGCATTATACAATTACTACATATATACCAATTATTGGTCCCTAACCCATGGCAGACATGTTCCAACTATGTGTTAAAGTAGTCAATCACACTGTTCCCAAAACACATTATTTTCCCGTCCGCCCATGCATCTCTTTCCCAAAACTCGAAAGCTCTAAATGAAGCAAATCTAGATTGCCTCCAAAGTTCAGGCTTTGAATCTCATATCTCACTTGGTCTCCTTGTAAATTTAAAAGAAACTGTTTGCTTTTATCTGAAAGTATATATTCAGACTAAGCGTCATTATAAACTTCCACATGCTATGTGTTCAAAGAGCAACTAGTATTGCAGTAGGCAGTACATTGACAGTTCTACGTGTCTGTTCTTTATGACGTCCTGTCTGCTGAGAACTGAACGATTCTTTTGTGATCGATACAGTGTGTGTGTAGCCTGTCCTCACTGTCGGCGAATACTCTCGCCGGTTGTTGATGTGTTATACGAGAAGCAATTTTCTTCCTGTTTGTGTTTTAGAAATGGAGATTGCTGGGTTTTAGGAGACTGCTGTGTTTTAGACACGGAGATTGCTGTGTTTTAGACATGGAGATTGCTGTGTTTTAGACATGGAGATTGCTGTGATTCGTCGAGTTTTCAGGAACGTTTTGATAACACTAATACCTTTTTTGTCAAATCCGATAAAAATAAATTGTGTTTGTTCGACAGTTCAGTTAAAACAATGAAAAATGTGAAGTATAGATGTTACGCTTTCCATGACCTCAAGTGACACTAATCACCCTGTCTGTAAAGTATCCTTTTGAGGCTATCCGTCCGTTGTCTGTGTCTCCCGTCTACTGCACGCCCTGAAATTTCTTTCTGACGTGAAAGTTTTCTTGTTTCACCGCTGTAGAAATTCACGCCCATATTTAATAAAATAATCCTTAAGCTTGCAATCCAAGTCAGTTGGATCTTTCATCTACATTTATTTAAACACGTTTCCGAAGCAAACCGACTTGATGTACACCATACATTAAAATAAGACTATTGCCGCTTTTATCTAAATTTTCAAATTTCATGAAATAAGTTACACAATGAGTGAAAAATGCATTTAATGCATTTCTTTCTCTTTTGTTGACCCGCCCGACTGTTCCCTTGCCTGTTAGGGCTGCAGATCAAAAACATGAAACAAATCATGGGTTGCTGGGGACAAATTCTAACCGGGATCTTCATGAGTTTTTCATAGATCATTGTGACATAACTGGAATACTAAAAATCACTGCCTTAATTCGCTTAATTATAACAACTGCACAGTCTGTGAAAAACTAACCCGTTTTATTGTCATCTGTTATATGATATATAAAAGTAATATTTGAGATTTGTATAAATAGTAAATATTCGTGAAAAGTACAGGATAAAGATACCAAAAACCGACAAATACACAGTGCTGGAACGGTAGAGTTGTATCTAATGTACAAAAGGTAATAAATGCTATGAAATATTGAAACAATTTTAGAGTCAACAATACACACAATGTCCACTTCAGAACGACGACCTGAGGTAGCACAGACTTGGCGCCACACACGCGCGCGCACACACACACACACACACACACACACACACACACACACGCAACAATTCGTCAATGACCTGGTGGTAACAAAGCCTTGGCCTGTTCCAAACCCTTCCCACGCAACAGCTCGTTGATGCTCTGCGGTAACACAGCCTTAGACCCTGTTCCGCACCCCTCCCATATTCAACACCGCCCTAATACCCTGGTGGTAACATACCCTTGGCCCGTTCCACACTTTCCCCTATTTTAACAACGCTTTTATACTGGGGGTAACAGTCTTGGTCTGTTCCACACCCCTCCCTTAATTCAACAATGCCTTGATGCTCTGCGGTAACACAGCCTTGGCCCCAAGTTCCACATCCCTCCTATTTCAACCAAGCCTTGATGCTCTGCAGTAACACATTCTTGGCGCTATTTCCACAACCTTCCACTATTTCAGCAAAGCCTTGATGCTCTACAGTAACGCATTCTTTGCGCGATTTCCACAACCTTTTTCTATTTCAACAAAGCCTTGATGCTCTGCAGTAACGCATTCTTGGCGCTATTTCCACAACCCTCTCTTATTTCAACAAAGCATTGATGCTCTGCAGTAACACATTCTTGGCGCTATTTCCACAACCTTCCTCTATTTCAACAATGCCTTGATGCTCTGCGGTAACATAGCCTTGGCCCCTGGTTTAGGTCGCTTTACAATCCGGAACTGAAATCCTTCTTTTCCCTCCAACAGATGGCGCTCGTGTTGCCAACTGAACAATCCACCGTCCGTCGTCTCGGCGAAGGGGTTAATCTCGATCACCCACAGCTTGTCACCTGCATAACACGGAAAGCACTCATAACATTGTGTACTCTACATAACTGTAGTGTGTGGTACAGTGATTAAGTCGTTGTCGGTCGGTCTCGCCAGGTACCTGAGTTGGTTTGTTTGTTGTTTTACGCCGCACTCAGCAATATTCCAGCTATATGGCGTCGCAGGGGTGGAAATAACCCATTGCCCGACGCAAGTGCAAGTCCAGTGTTTTTGTCTGTCGGGCATGCAAATTTGTATATCACACTGTACCGGTGTCCAGTTGATATTCCAATGTTAATTATGTTGTTTATTTAAAAAGTCAACAAGAAAACGGCCGGTATAGTGGGAAAATTATCAGGGCAAGTGATTTTACATCTGCCACTGTACCGGAGTACACTAGCAATTTTAAAGTTATTTCCACCCCTGCGGCGGTCTGTGAATAACCGAATCTGGACCAAACAATCCAATGATCAACTGCATGAGCATCGATCTACGCAATTGGGATATGATGACATCTGTCAAACAAGTCAGCGTGCCTGACCACCCTATCCCGTTAGTCGCCTCTTACGACAAGCATGGGTTGCTGAAGACCAATTATAACGCGGAAGTTAACTGTGTATTCGAACTCACACACAACCGATCCTCATATGAAAAGGAAATGCAACCATAAACTGTTTCTATACTCGCACATACTTACCATTGTCACAAACTGCAAAATCGATTATGTATGCTGTAGGAAAATCCTGCTCCTTCATCAACGGTCGTACCTTGTCATTGAAATATTTGCAAATAATATCCTTGAGATGGTCCCCCGTGTTTAAGAGCCTCTGCGAGAAAATCAGGTAGTTATATTGCGACAATGCTACAAGTTCTCCCCCAAACACAAACCCCCTAAACTCCATATCAACATCAACATCAACGAATTTTCTCACGACAAAGTTCTCTTCAAATCTGCTTTCGATTTTCAGAGCAAGCAACATGTCTTGGTAGATTCGTTCGCTCCTCAGCATCATATCAACCACGTCTTCTGCGGTTTTCACTTTGAGACCTTCAAATGCAGCTCTAAGGAGACACGTAATTTGGATATTTTCACTTTGTTCGTCTTCTGGGAATTCCGTTAAGAACTTGTGGTACACATCTTTGAATCGTCGTTGAACCATCGGTGCGTCCTTGGCGCTTCGGCTTGACGTCTTCACAAACGCAAAACCATCTCTTGCCGTGAATTGTTCCATGACCGATTCCAAACGTTTAGTGACATCTTCAATTTTTAATTTTTCGTCTGACGTTAACGTCTCACGCCAGTTTAAGTCACAGATTTGTTGAGCGTCGAGATTTCTGTAGCAGTTTTCGAATATTTTTACAAAGAGGTTTGCTTCCTCGATTTTCAAAGGACATAACTCTGTTGGAAATGTCAGTTCTTTAAGTACGTGCATCCATTTCTCGGTATTTACATCAATAACCGAGTTTTGGTAAAGAGTTATCTCCTCCTGACTCATATAGCCGGCAGTCTTTGGACTGGAGAAATCTTTAATAGGGTCTGTTACTTTCTTTAGCTTGCAGTTCTTTAGTTGCTCCGTCAGGGACGCCATTGAACCTGAAAAAATAAACACTTTAATATATCCTCGGTGTTATTTCTAGAGTTAGTGAGTGAATCATAAGATAACGCAGCCTGGTTGTCTGGTAACGCTGCGCCAGCGCTCACCATGTCGTATTCGCACTATTTTACACATATCGAGACGGGAACAAGTTAACATGCTCTATGTCTTCGGGGCTCGCAGTTCGGTAAACCCATATTACACTGGTTCTCGCGACCTCAGATTACCCAAACTCCATTAGTCAAGCTGATGTACTTCGCTACTTGGCTAATGGACCAATCAGAGGTGAGGTCTAATGGACGTCCTTGAGAATATCATAAAGACGTGAAGTTACAAACCAGACCTAATGTTGGGTTGGTGATATCAACAATATATCCAGTCCTTTTGATTCTGATAGTTTGATAGAAATTTAACAATGAAAAACTCCTTGATGGACCTAAAAGCGTCAAAGCCCCTTTGGATGAACAGAACATCTTCATGTTTACCTTACTCACCCATGAAAATAAAGGGCGGGTAATTTGAGATCCCTAGAACCATGGGAATGGAGTGAGTGAGTGAATATGGTTTTACGCCGCTTTTAGCAATATTCCAGCAACATCACGGCGGGGGACACCAGAAATGGGCTTCACACATTGTACCCATGTGGGGAATCGAACTCGGGCCTTCGGCGTGACGAGCGAACGCTTTAACCACTAGGCTACCCCACAGCCCCCATGGGAATGGAGTGAGTGAGTGAGGCTACCCCATCGCCCCCATGGGAATGGATCAAGGGGTAGATTAAACTAACCGAACTGCAAGGACTGGAGATATTTGGGACATATGTTTTAAGCTACAGGCATACAACATATAAACATCCCGATTCAATATTGATATTTACCCTGGAACGGTTGGCTATTGTTTGCCTCAATGTGAGTCCGATTTGAATGGAACGACATTAAAAATAAGCGTGCAATCAAAATAGTCTAATGAGCGAGGGACAATTTGTGCTAAGTCAGAGTGAGAATCGAGGGAAAAGGTTTCCCTCCAAAAAAAACATCATGTAATGATTTTTTTAAATGTTAAAGGGTATATTTATACTGAACATCATTGAAAACGCACCAGTCTAAAATTGTCCCCATTTTCATCAAGATGGATTTCAGCATGACAATGATCAACGAATATAACTAACATGAAGTCGAAGGGCATGTCCAGTTGAAAAAATGCTTTAGAAACAAATTCTTGTCGACGGTATGACTCTTAATTCCAAAATGCATCAACATGCAGCCACGTCATGAAAAAAGCGCGAATTTCATTCTGAAATCATACTGAATGTGACATTAAAAGCAGGTGATAAGAACCAATACTCATTGCTTCACTAACGATTGTGAAACGAGGACAGAGATGCCTCACGAAAGAGAACGTGCACTAGGCATGATTCAGGTTGGTACCATCGACATCTTGGACTTGGACACTCCACCATCGTTAGGCTTCATAGACGACATCAGTAGACAGGCAGCACCCGTGACCTTCGATGACCTTGGAAACAACGTGTTACCACGCTCCATCAGGGTCGCCATATTGACCTTGTCCATATCCGTGATTGAACACTGCCGACTGCCAGGACTGCTGCACTAATTCAAGGTTGACGTGGGGGTCATCAGCGCTGACTCCATGCGACGCCGTCTACACGCAACAGGGCTACATGCTCGACGTCCTTACGTTGGACTAATTCTGACTGACAGACACCGTCATGAGCGTATGCAATGGGCTAGCAGACATTTTCAGTAAAGATTACAACAATGGCATGGTGTGGTAGTCACTGACGAGTCACGTCTTCATCTACGTAATGATGACGGCCGATTACGTGTTTGGCGTAGACGTGGTGAACGTTATGCTGATGATTGTGTGGTTCAGACAGACCTTTGGGTGGTGGGGAGTGTCATGGTCTGGGGTGGAATAAATTACAATCACAGGACTGCCTTCATGTCTGTCAAGGGAGAGTTAATGCCCTTTATTACCGTGAGAAGATTCTTCAGAATGACATCGTATCTGTCTTTAATCATCACCAAGATGTCCATACTTTTCAACAGGACAACGCACGGGCACACACAAGACTTTCCATGCAGTATCTGGCCCAGCAACACATCCAGGTTATTCATTGGCCAGCACAGTCGTCAGATGTATCCCCCATGGAGCACTTGTGGGACGAAATTGGTCAAAGTCTTTCGCGGCGACAACAGATGCGAAACATACGTGAACTTGAGGCTGCACTACTGCAGAAGTGGAATGCCATCCTCAAGAACGCTTATTGACTCAATGAGGAGACGTTGAACTGCATGTGTCAATGCAAAGGGCGGTCACACGCGATATTGACTTTTCGATTTGACCCCACGAGTGTTTGATCCTTTCTAACTGTGGAACATTTCAATGAATGAGCGTCTTTTCGGTGTTTTTGTTTTTGTCAGTCGTCCATCTGTTATTAACAACTCAAAAAAATATCAATTCCTTACACGTGCTTTTAATAATCTGAACTTTGATAAGTGGTGCGTTTTCAATGATGTTCAGTATATATTCTCGGTAAAGGAAGTTTACACTTGAAAACTGAATTTGTCCAAACAATTACATCGTTATCGAAACATTACTAGAAACACTCTAAACTTCAGATAAAGAACGCAAGGATGATTCTCGTTTTCAAGTACATCACCATCTAATAACCAAGGGCGGTGGGGTAGCCTAGTGTGTAAAGCGTTGGCTCGTCACGCCACAGACCCGGGTTCGATTCCCCACATGGGTACAATGTGTGAAGCCCATTTCTGGTGTCACCCGCCGTGATGTTGCTGGAATATTGCTAAAAGCGGCGTAAAATCAAACTCGCTCACTCGCTCTAATAACCATTTCTTCTTCTTTTTATCATTTTGTGTTACACAAATGCATTCATTAGTCTGCCTGCCAGTTCAAAATGGTAGCATCTAAATGGTGCTGTTGTCATACACGGGCGTGCCACGGCTACGAAAGTAAGTAACATCGCCTCATGATCCTTTATTGTTTGTCGTTTATGCAGATTGTTTGAGGGAACATCAGCCATAACGATGAGCAATAGATATTCTTCTGTTAAAAGCCTACTTGCGATTTACAGCGAATATATTTACTTGCTTTGTTCGGAGACTCCGATAATCAAGGCAACGGTGTTAATTTGAAACTAGACCCCGAACTATAAGGTGAAACATAACAAATATTGTATTTGGGATTACACGTTCTCGATCCGCAAGGTGGAACAGTTCGTGGTTAACCGCATACGCTTATATACACCTTAAACAGTAATGAACAAACACATTGATCCCTTACCATGATAAGGATTACAGTTAATATGACCGTAGTTAATCAACCAGAAAAGGTGGGGACTCTGTTAACGTCTATTACTTGTCTGTCTAACAGTTCCTGAGCAGCGTTATTTGCCCATCCTCCCAGCCTTTCTGCAATGCTAAAGCCCTAGATGAAGCAAGCCTACATTTCCTCAGGTCTGAATCTCTCTTCTCACTGGGTCTCCTTTTAAATTTAAAAGGAATTATTTGTTTCTATCAAAATTATATATATTCAGAGACTAAGTGTTAGTCTAGTATATTACGTGCACAATTAACAGTCCTTTGTAAATCCCTCACTCCCGACCCAACCAATTAAGCCCCTTTACCTTGATCCCAAGGTCCGGACTGATCCCATAATACAAGATTATAACGTTACACACAGATATTCCTATCAAGGCCTAGAAGTACAATTTCCTCACTGAATTCAGGGGACAAAGTGCAATATTCACACAGGCGGTGTTTCATATTATCGTAATATATACCATTAAAAAAAGTAGGGGATATTCCATTTTTCGAGCATACCACTAGCCAGTGCCAATGCATACGAGAAAAAGTAAAATATATCCAAACAGATGAAACATTTTCAAAGGAATGGAATAAATTGTCACATTTTCCCTTAATTTCTCTTCAGCATTTTCATTTTATCAATCTTGTAAATCCAGTGGCGGATCCAGAGGGGGGTTCAGGGGGTTCGAACACCACCACCCCACCCCCGAACCTCCTCCTTTCAAAATTCCTGGATCCGCCCATGAAATCCAATATGGATCCCCTACGTTTTTTGAATGGTATATAACAATTACATTCCGAGTGCGAAATGCTCTAAACTAACGTTGTATTATGAATTGATCAGGCTCAAACGGCACCAAGTCAAAATGACACCAGATTTCGCTCACAACATGCATAAATATTATACAGAAACAAAAGAAGAAAGCAGAAACCAAAACAGATACTTTTACACATAAACGAAGACCCCTTTAACTTGCATGGGGTGGATTCTTTGGTGAGAACAATCTATTTTCCCCATCTTCATACAACACTAACCTTCAGTTATTGAGCATAATGAAACAATTAATTCGTTTTAATAAACTTATATTTAAAAAAAAATACGTAATTTAAACAAAAATTACTATTTGTGGATTGAAACACTGTCTACATTGCCATTTTAATATTCAGCTAGTCAAACGTGTAAAACAGGCGGAGAAACCCCCAGAATATATACATTATCTCGTGAGCTTCTTCGATTCTTTTCAAGATTAGTGATTAAACCCATTTATCATTTGTAATTACACTGTAAAAATAACCAAATAATGCAAATTCGTGTTGATCTGACCAGAAAAAAACCCCAACATGAGCAATAAACATTATGCCTCAACCACAAGTGACTTGGCTGTCCGAGAAACGACTTTTAGAGCCTTTTCCAGTTCGTCAAGGCATATATAAAAATATACCACTCATCACACCCAAATAATATTTACTGACCCATGAATCATAGGGTCCTAGCATCATATGTGACATTAAACGAGTAAAGGGTGTGTGTTTTAGGTTAGAATGAGAAATTGGAAGATGAGATCAGTTTGATACGCTACCTGTTCAGAATGAAAATACGACAACCTCTTACAAACATTAATCAGTGAACTAGCATTGGTCGTTTCCGTGTTTAGGGCTATTTATAGTGCCAAGTCACGTGGCTGGGAGTAATCTGTGTATGGTTTTGAATTAGATATATGATTACTATATTTGTTATTTAGGTAGTCAAAATAGATAAAAAAGAGAAAGAGGGTTTTCAAATAAGATAGTAATGTTAAATCTGCTACAGTGTTGTGCTCATTTACTGAAAATCTAGCAGATGTTGTATTAAGAGTAATAACAGTTACATATTTCTCAAGCTACTGAATAATCCAAGATGGCGTACAACCACGAAGATGCTCCAAATACTCGTTTGTTTATCATGTGTGGCAAAGGCGCCACAGATGAAATGCTTAAGAAAACGTTTTCTGCATATGGAACTATTAAGGACCTGTGGATCGTAAAAGATCGGCGCACAAATGAAGAAAAAGGTAAGAAACTGCAGAAAATCATTTCGCGAAGAAGCCCGACCAAGGACAGATAACTCTGTCAAACCGTTAAAGAAGATATATCTTTATACTAAAATGATCATTCTTTCTAACTAGCTATTTTCTCGTTTGTTATTACTAGTGTTTGTCACTTGGAAGGGCTTGTTGATGTGTTTAGCGATCATTTTAGAACGTAAATTGATAAGACGAATGCAGAACAAAGAACGGGTCCATTGTTATCCACATGGATCGTAGGAATAGCTGGGATTCATATCCTATTATGTCAGGGTTTTACACAGACTTTTAAAAATGGGAGTCATGGTGACTCACAATATTTATTTTTGGTAGTCATTTTCAATATTTGGGAGTCATGAAAAGTTTAATATTTCTTTGGGTTAATCATTCTCAGTATGTAAATGTATGTCACACCGGGTTATAGCTAAAACGGCACCACAGCAGAACGGCACCAAATTTGTGTGGCGAAAACGGCACCATATTGGCGAAAACGGCTACTGATTTCTGGGCTAAAACGGCACCATATATTAAACAAAGTATGACGGTGACTCATGTTTTATTTCATTTCATTATAACATTAGCAAGATTATATCAACATATGAGTCCTTCTCAAAATCCGTGCATATTTATGTCAGATGTTTGTATCGGACAAACTTAAGTCAAAATCAAACCCAAAAAATTATGGTAACTAACTTATCCCAATATTTTTCTACACTTTACAGTAACAAAAGTAGGGAAACTATATTTTTATATTTACTTTACACCACCCAATTTTACTCAATGTTCATGTGTCACAACTCCAGTGACTGATGTCACAGATGTGGCATTTGATTTTTGTCTTTTTCATAAGCAATAAATATACAATTTCAAAACTCCATGTTATATTGTAAAACTAGATATTTTAATATATATGTACATGAAATAAATATTATCTTTGGATTTTTTCTTTTCAAAATGATGTTACAAATTTCGTAACGGCAGTGACACAATTTCAGGAAATGTCTAATAAAATTGGTAAAATATGAAAAAAGCTTGCATAATATATGTTATGTATATTCAGAAAAATTATTATGTTATGTAAACCCAAAAAAGAAAAAAAATCCCCATAAAACCAAAAAACTAACAAACAATGGGTTGTTGTTATTTGCTTTATTTAACGTCGCACGTACAACTAAGGTATTTCGGCGACGGTAAACAATGGGTACATTTGTGCGTTTTAAAAACAATTTCATTTTGACACTGAGTTTGACACTGGGCGATTTCAGTTGAGTAAATGTACTTAAAACATCAAAGGTTGCGATGTTTTCATGCTAAATTGGGATGCCCTTTCCAATCACTGTGGGCACAGTAGATGTATTTACTATCTACACATTCTGCAATCCGATTGTCAGCTATGGGATGCCCACTTCCAATCACTGTCGGCACAGTAGATATATTTGGTTTAAGCACATTTTCATTTCGTCAAAGAAACCTGGATAGGCGAACAAGCCTAGTGGCTTATATAGACGCAACTCCATTACATTGTTCGAATAGCTGGATACATAATTGAAATAATTTGACAACAAAAGAAAAATACTGTGACAAAATAACAGATAAATGATTGAATAATAAATATGTTCGGTATAGTGTTGGATATGCCTAGCAACTAAAATGAGCAGCCACAGAAAATCAAATATATAAAACTTGCCTTACATTGAATATATACGTAGATTTGATAATTACTGTAAGCGGTTACTTTTAGAAATGAACTGTTGTACTGAGTTCAGAATATCACTAATAGTTGAGTTATTCAATGCGCCGTTACCGTATAAAGTAGTTTTCACATCGTATCCTTGAATATAAAAATACATCCTTGTTCTTTAATTTTGATAGTTCCGACATAATAGTAGATGTATTTATTATCTGCAATCCGATTATCTTATAACAAACTAGTTTTCCCCATAAGATTTTAGTTGGTGCCGTTTTCGCCATAAGATTTGTAGCCGTTTTGCTGTGGTTCCGTTTTAGCCTGCACCCTGTCACACCACCAAATGAAACTACAGCATTGTTCAATTCAAACAGCCAGGATTACTGTCTCCTCTGAGTTCTCTGGACCATTCTGACAATATCATTTTTTGCTTATCAAATCGATTTTATTGAACTGAGCTGTGAGGGTCACCCATAAAAACTTGCGTCAAGCTTGACTCATATGATAATATTTTGAGAGTCGTTTACACAATTGTTGCGTCAAATACGCAGGAATCACGCGTCATGTAAAACCCTGTTAAGTGTAGTAATAATGTATGTAATGTCTAAAAAATTATGGTTGCTCATGCGGGAGTAGGTGCGGACTTTCAGATTTCAATTAGTACCTGATGACGATTAGTTACTATTATTGACGGTGCCGCCTTGAAGCTCAGCTTGGCTAATGAGCATGATGAGTCAATCTAATTACTCAACACCTCACGGTTGGACACCAACCCTATCTCAGATAAGTGCTCATTTACAAAGTCTCAACCAACTGATTGTTTACCTTTCTGCATGGTTTCTATGCAGTAGGCAATTTTCCCCCACAAAGAATATGTATACAGTGTTTCCACAGATGCTCATATTGCATTGTATCTATTTGGTTAAGGGGTTAGCTGACCAAAATCCTAACTGACAGCTAACTATATGGATTGTAAATATGGGGTGGGTGAGAGATTTTGGTTAGTGTGAAGGATCATCAAGGCTTTTTTTAACCAGCAGACCTAATAATCATGGTAATCATATTTATAAAAGGCTGCTTGATCATGTTGTTCGGAAAGAGGATCCAAGAGCTGGGACTAGAGTTGGGTAGGAGTGAAATGGTATGCTCTTACCACAGTACGGTACGTATTGCGGTACAAGGCCTTTGGTTCGGTCCATTTCGGTTGTGTATATGAGATATGATCATAACGCAGAAAACTGACAACAAGAGCCAAACCTTATATTGCAGGGGTGGAAATAACCCATTGCCCCATGTCTGAGTCCAGTGTTTTTTTCTGTCTGGCAAGCAAATTTGTATACCACGCTGTATCAGTGTCCAGTTGACTTTCCAATGTTAATTATGTTGTTTATTTAAAAAATCAACAAGGAAATAATCCGGGTATAGCATGTATAGTGGAAAAATGATCAGGGCAAGTGATATTACATGTGGCACTAGCCAAAGTTATTTCCCCCTCTGTATTGTTTAATGCCATATAAAAAACTAACCATAATCTTTGTTATTTTGAAGGAACAAAATTGTCATTATATGACTAGATAGAAATGATGGTACGAAAAACGAAAATACTGAATTTTTTATTGCATTACGGTATACTGAACCGAAGGCAAAATGCTGTGGTTCTACTAATACCGCGGTATGCTGTTTCACCCCTAGAGTTGGGATCACCTACTGAACACTAACACAACTAACCCTAAGGATTAAAGATCCACACAGGATCTGTGAATCAAGGGCCAGAGTTTGTAGTCTTAGCCAAAGACTGCTTCAGAAAGCAACAGTAAACTGCACTTCTTCCCACATAACTACTACTCCATTCCTCTTCCCACAGAGGTTACTCCTGTCATATCTTCCTACGTAACCTCTGTTCTAATACGGCCCTTTCATGGTGTGAGCGTTCAAGACTCGTGATTGGAGGCAATCAGATTTAGTTGTGCAATCAGCGATGTTGTTTCAAAAGTGATCATTCGCAAGGCCTCGGTAATTTGCGTATGCTTCGAGAAAAACTAAATTTCTTCCCCTGCGTAATGGGCAAACGTTTCTTCTAGACAGAACTCAGTCATGTTATGGCCGATCAATGGCGTCTCCATCGCCCTCGTTGACAACGGACAAGCTAGCCATTAAACGTCTTGTGTGTAACATCAACACAATTCCCCGGCAGATGGGGGATATTTGTGGCCCCACATTTGCTTGTGTTAGTCAGGTTGAATCTAAGTCGATGTTACGCGTGTTCTGATTGGATAGAAAGAAGGGAGTTAATTCGTGTTGCGATCTTTTGCCGCTAGGGGATTTTACGAGAACCGGGAAATATGGCCGTATTAGAACAGAGGTTCATAGGAAGATATGACAAGTAACCTCTGTGGGAAGAGAATGCTACTACTCATGCCTCAATACCATTCTTACATGTCTAAAGACAAGCATTACTAAGGCTGTAACGATTCACTCGCATCTGCTGAATCGAACCGTAGCCCTTCATGAATTCAATTCGTTATTCATGGTCACCAGAACCAAATATTTACGATTTTTTTAAGAGAGCATGTTTTTCTTGAACCCTTATGTCCTTTCCAAAGTGAGATATGCAAGAATGGAACATGTACTAGCATTGCAGTAGTGCAAGTCATGTTAGTTTGCTAAGGCCGCACATGGTACTGTCGACTATAACTATTACATACCAAATTTGAGTGTCATGAGATCACTGGTTATTGCTGTGACAAATCAAAACTGTCAACATAGGCGTTCCATAAAGTGCATCAATCTCTTAACTACAATATTATATTCCTGAATAATTATTCGTATTCGTTACCCAAAATTCATGATACGTATCATATTCGCCACATAGTGTATTCGTTGCAGCCCTAAGTATTACACTTTATTTCCCAAGCTTCGTTTGTTCAGCAAATTATAAGATATTGTGGATGTGTATCCATGTAACACCTTCCAGGTTTCTATTAGTAATCAGTAGACACTAGACAGAAGGTAGATGTTGGATAATAAAAGTTGAGAATTCATGGATTTATCTAGATCTGCTTAGAGCTTCTTTCTTTTTCAGCTCCAGGTTAAAATGTTGTTTTTTTGTCATGTTTGTATTTTAACATTATTTCTAGGAGCATAATAAGCCATGTCAAAGTGCTCATGGTGGAAAGATGCCATTACCAGTCCAAATGGATAAATGAACCAGTGACTTTGCCTATCCCTGTATTAATAGTTTGTCTCGGAAACTTGTCATGGTTGTAACATTTGTATATATGCAGGATTCGAAATATTCCATATATTAGAGTGCCATGTCACGGTACATATTGAAATGGCACGGATGAAATATGTTCTCAGTGCCCTTGTGGCATGCCTAGTTCTTTAGAGACATACCTCACCTTTAGTGTTTTATTCCCCAAAACAAAACACTTACGCAAATGCCAAACAAGCAAAAACATTTATTGACTTTATCGCCCAGGAAATCACTGGAATTATGATGGAGGATGTAAAGAAATCTGGTTGTTTTTCCATTAAGAGTGTTGGGAGTACTGAAAAGTTCGGTTATTGAAGAGGAAATTGTGTATGTTAGATATATTGAACAAGATAACCTGTCACACAATTCTTATCTACTAAAGGTGCTGGGAAAGCAGAACAAATGAAGCTTAAGAAAACCATCTTAAACAGATTAGACATATCAGTGATAACAGAAAACAGTTTACATTTGTTGTTTACTAACAATAAATTTCAAATGATCATCATTGTTGCTACAGTCATCTATTCTAAAAACATGTGGGCACACTTGATTTCTGAAAGGCACATTTAATATATTTGCCTGGTGCCCTAAGGCACACTTAGAAAAAAAAGTATTTCTATCCCTGATATGTTATGCATTCTTGCTAGCAGTAGTCAATAATGTTTTCATTTACAGGAATTGCCTACATCACATTCAGTCGGACTTCGGAGGCAGCCTTGGCGATGGAGGAGATGAATGGGAGAAACATCGAGGGACAGCCTCGACCACTCAAGGTAAGAAGTGCAACATATCATCATTACTTACTGGGGGGCATAGGTTGCTGTACACAGTTGTGTTCCTTGGGCATGGCAGAAACCTATGACAGTGGGTTTGAATCCTTATCTTCTCCCTTACTCCCTATCCTCTTTCTTTCCTCCTCCCCCCCACCCCCCCTTAAATAAATAAAAAAAATGATGTTACTTGCAGTGTTTCCGTTCTCCGGTATATACCTGAAAATAGCTGGTAAAATTCGTTGGGGACCGGTAAATTGAAAGCCAAGCCGGACACTGTGTCCGGTAAATAATCATGTATTAAAATAAAAAAATCATGGGTAAGCGAAATCACAGTCTTGGCTGTGCTTTCATGGTCGCAAAAAGTGTTATGTTTCGGAAATACCCAGGCTAAAAATAACTTCAAAATGAGTATTTACAGTATGGTAATAGGATATGACCGGCAAATTTCATTCATGACTGGTAAAATTTTAGGTTGCCAGACACAGTGTCCGATAAATAATTTAGTCAGCGGAAACACTGTGCTTGGGTTTGTAGGCAGCATTCCTATGTCCGCGATTGTTTCCAAAGTTATAAAACAGTAGAGTGCTAGCTATGAGACAATGTTATTTTTAATCAGTTATCTGTAATATGAAACAATCATGTGGTGTAGCTTGTAAATGTCTAAGACCTGAAACACTTCAGGCTTTCATCACTCATCAACTTCACAAGCCATACTGTTGAAAGCAATGCTATATCCAACTTGCTTACTCGCTGACTTTAAATGCCACTCTATCTCTCGTTGATCAATAATGTTAAAAGAAAGAAGGTTTCTAAAAAAGCTATAGCATAGTCAAGTTTATAAGGAAAACAGTATTTCATATGGAATCTTGTCTGAAGGGTAAAGGGTTATTACCAGCCCAGAATTCAAGCACCTGCAAAGAAATATTTGTAACATTTTTGTATGGATGTCTTTTCATGTTCAAGTTGTTACTACGTTCAAGTTATCGATGTTCCTAATATGTACTTTTTCAAGATGTTTACTTTGTTTTCCCATTTTTCAGGTTGTCATAGCAAATAGTAAAAGAGAAGGATCTATTCGAGACCCCAAAGAGAAGAGAGAATTCTTCGATTATTTGTTGTTATTCCAAAAGCCTTCAAAGAAGACGACCTGCGTACAGAGTTCAGTGTGAGTTTGCAGTGTTACTTGGTGACAGTTTGACGTGGGAGGCAGGATTGGGGATTCACCCACGAAAGAAACTGCCTCTTGCTTTGTGGTTAAAAGCGTTCTTTCATCTTGTCGGAAACCCGGATTTGATTCTAAAATAGATACAATGTTCAAAACCCATTTCTGGTGCCCCTGCTGTGGATATTGCTAAAATTGGCATAAAATTTTCACTCAGCAGTAACCTGTCTGAAAGTGTTACATTGTACCCCTTCGCTTCACAGTAAAATCACTCCGATATATTGCAGCGGCTGCGGTTAAAACATGAACCCCTTTCACTCACTCATTCACCCAACTTTAGATTGATTGTTTGAAGGTCATGTTCCCTGTTCTGTTTCAGCAATATGGAGACATTGACTATGTGAATGTTCTCCGTAACAAGGGCGGTGAAAGCAAAGGTTTTGGCTACGTCAAGTATTTCCGCCCCTATCACGCGGCCAAGGCCTTCGAGGAGTGCGACAAAAGTAAGATCTGGGTTACCCTCATCACTGCTAAATGACCTCAACATATTGCCTTACATATATGATATGAATATAATGATGATAGAATGAAATTGTTCACCCACATTTTTTCATATACATACAAAGGATGATAATTCCCATGACCCATACATCGAGAGGTTTCACTATATGGCAATCAGGAGATTCTTTCATGTTTTTAGCATGACCGGCAATGATAAATATTATCATAATAATAAAAGTAATAATAATACTGGGCTCAGGGTAACACTATTTAACACAAGGAGCATGCGCACAGCATATTCTTGACAGGGTTTGTGTGTCTATTGTGTATGTTGAGGGTGTAGCAAGAACTTCATTTGGATAAGGTAGATTAGGGTATTTTTCGCAGTTTCTGATTTTGTCATCATTGCTTCTGAAGATCTGAATGTTTACATGGATATTGCTGAACTATTCCATGTTTATGACCCCCTCTCTTAAACATTGGCTATTGTGACTTTTAGGTTACAAGGCGATGTTTGCTGAACCTCCACGCCCAAAAGGTGTACGAGAAATGGACGATCCGGAATACTACTATGACCAAAATAGAGGTGGGTAGAAGAAGTTCCATTGGTCCCCAACAACCTATTTATAATTGTATGTTTTTTTGGTTATTTTGCCATTCATTTTGTATTCAAGTTTTCAGACAAAAATATGTCAGTTTTGATTTATTTTCAACTGTCACCAGTCCTTGTCGAAAGCCTTTTGTCATTTGCGTCAATTGGCCAAAAATTAAATTATAGATATACTTACAAAACTTGTTATATTTTTTGTACCCACGAACCTGGTATATAGAAAAACTATTACAATATGTATCATTTGAAGTGTGTATTGCAGTATACCAGTATGTAGTTAACACAGTGCAGTCCAACTTGTTATTCATCCCATGCTCAGTGAGGTCAGTCAGTGGCCAGTACTGTAGAACAATGTATGATGTATGTATATATTTTCTAACCTCAGGGTCGAAGAGGTCGTATGATGAGGACTATGGTGGCAGCTACAACCGACATGGTGGTGGAGGTCATCGTGACCACCGTGACCATCGAGATCATGGTGGGCACGGTGGTGGTCATGGCGGTGGTCATGGCGGGGGACATGGCGGGGGACATGGCGTTGGTATGGGTGGTCTTGGTGGTGGCCTTGGAGGTGGACTTGGCGGTGGACTTGGCGGTGGTCTTGGAGGGGGTCTAGGAGGTGGTCTAGGAGGTGGACTGAGTGGCGGTCTGGGCGGAGGTCTAGGTGGTGGTCTTGGAGGACCTATTGGAGGACGAGACTGTAAGTGGATGGGCAGTTCACCTGAGGCGTGTTCAGAACCGCGAGCGCCTGCGCTTTTGCCTCCCATAAGCCCTCGCATCGGCCCTGAACGGATGCGAGCGCTTGGTTACATTAAACCATTCGTGACCAACTCGTGTTATTCCGGGACAAGCCGAATAGCTTCTTGTCTTCTTGTTGGAGGTTACGGAAAGGGGCGAGTGGTGATGAATGACATTAAACATGGTCGCCATCTTGGTTCGCTTGGCGAGGCAACTGAGAGGATGGTTCGCGTGCGCGCGCGGCCACTGGAACGGGCACAGGCGTTCAGGATCAAGCGTTCGCTAGCGTTCGCGGGCACTCGCGGTTCTGAACACGCCTCTGGTTTATCATTGCATGTCGTTGAATGACTTCAAGAACTGTGTCTCTAGTACAATGTTTGGTGTAAATTATTGTAATTTGGTTCTCTCATTGCTCAGTTTATATCCTCATTTTATCGGAAAAACTAAATAGTACCAAATCAAGGGTTAAATGCTGGATGCTTATTAACTGAGAGATGCTGGAAAGTACCATCACTGACAGAATCTTTCATCCACAGTCCCCATGTCGCCAGCTCAGATGGGTCCGCTTGACTTACTGGAAAACTACGCCATCTCCTCACCGTGTGTCAAGCTTCAAATTGTGGCTGCGATAGGGCTGCCCCAGCGCTACCTGTCCGTGCTCTTCAGCCTTGTCCCCGGACTGGAATATTGTGACTTCAATGAGTCAACAGGTAAGGCAATCATTGTTATCCCCCGCCGCGCGTTTAGCGCAAAGCGGGGGATATAGTATTAGGCTCTGTCCGTCCGTCACGAATTGGAATATCTTAAGAACCGTTCACTAGATTCTTTTCATATTTGGTACCTAGGTTCATCACAGTATAAGAAAGGCCCAAGTCAGGTTTGGTGACCTTGACTTTAATTTCAAGGTCACAAGGGGACTTTAACGTTTTACCTGCATGTTAAGCTATCTCAAGAACTGTTCACTGGATTTTCTTCATATTCAATACAAAGCTTTATCTAGGGAAGGCGCAGGGCCCAGTCGATTTTGGTGACCTTCACGTAATTTTCAAGGTCATGGCGACACATTGAAGATTTCAGCATGTAAACGTGCATGTTAAAGGTCACATGCAACGTAAAACACAACTTTGCAGATTCTGATACCTTTCGGTATTGACTTACCGAAACAAAGCGTCAAAAATGCAAATTCAACTTATAAAGTTGAAAAATAACGCGATGAAAAAAAACGCGCGAAATCGGAGTTCAAACGTTTCACTAATTTTCCCCAGACTTTTCTGGGGAATACGGGTTTCAACAGCTGGCTGCGCTCATAGCACGTGCGCAGTGAAATAGGTTCGCGCAACTTGGAAGCGGGCTGTCTGGTGAATACTCTGTGAAGGCTTTGGTGTGAGCTAGTTTCCTAATGTTTTGTTGATATCTCACAGGTGCGAGCTTTTGTATGTTATGACAGTAAATAAACTGTTTATATAATTTCATTTGTCTATTTCACCACACGTTCTTCTTACGAGTCACTTTCTCAGTTCGATGCTTAAAAGCATTATTTAGAGTTGACACGATTTCTAACTGTGATATAGATATGTCGCTGTCACAGACAAAACTCAATGTCTTGTTTTATTGACACCAGTGTGTCTGCCTGCCTGTCTGCTAATGACAATATTCAATACACAACTGCGATCACTGACCACATGCAATTTGAACTTAACACCAATCAGGCTATACACCATAAACAAAAGCGCATTGATTTATGGCCCGAGTTCGGTCTCTGTCACATTATGTAATTACACAGACAGGCAGGTGTGATACTTGAACACATGACATGTTATGATGTCTGTTGATTGCAAAATGTTATACACAAAAATGAGCATGTATTTACAAAACCCAACTTTCTATATATACACACACAATGACCCGTGAAGGCGGCATCTGCTAATGAACCAGCCGTTATACTTGAGTGCACACCCACCCGCTCTGACTGGGTTCGGTATCCCGGCTGCTTCGTTTCGAGGGAGGTAAACCCAAGTACAAAATATTGCACTTTTGATTTGCGATTATCGCTTATAATTTTGTTTATTTGTTTTTTCATAATCAGCAATGCATATTATATGTCATGAAGAAGTGATAATTGTGTTTTAATTATGTTTGATTTTTTGGTTGCATGTGACCTTTAAGCTATCTCAAGAACCGTTCACTTGATTGTCTTCATATTCAATGCAAAGCTTTATCTAGGGAAGGCGCAATTTTCAAGGTCACAGAGACACTTTGAAGATTTGAGCATGTTAACCTGAATTGTCAGCAAGATATTTCAAAAACAGTTCACTGGATCTTCTTCAAAGACTTTCAAGACTTCCCTTAAATGTTTTTCAAAAAGCAATTTCTTTAGTACTATTTTTGCATATTTCATACACTATGACATTCATGTCAAAGTCAGTCTTGGAACTATGTGTGTGCTTGAACACCTAAAGAGCAAGACATCAAGAGAGGTTGACTGGTCATGTTTTTGTTGACATTTAGCTTAAACTTTCATTACTTTATAAGTTTGATTTGATAATTTGGCGGGGGGGGATTATGTCACCTTATTGACAATGCTTGTTTAAGTTATGTGTTGGGTGTGTCCCTGGTCTACAAAACTTTACACAGAAGGTAAAACATTTGAAATGTACAGATATGTAGTACATCTATATATTCAATGTGACAGGTTTTGTACAGCTCTGTTCATGCTTGTGTGGTAGATATTGTATTGTGCTGTATGCCCTATGTTTTTGGTGTTGTTCATTACTATATATCCTTGTTGCAGGAGCTACATGCATACAATATGATACATCCTTGATGCACTGTACAGCACTGTATATCCCTATGTTGCAGGTATTGGGTATGCACGCTACTCTAACCCTCAGTGTGCATCCTATGCCCGAGACAAGCTGGACGGCTTTGAGTACCCTATTGGCAGTCAGCTCCGAGTGTCATTTGCCGACGGAGGGGGATCCCCAGGAAACAGTTTTTCAGGGTGAGTCACTTTACAACAATTACGACCAATATGACCACATTATGATGTAAGCTGTTCTCGAGGGGGACATGGGCTGATGTACGTTCAATGTTTGTTTATGTTCCCTGAGCCGGAAGGGCGAAGGGAACATAAAGAAACATCGATGGTTCGAGAACAGTGAACAACGTATTTATCTTACCGAACACCTCAATGGTAATTTTGAACTGTTTGAAGCATGGGTATCAGATCATTGCATGGAGTATAAGACGACAAGAAAAACAAATTTAGAGTTATCTCCCTTCCATCGATTTGCATTCGCAAAACATCGGTAATTTCCGTACATCATACGTGATTCAATGTTATTTGAGATAAAGAATTACTACTACAAAGTACCAAATGAGTTTGGCATTCCCAGCAGGGTACATAGAAAATGTTACTCACTTGTAAGCGGGGTACATTGAAAATAATAGAAGAGCACTCAGCCAATCAGAAAACAACATTTATGTGTGAGGCAAGATAATAGGTCGTATTCAGTGATTTATACTCCATGCCCTTCACCTAATACTCATTTCTCTTGCTGTAGGTCAAGGTCAAGAGATGGCCCTGACGTCCGACATAAGGTGAGTATTAGACTAGCAAGATCGTCACACAGCACTACGCTATAGGATGTACCAGTATTTGTTTTGGGGACATGTTGGCCCAGTTGTTAAGGTTGCAGCTGTTCTTGCATTGTCAGCACAATACCTGTGCTTGTGGGTTTCACCAGCATGGTAAATGACTGAAACTTGGATCACTTCAGGCTTTCCTCCAACAGGCCCTCGTGTCTTTGTGAAGATTAAAGATTAAATGTTTTTAAAAAAATTTGAGATGACCCCCAACTCGAAATGCTACACAGAACAATACATTATGACAAGGCCGGACACTTTTGTATACCCCACCCAGCTTGCTTTGCTGATCGCTACGCTACCATCGCATGTAATCGATTAAAACTTAATGTGAACATAATCATGGATGATTGGCCTATCGAGCACCAATCATGAAACCTACCAATTCTATATTGTTATTTCTGCAAGTTGATTGAAACCCGATTTTGACTCTCAACAAACAACGATCTTGACACAAATGGATGACAATATATCCACACAAAGTAAAACTCGACTTAAGCAGACTTAAGTGTTTGGTCCAAGCAAAGTGTCCGCCTTGTCATAATGTATTGTACTGTGAAGCATTTCGAGTCGGGGGTCATCTCAAATGTTTTATTTGTTTTTAACATCTTTAATCCTCGCAAAGAAAGACACGAGGGCCTGTGTTTCCTCCTAGATCCAGCTGACATGCCAAGAATACTGTTAAAACCTCACTCACTCACTCTGAAAATATACCACTACTCTATAGCAATTCAGTGTGTTTGTACTGTATCGTTTGAGCACAATGTAACCATGGTAACGCTATCTGTTGTAGGCCGCCATGTTGCTGGAGAAGGCTGGGATCAACCCACACCAGGTCCTCAACGCTGACAGCTCCATGGAGAGGGTTGGGTACTGCAACATCGTCCTCCCCCCTCCCAAACCCCTCAAACCTGAAGACACGCCTGTAGCACAGAGGCTGTTTATTGTGTGTCAGCCCTCGTCTGTGTCCGAGAAGATTCTGCGAGATGCCTTCTGCAGATTTGGAAATCTTATCGATGTGTATCTTCTGGCAGGTAGGTTGTCACTGTCATTGTCTCGTCCTGTCTTGTAACATATATGTACTGTACTTGTCCAGACGTCTCTGCTCAAAAACAGTTGGTTATTCCTTGATCAGTGGATCAAGCATTATTGTTTGATCAGTGGATCAGCATGCCTGGTGGATCAGTGTTCATGGAGGATCATTGGATCAGCATGCATTATGGATCATTGGATCAGCATGCATGGTGGATCATTGGATCAGCATGCATGGTGGATCATTGGATCAGCATGCATGGTGGGTCATTGGATCAGCATGCATGGTGGATAATTGGATCAGCATGCATGGTGGATAATGGATCAGCATGCATGGGTCATGGATTGATGCATTGGATCAGCATGCATGGTGGATCATTGGATCAGCATGCATGGTGGATCATTGCATGCATGGTGGATCATTGGATCAGCATGCATGGTGGATCATTGGATCAGCATGCATGGTGGATCATTGGATCAGCATGCATGGTGGATCAGTATGCATGGTGGATCATTGGATCAGCATGCATGGGTGATCATTGGATCAGCATGCATGGTGGATCATTGGATCAGCATGCATGGTGGATCATTGGATCAGCATGCATGGTGGATCATTCATGGTTGATCAGCATGCATGGTGGATCATTGGATCAGCATGCATGGTGGATCATTGGATCAGCATTCATGGTTGATCAGCATGCATGGTGGATCATTGGATCAGCATTCATGGTTGATCAGTGGATCAGCATGCATGGTGGATCTGTGAATCAGCATGCATGGGGGATCATGTCCAGTGGATTAGTGGCGTTAAACAATAACAGACAAAGAAACAAACTTTGGTAATTTGATGGTCACTTGCAGTTGAGGCATGGCCTAAGTAGCTCTTCAAAAACTATTCCATTTTGTGCTCCTTTTAGTCATCTGTATGACGACACATGCTATACTTGCTGTCTTACCCATATGTACCTTTTATCTCTGTCAGGACGTAACTACGGTTACGCCAAGTTTGGTAGCAAGGAGTCAGCTATGAAGGCTATTCAAGTGCTACACGGTCAGCACCTCACTGGACAGAGGCTCAAGGTGCTGGAGGCTGAGCCCCCAAGAACGAAGGAGCAGGGGAGGGGCCAGCAAAGAAAGCCAGATACTGATGTGGGTGTGATGCAAGGTGAGAGGGATAAGTTAGTGTGAGTTGGAGTGATACTGTTGTCATGGGTTACTGTCGTCATGGGATGGGATACTGTCATCATGGGTTACTGCAGCAGGGGTTCAAAAGTCCTTGATGATGTTAGATTCTGTCTCTGCCATTAATCTTAGAGTCTTCCAACCAGATTTGTTACCTGATGTTCTTCATCTGTAGATTTACTGTTGATGTGTGGACTTAATTAGCTGAGTTTACTGGACTAAAGGACAGTTTACAGGACCTGGCTCTGGAGTAATAGCCAACTTTTGTTGCATAATTTACTGAGTAGTTAATGCTGAATGGGTAAATATTTGCACAGTTAGGACAGAAACCCTTTTGATATTACAGGATTTGAAGGTAAATACAAAATGTATATATAGAGACCCTGAATGTTCATGACACCTGTTGGCATGTTTGCACTGGCAAAACTTTGATGGTGAGCAGTGACATTTACAAGAATTTTTGAATCCCTGGGAGCATTGCCTAGTTGTGACGGGTGACTTGATCACCCCACAGACTTCTTAGTTTTGGGAATTTCATTACATCTTCTAAAAGAAAATAATGAAATTGTTTTTGTGAGTCTGAAAGCATTTTCTAATAAACATTGCTAACACGTGTAATTAGTCAAGATGACTGGTTACAGGGCGTAAATGTTGGTGACAGATAACAAGACTTATTGTCTCCCTATCTCCCGGTCCGGTACCTCTCTTGCAGTGTTTGTCTTCTTGAATTGTGGCCAGTGGAAGAGACTCAGTAGATTTTCATCCATCTTAATCTGTCTTCCTGTGGAAAAGTAGTCATGATCATTGACCAGAAATCACTCTCACATCTTGATAGTGAGATATTTGAAAACAACAGCACCTATTAATTGGATGGGGCAATCATCAGATCTGTTTTCATTCCGTGGAATGTTAATGCAGATTAGATGTTTGTTGATATGTTTTCCACCACAAATGTGGAAGTTTCTATTAGATGACTGTTTCAGTGTGTCGGGTCATGCTGAATTCAATAGGATTATAGGGCTGGATAGACCCCAAGGCAGAATGTGTGTCCCTCTTGTGAATGACTGTAACATTAGGAAATTAAATGGAGATCTTGAGGCAAAATGCAAGTATTTAGGCTTATGATCAGAGAGAATTTGTACAAGAAAGCTAATGCTTAAGTCGAAGCCAGATGTGAAGTTGTAACATTCCTACAATGTGAGATGTGATGAAAATCAAATGATAAGGTTGAAAAATGTTTGCTTCACAGGTAATGACATTTGAATTATTTGTCAAGCTGGTTGGCACCTGGGTGCCGTTGTACAAACAACCGTAGCAGTGTGCCTATAGTGGGACAGTGTTACAGGTATGGGAGTGGCTATCACCTTAGCACTAAGATTGTATTGTACTACGGCAACTAGGTGTGCTTCAATGACTGAGGAACAAGTAAAACTGCTTCAGTGCTGTTTCTGAAGACCCAGTACCCAGAGGTTAAAGCTCGTTACATCAAAGACCTGGGTTCGATTCCCCACATGTCAACTATGTGTGAAGCCCATTTCTGGTGTCCCCCACTCTGATATTGTTGGAATATTACTAAAAGCACAAAGCAGCGTAAAACCATACTCAGTCAGTCAGTACCTGGGAACGAATGTTTTTCTTCTTCAGCCTTGCAGTGGCCTTTTTCATAATCAAGTATGTCAATGTTAATACCATGTCAATTTCTTAACAGTTGACTGACCTTGAAACGGACGTCACCAACAAACAGACATGCGCCTGTGACTTTGAGCAGTCGACCAATCACAGAACACCTGACAGTGAAAACGGAAAACAATTGACCAATCACAGTACATGACCTGATAACTGTGAACATTTGTGACAAATAGCCAGATATCTCCTTTGCCAATACTGGTGACATTATGGTTGACTGTGTAACGTCTGTGAACCCGTTCTTGTTCAAATCAAGTTATTCTGGCCCATTTCACACTATGTTGTAGGATTATTATCTAAACTCAGATTTTTGTGGGGTTTTCTACACGTGTGACTGTTAAGTCAATTACAAGTCATCAGCTGCATATAATCACTACAAATAATGAGATTTTGAAAGTGTAAGAACTCATCATCACACCAGTATTTTACTGCTTTGTTCTTGAAGCAAAGGAATTTTAGAACAAGAACAGTGTTGACTCTTCAAACATTTGGGATAGTTTTAATCTTAATTCATTGTTTATGTGGATGTTATTGTTCTTTAGACAATGTATTGTGGGCTGGAGATACTTATTGCTATCACCTGTCTCGCTTATCGCCTGATCGCTTTTGTAGTTTATCATTACATGTGAGTTTTAGTTCCGCACAGATCACCATGTCCAGTTTGTGTTGCTGTTGAAGTCATCTTGTCATACAAACTTCACCGTGTTGTCCCATGTTTAACTATTGTTGTATAATACTTTCGAAAGAGGAAATAAATGTGATAAAGAATGGGACTGCTTCAGCGACATTTTAACTTGACTTCTTCATGACGTGTAGATGTGTTGTCAGGACATGGTAAGATCTTTGGGTGAGAGTCACGGCGAAGGTCTGGGTTCGATTCCCCACATTGGTGCAATGTGTGAAGCCCATTTCTGGTGTCCCCTGCCGTGATGTTGCTAGAATATTGCTAAAAGCAGTTTAAAACCATACTCACTCAATAGAACAATGCCACAGTTAAGATCACTGGATCAGTAGCTGTACAATAGAACTGTCCTACAGTAAGGATCACTGGACTAGTAGCTGTACAATAGAACTGTCCTACAGTAAGGATCACTGGACCAGTAGCTGTACAATAGAACTGTCCTACAGTAAGGATCACTGGACCAGTAGCTGTACAATAGAACTGTCCTACAGTAAGGATCACTGGACCAGTAGCTGTACAATAGACCTGTCCTACAGTAAGGATCACTGGACCAGTAGCTGTACAATAGAACTGTCCTACAGTAAGGATCACTGGACCAGTAGCTGTACAATAGAACTGTCCTACCAGTAAGGATTGCTGGACCAGTAGCTGTACAATAGAACAGTGTCCTACCAGTAAGGATCATCTGTCCTACCCTGGACCAGTAGCTGTACAATAGAACTGTCCTACAGTAAGGATCACTGGACCAGTAGCTGTACAATAGAACTGTCCTACAGTAAGGATCACTGGACCAGTAGCTAAACAATAGAACTGTCCAACAGTAAGGATCACTGGACCAGTAGCTGTACAATAGAACTGTCCTACAGTAAGGATCACTGGACCAGTAGCTGTACAATAGAACTGTCCAACAGTAAGGATCACTGGACCAGTAGCTGTACAATAGAACTACAGTAAGGATCTCTGGACCAGTAGCTAAACAATAGAACTGTCCTACAGTATGGATCCCTGGACCAGTAGCTGTACAATAGAACTGTCCTACAGTAAGGATCACTGGACCAGTAGCTGTACAATAGAACTGTCCTACAGTAAGGATCACTGGACCAGTAGCTGTACAATAGAACTGTCCTACAGTAAGGATCACTGGACCAGTAGCTGTACAATAGAACTGTCCTACAGTAAGGATCACTGGACCAGTAGCTGTACAATAGAACTGTCCTACAGTAAGGATCCCTGGACCAGTTGTATATCAGGCTGGACCAGTAGCTGTACAATAGAACTGTCTCGACAGTTAAGATCCTTTCAGCCGTAGCTGTACAACAGTACCTTTCCACTGTCATCACCGAACTAGTAACTGTACAATAGAACTGTCCCCTGTATAGATCACTGGACCAGAAGGTGTACTGGGGCACTATCCAATGGTTGGTTTAATATGATTTTCTTCAGGGATCGCAATTCTTTATTTTGCACCAAAGTGTAAGATATTCATTGTTAGATTACCAGCATGTCTTAGTAAATCCTAGAATGTAGAAGGGGCGGTGGGGTAGTCTAGTGGTTAAAGCGTTGGCTCGTCACGCCGAAGACCCGGGTTCGAATCCCCTCATGGGTACAATGAGTGAAGCCCATTTCTGGTGTCCCCTGCCGTGATATTGCTGAAATATTGCTAAAAGCGGCGTAAAACCAAACTCAGTCAGTCAGTAAAATGTAGAAAATTTAAATGCGGACATAATTTTCAAGACAAGTCATGTCACCATACCCAAGATTGTTCCAGTCAGGTAAAATTAAACTCAGTTAAAGTCAGCATGTTGAAGACATGTATTGACTTTGTGCTACCATCAGAAGCAAGCACCTATTACTATCATATAGTTGTAGAAGTACATGTAGCGCGAGAAGATGTTGATGACGGTGTTACTGACAGCGAGGACAAGGAGCAACTGACGCACGCCACCAGCGGGACTACACGGAGGATGACCGAGTAACTGACTGCTTCACGGGTAGTCCATGTGTTGTTTCACACAGGCACTTTTCTTGTAGGGGAGAGAAATTGTCAGCAAGCTGGTGCAGAAGCTGAAGCAAGATCCCCTGTGTCTTTTGACTGACAAACATTCTAAGATGACAACTGCAAAACACTTGAAACGTTTTAGTAGCCTTCCGATTCCTCTATGCCTTACTTTCATGAACTGTAACTGATGTTCAATAGGAGTAGAAATATTAACATTTATTCGGGATAAATATTCCTCTTGCTTAATAAAAATCTACAAACTTACAGAATGCAGATATCCCAGTGTGACATATTCAGAAGTAGTTTTCTAGGTTTTATGGTAATTACAAGATAGTAGGCAAAATGTACAATTAGCATATTACGAAAACAAACTTTTGAAAGTATGGTCTGTGACTAGCATTTGTACTGTTGATGATTTCTCTCTTCCCAAGGAAAATGTGACGTGTGAAATAAAGACATATGTGATGTATTGATACTTTGTGATCACAGGGGATCACATCATGTTGCTCAATCTTTGCTAAGGATAACCGATGAATTAATGTGAGATCACTTCTTTGAGTGGCATTTTAGAAGTACAATGTAGACAAACTTTATGGATTACAACTTCCGTATTTCCTGAGTGTGCGACGTTTCGAATCTGTATCGAAACGTCGCACTCACAAAATAAAGCGTTGTAATCCATAACAGTTTGTCTACCAGTATATTATTATGTGAGATCAGTCAGAATTACATGAAGCATTAAATGAAACAGAACTATATATTTTAAATGTAATATCAGAATGAAATTCAGTGGAATGATTCTGAGATAAGATGTGTTTGTCAGTAAAAAGAGTGCAATTCTTTGAACAAATCAGTAGTGTCCTTACACTTATGTACAGACAACAGTTTACGATAGCTGTAGTACAAGACGACCTCATTGAGGACATGCTTGACTTTAATTGTGACCTACAGAGTGACCTAATGTTTGTAGGATCAGTTAGTAATCAGGACCTATATTGGACATCTACCACTCAAAATATGTGAAACATAAACTGGTTATGTTATATAAGTATAGTTAATCTTGTTGTGCAATGAAAGATTAACTATGGCAAAATGAAAGAATCAGATGTTCTTCAGCATCTTTTGAAAAGTAAATACAGTGATAAGCAGATTATATCCTTAGCAAGATTTGAGTTATGTACTATAATTGTGATTAGAATTAGATCCTGCATGTTATAATCTATGAAACATTACTTTGTTGTGATGCAGAAGTCATAGTAAGTTGATATTTTGTTCTCTTGATTGTCTAAATTGGTTATTATTTAAGTGTAAGTATGGCATTGTGAAATGCAGTATATATGCTGAAAAAAAAGTTGAAAGTCAGGCAAGATTGGGGGTATATTTTGCATGAAATTGTGATCTCAGCTGTTACTACAAAAAGTACTCTCCAAAAGATTCATGATCCCCTACCTATTTGCCCAGTATAGATGTATTCAAACAAAGTGCTATGAATGCTAAACTGAAGAATTTATCAAACTTTTTCGGTATAGGTGACGTTTTTATAAAAGGATCTTAATTCTCAATGCATGACTTTATTCTGTACCAACTCCACCGATGTCAACTTCATCGCTAGATGTCATCCTGCATAGAGTTTAGCTTGGGGGGTTAGAGTATTGGGGACACGACTTGTACAATTGCATTATGACACTATTTATTTTTGTCCTTTCAGTTGTCCAGCCACCCCAGTCTGAAATGAAGCGAGGGATCAGTTCAGTGTTGTTGAGAAGTCTGAAGGTACTTACTTCAAACCAAACATTTTTCATTAGGAATTTCTTTGCTTTTGTGTGTGGTGTGTGGTTAGAGTTTTCGCTAGTCACACCAAATACTCAGGTTCAATTTCCCCCTTGGGTACAATGCGTGAAGCACATTTCTGGTGTACTCTCGCTTGATATTGCAGGAATATTGCTAAAAGCGGCGTAAAACTTAACTAACTCGCATTCTTTGCTTTTGAATCTGTTATCCGTGATCTTGAGCTTAGGTGCTCATGATCTCTTTTATGAGCCATGAGCTGAGCCCCTCAACCGTTGACGTATACGAGGGGAATGGTGTTACAGTATGTGCCTGATTGTGTCCACTGTGCTGATGGTTATGTGGTCTGAACTCTGTTAGGTTAGGAAGTCCCCACCTTGTGACTTATGAGGGGGTGGTGGTGTTACAGTATGTGGCTGATTGTGTCCACTGTGCTGATGGTTATGTGGTCTGAACTGTTAGGTTAGGAAGCCCCCACCTTGTGACTTATATGAGGGAGTTGTTACAGTGACTTATATGAGGGGTGGCGGTGTTACAGTATGTGGCTGATTGTGTCCACTGTGCTGATGGTTATGTGGTCTCAACTCTGTTAGGTTAGGAAGCCCCACCTTGTGACTTATATGTGGCTGGTGTAGTGGTGTTACAGGTTAGGAAGCCCCATGTGGCTGATTGTGTCCACTGTGGTGATGGTTATGTGGTCTCAACTCTGTTAGGTTAGGAAGCCCCCACCACTGTGCTGATGGTTATGTGGTCTGAACTGTTAGGTTAGGAAGCCCCCATCTTGTGACTTATATGAGGGTGGTGGTGTTACAGTATGTGGCTGATTGTGTCCACTGTGCTGATGGTTATGTGGTCTGAACTCTGTTAGGTTAGGAAGCCCCCACCTTGTGACTTATACGAGGGTGGTGGTGTTACAGTATGTGGCTGATTGTGTCCACTGTGGTGATGGTTATGTGGTCTGAACTCTGTTAGGTTAGGAAGCCCCCACCTTGTGACTTATATGAGGGTAATGGTGTTACAGTATGTGGCTGATTGTGTCCACTGTGCTGATGGTTATGTGGTCTGAACTCTGTTAGGTTAGGAAGCCCCCATCTTGTGACTTATATGAGGGTAATGGTGTTACAGTATGTGGCTGATTGTGTCCACTGTGCTGATGGTTATGTGGTCTGAACTCTGTTAGGTTAGGAAGCCCCCACCTTGTGACTTATATGAGGGTGGTGGTGTTACAGTATGTGGCTGATTGTGTCCACTGTGCTGATGGTTATGTGGTCTCAACTCTGTTAGGTTCAGGCTGCTGACATTGCTAAGAGTATTGTGAACTGCGATGTAAAGGAATATTCACTCAAATTGAAAAAGATCCTGTAAATCACATAATCCACAGAGCTGCTTTCAGCTAGTTCATGTCATCAGTGCTGTGATAGGTATATGAACACCATTTCATTGTATGTGGCCAGATTTTGTTATGACGTGTATTCACAATCGACAGCAAGTTTGTAAGACTTTGATATTATGAATAAGTAGTTGAGAGAGAAAAAAACACTTTTCCCCCAAATTATTGGGGAAATATAATTTTGCCTTGGGTTACACAAAGAATTTCTTGAAAGATGTTTTGTGAGTTCCCCCAAAATGGTCTCGTTCTTCCTTTCAGGGAATGTTATTGTAACAGCAACCGAAATAATATTCAGTCTCCAACATAGTACAGCTCACACTCATTGAATATGACAAGTTCACTCCAGAAATAATAAACAAAACGTTACCTAATGTATTACTATGTGGGTTGGATTTAACCTTTGTTGAATATCACTGTTTTAGGAGGACACATCAACCAAGGTGGAGATTTTGCTCGAGACAGGCATGGGTGAGGGTCTGTTATTAGAAGCACAGACTGAAAGAATCAAATGGTCAAATTCACTGCTATTAGCAGATCAAGACCCATACCACCACTCTAGTCAACAGACCCAGATGATTGGATCAGTGCAGGTGCGGTTGCAAATTATTCAAAGTCTGTGATACTGTCAACTACACCAGGTTCTACAGTGACATTTTTAACCTACTAACTCTCATGATACTTTAGGGGCGGTGGGGTAGTCTGGTGATTAAAGTGTTCGCTCATCACGCCGAAGACCCGGGTTGGATTCCTCACATGTGTGAAGCCCATCTCGTGTCCCCGACGTGATTTTGTTGGAATATTGCTAAAAGCTGTGTATAACTTACTCACTCACTCATAATACTTTGAGGAAGAAAGGTACTGCATTGATGAATTTGTTGTTTCAGATTCTACGTCCGGCCATGATAGATAGCCACCACCATGTTGCAATATGGACAGTTGAGAGACGAGATAGCCTTGTGGTAAAAACAGATGTCTGATCAAGCCGCACACCTGGGTTTGATTCCCCAATAGCTGTGGAACCCTTGTCTGTTGTCCACAGTGGTGATGTGGATTCCTGTAGCCTCGAGGTTAAAGTGTTTCATCAAGCCTCACACCAGGATGATTCTCCACATTTCTGAAGTCCCCAATAGTGATTTGGCTAAAAGAATGCTAAACGCATATCACAGCCTTGGTCACTCACTCAAGTGCATCTTTTCTCTTAATAAAACAAACACAATGTAAATTTTTGTTCAGTGTGCTTGTCTGTACAACAGAAACTGGAAATCTGCATACTTTTTTCCCCGATATGTATATTGTAAGCATTGATCTTCGACACTGTTCGAGGCGGAGGGGTAGCCTAGTGGTTAAAGCGTTGGCTCGTCGCCGAAGACCCGGTTCGATTCCCCACATGGGCACAATGTGTGAAGCCCATTTCTGGTGTCCCCTGCCGTGATATTGCTGGAATATTGCTAAAAGCGGCGTAAAACTAAACTCAGTCAGTCAGTCGACACTGTTCAAGAACAAAACACATGAAATGTGGATTATAGTTTATTGTAAGTTTATCATCATGTTCCCATATATACAATAATCTGAATCATGCACCTCTTGAAGGGGTCATATCACATTGTGGACACCCAGAAAATATTTCAGTAACTGCTGTGCAGGAACAATATATACACATCTGATAGGCAGGCCACCACCATGTTGTCTCCATAGCACCAACAAGGGGAGATAACCTACATGCACAAATCTCATTTTCAAAGACCCCCAGCAGAGATAAAGAAACCACAAGTTTTTCTATATTTTTATGAATTTGAAGGAAGTTGAAGCCGAGAATATGGAATAATTATATTTTTAATGGCGATGACGGATGAATTATAGTCACATACAAAATGGGTGCTCTTGAACTTTGAGTAGTAAAAGAAATGTGACTTTGATACTCTGCAACCATTTAATCTTTGATACACTGATATATATACTGTCTTGAAAGAGAACTTTCCATTTTGACCCATGCAGTGGAAATGAGTATTGGACTATAATATGAATCATCTAAATGCTGGTAATATCAACTTTGACCAAGTATGGCTAACATGGGCCAGTGTTCCATTCCCTAAAGCATCGTACAGCTACCTTAGCACCGAGATCTTTGTGGAATGGGTCCAGGAGATACAGGGATATATGAAAATAAGAGTATCATTAGGTATCATCTGGTGTTTTGTGAAAATACTATACACAGAATAAAGTACAATATTTCCTCAATTATATGTCTGGGCAAATGTTTCTTTCACCCATCTTCTGATCATCTGGGCTTTAATTTCATATTTTTAAATTAATCTCTCAATCACATTGTTTAAATTGTGAATATTCTTTGAGGTGGCAAGAGAATAGAGATGACTACACACTGAATAAATACAGCCACAATATAAGAAACTCGGGTTTCACATTCAGTGTGGAAACCTTATTAATCTCTTCCTAGTGAATTTATCTAGATTAAAGATTATGAGTAATGTTGACTGAAAAATGCAGAGAGGAACCAACTAAGACTGAAAATTGTGGTTTCTGAATTGGTAGTGTCTGAAATAATGAAATTTCACTGTTCCTAAGTGGAAATGAGCATGGTATTTACACGGGTAGATGTTGACATAATGGCAGTTCTATCCTGCAGGTTAAATGGAGTTGACTTATTACCCACCATTGTCCTTGAATATTTGACGTAAGGCAGATATATGAGTAAAATAAGAAAAGGTAAAGATCTAATTATGTCATGGAAACCGTAACAGGATACATTTATGAACTTAAACTATCAAGATCAATCTTTGAAATACCATTTAAGTGTAACGCAAAGTCATAAATTGCTATCGGATTTCAAGGTGTTGAGCTTTCATTCAAGAAACGTGATATTCAATTTCACATTGGCAATTTGTGTGTCCCTTATTGCTGTTTGGTAATTAAAACATACAATACAATAAGCACAATGAAATGTACATGTAAAGCTAACGTCTATGCACTTCTACAAGACAAACAAAACAATTTGTTACCTTAACCAATCAGTTGGCAAGATAGTCAAATATTCATTCCCTTCCTCTAACATTCATACCAAGTTGATGAGCATTATAAAAATAATCATTAACATGCATAATTATTAATAATTATGATCGATAAGATGGAAAGAATATTGAATAGACAAAAAAACAAAACAGAACTATATTGCACAAAGCAGAATATTTGGCAACAAGCATTATGGCTGAACTGCTGTGAGATACAAGGTACAACTCCATCAGTGTCACTCTGTTGATATACATTACAAATACAATGTCAACATGATGATAAAACAAAGTGATGACCACCACACTCAACATTACCAGATGGAGACCAGGCACCCGTGAAGATCCGGGTTAGAATATTGATCTTCAGTAACCCATGCTTGTCTTAAGAGGCGACTAGCGGGGTGCACACTATTAACGGGAAGGTGGTCAGGCTCACTGGTCATTAAATAAACTTTCAGGACATGTCATCGGTTCCCAATTGTGCAGATCGATGCTCTTGCTGTGGATCACTGGATTGTCTGGTCCAGATTCGAATATTTACAAACCGCCGCCATATAGCTGGAATATTGCTAAATGCGGCGTGAAACTAAACTCACTCACTCAATAAGACCAAGTGCTTGTAAACTCCACACAGTTATCTTCAGATACCCGGGACAAGGCCACCAATTATATGGAAGGTTTGGTGAGAGTTGGGAGATGCTAGATAATGAACCAAACTTAGCATGAATGGATGTGGAAGAAGTGCTTGTGCAGTTTTTGCAGGGCTCCAGATAATTTTTCAACATCAGGAGTACGTACTCCTTATTTGTTCAATATAGGAGTACTGGAAAACCTCAAGTGTACATTTAGAGTACTGAATGGTTACTGAATGGATATTATTTCATATATGCACCACTGTGTAAACAGGTCTGAACAATAAGAAAACCTCAAGTGTACATTTAGAGTACTGAATGGTTGGTTTGTTGTTTTACGCAGCACTCAGCAATATTCCAGCTATATGACGGGGGTCTGTAAACAATCAAATGTGGACCAGACAATCCAGTGATCAACATCATGAGCATCGATCCACGCAACTGGGATATGATGACGTGTATCACCCAAGTCAGGGAGCCAGACCATCCGATCCTGTTACTCGCCTCTTATGACAAACATGGGTTGCTGAAGACCCAGTTCTTACCAGGATCTTCACGGGTCTGTTTGTACAGAAACAGTGATCTGGTCACACCAAGGATGGGGCCACCAATTACATAACAGGTTTAGTTGTGTGTCTGGTATCTTACCAAACTAGCATAACAGATTACAAACAAGTACACTACATAATCCACAGAGATCTTGGACAAAGAAGATTACAGCTAAAGGGAGAGTTATGAAAAAAATAATTCATTTATCAGGTAGAGTTTGATGAAAAGGAACATCTATTTTACATCTTAGAAATATTGATAAGTTGTGATGTGATTCCATAACAAAAATCCTACTTTGGCAACTTTGTGTCATAAGGAAGCAGTAATCTCATGGAACATTACCTCCATGGTAACTATGGCAACTGACGGATGGCTTGCAGGAACTTCTAATAATACATCCCTGCTTTGAATATATACAGTACCATCATTTGTAGCACTTGATCATGCTGCTGTAACAGGTTTTCAAAATTTCACAACCATTTTTTTTAATGATAAAGATGATCAGTTTATTTCATCTCTGATGATGCCGATTTGGATACTGGTGAGCTAAAACTTAACATCTTTCACAAATATGGGGCTTTGTTCAAACTTAATTTGAATCTACTTTCCCTAAAAAATAATCATGTCATAACAACTAATAAAATCCCTAAACCCAGCAACACTTAAGGCTTATTCATACTCATCCCATCCCAAGCGGGAATCGATGAAAGTATGGACATGTCAACACCAGGTATGAACCATATTTGTACATATCTGAATATATTACGTAAATATATGACTCCAGTTATAAATGACTCCAATACCCTGTAAATATGACATCTATCAACATCATACAAGACAAACTGAATTACCTCATTCTCTGTAAGCCTGCTGGTGCTCAGAATATTCACAAAGGGTGGGCACTTATCCAAACCTGACAGGATTGCTGTTAGTTGATGCAGCAATAGGAAACAGTGCAAACATCAGAGAAACATTAATTTGGTAGTACTTGCCAGGTTTTATATACAACTTGCACACAGCCAGTGTGCGAAATAGTTTCCATTATACTAGCCAGTCGTGTTAACCATGCCCAAAAGTTACCGGTACTAGCCCACAAAATAATTCACTAACCTGAAATTTTAATGTAGAAACTAAGAAAAGGATTACAAAAAGGTAAAATACAATCAAAAACAAATGACCCCATAAAATTCACTAGCCAGTCAGGCCAGGGACTGTTGAGATTTAATGGCCAGACTGGATTTTTACTAGCCACGGGCTAGCGGGTCAGTGGCTATTTCGCACACTGAACACAGCTCTTTTCAACAAATACGTCTGTATTAGAAATAAAATTGATCTTCGGCACTTGCGTAAATTCAATACAAGCTGGTTTTGAAATTGGTGGGGATGATAATTATGATAGGATTTTAAATATGGAGAATACAGTATATGCAAGCAATGGTAAAATACAGCAATAATTGTTTGACAATTTTGATACACTGCTAAGTTTTGGCAAGGAATTTTTCAGAACACTATTACCATAGTTTCAGATATAACTATACGTGTAACAGATTGCTGCACCTTTAACCTTTTGTCAAGAAACATTCATGGTCAGAATGAATTTGTAAAGATATATTTGGAACATGAATTTCTTTTATGGTGCTCACTGAAATATTAAATGTACCCATTTTCCAATATGTTTTCTCAATAACTTGATGCAAACATACTAAGTTCACAGTGTAATTACTCCAGATATAGCAGGTACCAATTTCATTGTTGTGCTTGGTTGACTTCTTTCCCTTTGATTATGTCAGTTGTTTTGGAGATGTTTAAGCAGAAATTATAACTGGGTGGACAGTTTATATGAGCTTACTGAGTCTGGAGACTCTGGCCAGATGTGCAGATGTAATGCTTATATATTCAGATGTCCAGATGGTCATAGCAACATAACCATGAGTACCTAATCGTCTGGTAATTAATGAGTCATTAATAATTAATTCTACATAGCCATTGATCAACAGTCGCTAACAGATTGATCAATACAATCAATCACAGATGATCAAATTTCAATGCACACAGTCACCCATCATTGGACTGGCAGATGATTAACACACACATTCACAGATGCCATCTGACACACTATTTTACAGCAGATGACCAACATATTTAACAAGAACAGACAATCACAGATGTCATCGTGTGGCCAGTCTACAGCAGACGTCAACACACCATCACAGACAATCACAGATGTCATCGTGTGGCCAGTCTACAGCAGACGTCAATACACCATCACAGACAATCACAGATGTCATCGTCTGGCCAGTCTACAGCAGACGTCAACACACCATCACAGACAATCACAGATGTCATTGTCTGGCCAGTCAACACACCATCACAGACAATCACAGATGTCATCGTCTGGCCAGTCTACAGCAGACATCAACACACCATCACAGACGCCCAGTACAGACAATCACAGATGTCTGGCGAGTGTACAGTAGCTGTACTGCCGGTATTGAGGTGGTTCTCCATGCATACGATGTGTATATCACAGATATTGGGATGAGGAGCGCTGCCTGTCACAAAACAACAACTCGGATGACCTCACGGAGACAGCCATGACTGAAAAACAGAAGAATAAAATCAAACACTGTTCAGGTAATGTGAAGTTAAAAATCTCCGATTCTTTCACATTGCAATAGTTTTCATACATACGATGTCAGAGTAATTACAGTAATATGAAAGAATAGGGTGTTTTTTAACTTATTTCAAGTAGTACACGCCAGTACTGCTTCTGTGTGGTATATGTTAGTACCACAGTCAGTATTCTGCTGGCTAGGGCACCCAGCGACAGAAAATACAGGCAGAGACTACAAATGCTGACAATTACTGTATCACGCCAAAGTATCTTCTGTGCTCACAACATTATCCTCTGTTCTGCTTCACTTAAAATATAGATTATCAGTAAAGTAAATTTATTTAAGAAATACAGTTCACTCTACCCTCATGTATAGTAAAATAAAGTAATTATTATAGTTAAAGCATGAGAACACTTGCATCTGTGTGCTTTAATGTTATAATAGAAATATATCTTTGTTGTTTAACATCACAGGGTCCTTTAGTAATCAAATCTTGACCAGACATTCCTTGATATCATGAGCATTGATGGACATTATGATGACATGTGTCAACAAAGTCATCCAGCTTGAAGATCTGATCCTGTCAGCTGCCTCAAATGACAAGCATAGGTTACTAATGGCCAACTGTAAGCTCGATCTTCTTACTAAGGCCAGACCAATTTTATTTGTTGTTTTACGGATCCGCCGGTCATATTATTTCAAGAATAAGAAAAAAAATAAATGTTAATTTTCCCCCGCTCAAAAAATAAAATCTGGATGTTTTATTTGTCAAACATGTAAATTTACAAGAAAAGTTTTTTTTAGATTGTGTTTTGCCCCATATACACTTCATAAATTGCCAAAAGTAAAATACTTTTAGTATTTATATCCTTATATTTATTTATTTTTTCTCTCCTGCCTTTAGGTTTTCTGAGGACAAAAATCCGTAAAACAAGAAATAGAATTGGTCTGGCCTAATGACCAACAGTAACCTCAATGTTAAAGGGTTGAAAGATTTGTGCAGCATGTAGCATATTCTACATATTTTAAGGCATACACTATATTCAACAAATTAAATAAGATTTTTGTAATTTGATTCTGAAGTCTGTGTCACAACTCCACATAATATCACTCTCTAATTACTGTAATAATCGAGTCTGGACCAGTCTATCCTGTGATAAACAGTATGAGCATTAAATTACGCAGTTGGAATATAATGACATGTGTCTACCAAGTCAGCAAGCCTGACCACCCGATCCCCTTAGTTGCCTCAAATATAAATATAGCTGAATATTTGAGGGAACCACCACAAAAAAGAAAAAGATTTAAATAGAGAAGGTTTAAGACAAGGGTGTTTCACTCTTAACAATAGACTGCTATCTAATTCAACACCTACAGGGTCTTCACACACAAAAAATGACAAGTGATATTTAGTTGGAAAAATTGCTACAGCTTGTAATTTCTTAATTGATTAGATAATTAAAAAACAGCTGAAGAAAAGAGTGCTAACAACATACATTGCAGAGGAGTTGTGAAGACAATAGTATTTAGTTAAAAGTTTCATACAACATACATTAATGAAAATGTTGAGTGAAAAATATTTATCAATACCTCTCAAAATGTGTCTGAAATCAATCAATATTTGTGGAAGTGATACTCTGGCATCAAATTTTGTGTTCCAAATGGCAAAATACTGATTAGAGCTGGAATAATGGTCCAACAGACCTTTGTGATTGAGAGCATTGACAATTGAACTGTGACAGAACAACTGAAACAAGTCCCCCTGCCAATTCTACACCACCACCACCACCACTCTGGGACACCAACATTTTCACGCTTGACTGATGATAGGTGTGTTGAAAAAAAGTACCGGAAAAAAAGTCCTATTTTGAAAAACACATACTTTTAATAAAAAGTATTTTCTTAGTTTTTCATAGTTTTTCATAGCGTTTATTCACTTTCATGTATTGTATATTCCTACAACAAATGTAAAATAGACAGATCCTGTATACATTACAGAGGTTTTCAGCTTTATTCCTACTACAGAATATTGATGGATATTAATGTCTACTGACAACGTAATCAGTGAACAAAAACGCATGGACACTTTGACACTTACAACTCACGCCATTGAAAACATTGTTTTAAAGATCAAAGATCAATTTGAATATCTAATCTGTCCATTATAATCACAAAATTTAATTTGATGAATAAATAGTTTCTTATTACAATAGGACTTTTTTCTGGTACTTCTTAACCGAGGACATTTTTTCCCCCAAGGACATTTTTCCTACAATTTGATGATATTGTATCTGACAAGATGCTAATAATGGCAACTGCACAATTGACGAGGAAAGAGAATGTCAATAATATTGCAGCCATATCATGGAAGACATTGATATCATCACAGTTACACTAGGGTAAAGACTTACAATCAGACAGGGCCCAGATTTTTGAAGCTCTCTTAGTGCTATGATAGTCGTAAGTGATGTGCATTAACATTAACATCTTAGCACTATGAGAGCTTCGGAAATCTAGGCCCTGTGTGCCGTTGTACAAAACGACCTTAGCGCTAAGGCTACCTTAGTCTACGTTAAGGAATGTCTAAGTTGAGGTAACCTTAGAGCTAAGGTCGTTTTGTACAACGGCACCCTGGTCACATAGTCTGACCTCCTTATCCCAAGTTTAGCCAGGTCTTAAGTCTAAGGGGTGTTGTGTACTGTGTGCCTCCCACCAGTGTACCTGACAGTATGGAAGATGCACCCCAAGTATTCATATTTATGCCACAAATACAGCAAGAAGCAAACCGAAGACATGCATCAGGAAAAACATTGTCTCCTTTCTTTACCAGGAGATTCAGAAGTTGGAAAGGATGGAATCAATCGATATAAAAGAACAGGCAATATTTCTGAATTACAAGTGCTAATCGAGTTTGAGGATTGGTGAGCTGTACTTTGTGTTGGCCCATTTAATTCCAAGTGGTTCTTTCTTAGTTAGTGTCCCTGGCACACTTTGAAAAAAACAAACCATTCTGACATATCATGCCAAGAGCCTGCTGGTCTTGAATAATACCAGAAAATCTGCTAGCCATTAACACCAGATATTGGCAGGCTTTCACAAGACTTTATACCAAACTAATGTATGTTGGTACAGGGGATCATTGAGACCTGCTCAGACGTGTAGGAAGTGCCAATGCCCCATATTAGAATTATAATTTCCAGTTAATGTTAACAGTAATTATTAACATTATAGGTCTGCATTAGTCACTTGTATTGAAACAGACAAAATAACACGACATTCACAGGTTTTAGTACCTAGTTTTACAGTACAGCAAGGAATAGTCTTATAAAACACAATGTCAAAATTGCATTCACCAAATTTTCCCCACTTTTCCCTGCTAAGGACAGAACATTATACTGAATAAAAAAGGTTATTGATCATGAATTTTTTTGGGTTATTGTTTTTTGCAATGAAGACTGAGCACAACATTTTATTATGACATCCTTTTATATATCCATGATCATACTTGTTTTGTTCAGTACATGTACATCCAAGAGGTATCTGTGAAACCCACAAGTCAGCAGTTTCTGAACCAGGCTACGACAATCACAACAAGCTCCGTCCAACAAATGAGAATGAAAAATAGAACTGGAATGCTTCACATAAGGGTTTCACTTAGATTAACCATGGATGGACAACCACCCATCCTTGTGATGTTCACAATCTTATGCTACATTACGCATCAAGCTCAGTGAGGTAGAGAGGCTTCACACTGTATTATTCAATGTTATTTCACTTAAAGCAACTTGAATGGTATTAGGATAGGAAAACAAAAAACAAACTGTTTTCAAACAATGATATATAAAAAAACATTTATGCCACGCATGTTACACTGGGATTACACTTTCTCAGGAAAGTACAGATTGCAGTACTTTTGTTTGGTTGAGTCCCATCCGGGATTCGAACCCACACTCTCAGAGTCAGGCACTTAATCATCACAAAAAAGTCAGCGGTCTAACCCACTCAGCCACAACAGACACTGAGGTGAGGTGAAATTGGGTTTTACGTCGTGCTTGAGAATATTTCGCATGCGTGTGTATGTGCAGCTGCTTGTACTAGCCCAGACTTAAGCTGGTTTTATAGTGCTAGCCCACTGAGATACCATGCCGCAGTGAAGCATGAATACCCCACTCAGACACATTATACTGACTCGAGCTGACCAGTCCTTGTACCCATTAATGCTGAGCGCCAGGCAGGGACCAACAAGTACCATATTTTAACGTCTTTTGGTATGAAGCGGTCGGGGATCGAACCCACAACCTTCCGCTCTCCAGGCAGACGCTCTAACCACTACACCACGGAGGCGGTCACAGACACTGAGAGTTTGGGTTCGGTTCCTAGATGGGACTCAGCCCTAACAAAAGTACTACAATCTGTAATTTACTGAGAAAGTGTTACCCCCAAAATAACATATGTTACATTTGACCACTTTCTAAATAGAAGTGTGTTTTCAGAACATTTATGCCAATGAATGAAAATGTGTAGGCAAGTTGCTCAGTATTCACATGATGCTTACACTATCTTCAACACATGCTCTTAGAATAGAGGCAGTTCAATACGTGCACATAAAAGAAAACATATTACAATGTTAAATACATGCAAGAAATTAAGGATTTGATGATTTCCAAACATTTGGTACAAAGTAAGACCAAGTATAAAAAGTTAAACATTCTTGTGAAGCATTTCAGTTCCATGACAAGATGAGAAAATTCGACCATGTAAAACAGAAACCAACCAACATCACCACCAGCTTGTCTGTGTTAAGTCTGTGGAGTTAAAGTGGGGAGTTAGTGTAACACCAGGTGGCTGTGACATAAAGGCTAACAAGACAAGCTGTTAAAGTAGCAGCCATTATAAAGATAAATAGAGGCAAACATAGAAACTGATAAAAAATACAGTCAATAATAGCAAATACAGCCACTGATAGCATTTCCATGAGTGAACACGCATCATGTTGGAAAGCGCCAAATAATCATCATCATCATAATAGCAGATACAGCCATTACTAGCAAATACAGCCATTACTACAACCATTAACAATACAGACATTATAACACACAGGTTCAGACAAAATACATTTTATTTCAGCATGCAAGATATATATTTTCATCGATTTGCTGAACCGAAATAATGCTGTTCCTGTTGTGTGAGTGAGTTTAGTTTTACGCCACACTCAGCAATATTCCAGCTATATGGCAGCGGTCTGTAAATAATCGAGTCTGGACCAGACAATCCAGTGATCAACATCATGAGCATCGATCTACACAGTTAGGATACAATGACATGTGTCAACGTTTTCACAATTTTGTTTGACTGGGTTAGTTTATAGACTGTTAACAAGCGTTAGTACTCTGTCAAGTAGGAATGAAATCCATACTGTGGATAGTGGTCTGTGGATAGTGAAGTGTGGATAGTTGACCCTGAATAGCTTATATACTGTTAACAAGCGTTAGTACTCTGTCAAGCAGGAATGCAATCCATACTGTGGATAGTGGTCTGTGGATAGTGAAGTGTGGATAGTGGACCCTGAATAGTTTATAGACTGTTAACAAGCGTTAGTACTCTGTCAAGTAGGAATGCAATCCATACTGTGGATAGTGGTCTGTGGATAGTGAAGTGTGGATAGTGGACCCTGAATAGTTTATAGACTGTTAACAAGCGTTAGTACTCTGTCAAGTAGGAATGAAATCCATACTGTGGATAGTGGTCTGTGGATAGTGGAGTGTGATAGTGGACACTGAATAGTTTATAGACTGTTAACAAGTGTTAGTACTCTGTCAAGTAGGAATGAAATCCATATACTGTGGATAGTGAACCCTGGATAGTGAAGTGTGGATAGTGGACACTGAATAGTTTATAGACTGTTAACAAGCGTTAGTACTCTGTCAAGTAGGAATGAAATTAATACTGTGGATAGTGGTCTGTGGATAGTGGAGTGTGATAGTGGACACTGAATAGTTTATATACTGTTGACAAGTGTTAGTACTCTGTCAAGCAGGAGTGAAATTAATACTGTGGATAGTGGTCTGTGGATAGTAGACCGGATAGGTTGTAAAGTTTATGACAAGTGTTAGCGTATTTTCTTGAATTAATGGGAATAATACTTACAGCAAGTTTTCCTTCATTTCTTGCAATAATATTATGAGTTTGTTCATCAGAGAATTTCACAACCGTAGCAATAACTTTGGCAAGAGTCTGGAACACAAAGCGAAATGGATAATTATCTGTGGTACTCTTCCAACATGGATGCTAAAGATTCTGAGAACAATTTTAAAAATGTTTTCCCCAAATGAAAACATATGACTGTTGCATTTTGAAAATCATCATGTTTATACGCAGTTAGTATACAGAATTGTTTTACTTTTCTGCCAAATAATTTACTGACACATTCATTCAATCAGTGCAATGCTACTAAGAGTACTTGTTGTGTAATGCTGCACTTCAGCAATATTCCAGTCGTATGACAGAGGCCTGTAAATAATCAAGTCTGGACAAGATAGTCCATTGATTGGCATCATGAGCACTGATCTGTACATTGATATGATGACATGTGTTAACCAAGTCAGCTATCCTGACCAGCCAATCCCATTAGTCGCCTCTTACAGCCACCACAGCTTGCTGAGGGCCCATTCTCATCCAGAATTCCCATGGGTTCAAAATGTTATTGCCTAAGGCATGGTTGGTTGGATGGTTGGTTTGTTGTTTAACGCTGCACTCAGCAATATTCCAGCTATATGGCGGCGGTCTGTAAATAATCGAGTCTGGACCATACTGACTGACTGAGTTTGGTTTTACGCCGCTTTTAGCAATATTCCAGCAACATCACGGCCGGGGACACCAGAAATGGGCTTCACACATTGTACCCATGTGGGGATTCGAACCCGGGTCTTCGGCGTGACGAGCCAACGCTTTAACCATTAGGCTACCCCACCACCCCTCTGGACCATTCCATCCAGTGATCAACAGCATATGTTGTTGGGGACCAATTCTAACCCTGTATTCCTATGAGTTCAAAATGTTGTTGCCTAAGGGATGAAGTATCAGGACACTTCATCATCGTACACCTACCTTTGTTTCTTTCCCCATCATGTATTCGTAGAGGATGTTTCTCAAATACTGAAAAAAATGCAATAAGGCTGTACATGGATATCATACACGTAGACAAGCAGAACAATTTGATATTGTAGAAATCCACAATAGAAGCTCATAAGTCCAGATACCCAATCTCTGTTATACAGGAATGAGAATACCCCAGAATACTGCGGATCCTCGGAAAATTCTCATCCCTGGTAATAAGATCTCTGACTGATACCTCTATTAACATCTGAGGTCAACTCTAAAGGACGTCACGTCAAGTGAACTTTCAGCTAGTCAAAGTCAAGGCTTCTGAGTTCTCAGTACAAGTGAGATTCAGATGAGCAAATCTAAAATTGAATTTTCAGAATTAAGGCGTTTCAGAAACGAATCCAAATTGTCTAATAAAGTGAGTAAGTTTCACATTTTATGCCGCTTTTAGCAAAAATTCAGCAATATTATGGCAGGGGGACACCAGAAATGAGCTTCACAAATTGTACCCATGTTTGGCATTGAACCCAGGTATCTTGTGTGATTAACAAATACTTTGACCACTAGGCTACCTCAACACCCCACCATCATTCAGACAGTACCATATTAAGTAATCTGATTTTGAGAAATAAATATTAGTCAATAATTGCTGAAATAATCCTGACTATTTTACAAAGAATGTTACTGTCCTGATTAACAGGTTTCCCAGTACAACCTCTAATTATCAGGGGTATTATCGCCATTCTAATTACTGTACTGTTACCATAGCTACCTCAAACTCTGTGGGTTCCCGCAACAGAGGTCCGTCGGAGGAGTAGGAACCCGCAGGGCTGAGAGGAGGGGTGTCGTCACCGTGGGGGTTCTGGAGCCGATGTTCCAGGATGTCGATCTGTAATGACAGGTGATTCAATGAAGACACACACATGATTGACAGACATGATGGACAGACACATGACAGATGAACACTTCACATATAGACATATAGACACATGACAGATGAACACTTCACATACAGACACATGACAGATGAACACTTCACCAATAGACACATGACAGATGAACACTTCACATATAGACACATGACAGATGAACACTTCACCAATAGACACATGACAGATGAACACTTCACCAATAGACACATGACAGATGGACACTTCACCAATAGACACATGACAGATGAACACTTCACATATAGACACATGACAGATGAGCACTTCACCAATAGACACATGACAGAAGAACACTTCACCAACAGACACATGACAGATAGACACTTCACCAATAGACACATGACAGATGAACACTTCACCAATAGACACATGACAGATGAACACTTCACCAATAGACACATGACTGATGAACACTTCACCTATAGACATGACAGATGAACACTTCACCAATAGACACATGACAGATGAACACTTCACCAATAGACACATGACAGATGAACACTTCACCAATAGACATGACAGATGAACACTTCACCAATAGACACATGACAGATGAACACTTCACCAATAGACACAATACAGATGAACACTTCACCAATAGACACATGACAGATGAACATGTCAAGGACAGACACATGACCACTTCACCAATAGACACATGACAGATGAACATGTCAAGGACAGACACATGATGTAAATTCCTTACAACCAGTAAACTTAACTAAACCTGTATGAGTAAATGTTATTTTCTGAAAGCTTTATTTCATAATGCATAATATGTCATGATTCTGTTTTACATATGTCCTTGTTTTTCATTGAAGACAGAGACTTCTTGGGAGTCTTCTGAACACAATAAAGGCATACTATTGAGGTGCTGTGGTAACAAGTATTTCTGTGTAGACCAGATGGTCGTATAACTTACTCTTTGGTGTAGTTCCTTCTCCCTCAGCCGAGTGTGTGACAGCTCATTGTTGAGATGGGAGACCTGGGCCTGCAACATTATCCAACACATATCAGAACCAGGTTCTACCCCTACCTGTGTGTTTGAGTTCTTCCTCAACCCCCTCCATAAGACCTCCCCTGCAGGTGCTCTTACCATATCCTCAGAGACACCTAACTGCAGAAAACCCTGTCCTCTCTCCCAATTGAGACCTTATCTTGAGGTGCCCTGGTACCCCTTTCCAGAAGACCTATTTACAGGTGTACTCCAGTGTATCCCACCTGCAGGTGCTCCTGTCCCCATCCCCAGTGGGATCCACCTGCAGGTGCCCCAGCCCCCATCCCCAGTGAGATCCACCTGCAGGTGCCCTTGTTCCCAATCCCAGTGAGATTCACCTGCAGGTGTCCCAGTTCCCCAGCCCTAGTGAGATCCACCTGCAGGTTCCCCATCCCCAGTGAGATCCACCTGCAGTGAGATGCCCAGTTCCCAATCCCAGTGAGATCCACATGCAGGTGTGTTCCCAATCCCAGTTCCCCAGCCCCAGTGAGATCCACCTGCAGGTGCCCCAGTTCCCCATCCCCAGTGAGATCCACCTGCAGGTGCCCCAGTTCCCAATCCCAGTGAGATCCACATGCAGGTGCCCCAGTTCCCCATCCCCAGTGAGATCCACCTGCAGGTGCCCCAGTTCCCCATCCCCAGTGAGATCCACCTGTGAGTTCCCTTGTCCCCATCCCCAGTGAGATCCACCTGTAGGTGCACCAGTTCCCAAGCCCAGTGAGATGCACAAGCAGGTGCCCCTGCCCCAATTCCCCAGTTAGATCCACCTGTGAGTTCCAGTGTCCCCATCCCCAGTGAGGCAGTTGCCCATGTCCTAATATTGAGACCTACCTGCAGGTCTTCATTATAGAGCTCCAGATTCTGCACCTCAGCTGGGAGGTTGGGGTCTGTGATGTCTAGAGACTTGATCTTAGGGGGTGCCACCAGTGGCTTGTGGAGATGGCTCATCTCTGCCTGTGCTGCTAGTTCCGCTAGTTCCAGCCTGCAACATGCACACAAAGTACACTGGGGATGTGACATTGCTGTAAGGTGAAGTTAAGGCCACTGGAAGCTTATGAAACACTTGTACAATGTCAAGTGGACTACTGAAGAATATTTTCATATGACGACGTGCGCTACTTGTTAATTAAAGCTTGTCAGACTACATCATTTTAGAAGTTTCAGAAGGGTACAGTTAAATATTTGTTCATAGCATGCTCAGGCTAATGCTTCATCCCCTGAAGATCCGGGTCAGAATTGGTCTTCAGCAACCCATGCTTGTAGTAACAGGTGATGGATCTGGTGGCCAGGCTCACTGACTTGGTTGATACATGTCATCGTATCTCAATTTTGTAGATCGATCCTCATGCTGTTTTCACTGGATTGTCTGGTCCAGACTTGATTATTTACAGTGAGTGAGTGAGTTTGGTTTTACGCCTCTTTTAGCAACATTCCAGCAATATCACAGCTGGGAGACACTAGAAATGGGCTTCACACATTGTATCCATTTGGGAAATCGAACCTGGGTTTTCAGCATGACGAGCGAACGCTTTAACCACCACTTCCCCAAGCCCATCACGGGTGAAGGACTGTACAAAGCTGCTTTCAACACTATTGCACAAACCAAAGGTGCCATATAATTTTCTGCACCTACAATATTGCTGAGTGCGGCGACTAAATTTACAGACCAATGCCATATAACTGGAATATTGCTGAGTGCGGCGATAAATAATCATGCTCCTTACTTGTGTTTTTCTCTCAGGTCCTCCATCTGCTTGTTGAGCAGGATGATCTGCTGCCTGAGCAGGTCACCGCTGGAGGAGCCGCTCTGGATCGCTGTCAAGGCCAGCTGGTTCTGCTGCACCAGTTCCTGGAGGTCAAGGTCACCGATAATATAAATCTTGTATTTGTGTGATATCAGCTGAAGCAGTTCAACACTGATAAAATAGACAGGATTGTAATAATATAAGATGATATCTCTATTATATGTGTCTCCTGGTCTGTGAATCACCTGTGCTATAAATATCCTTAAGAAGTGCTCATATCTGGTTAGACATCACATATGACAAAATCTCCTATACGTCTAACTAATGAGACCTTTCACAAAGCAATGACATGTCTCTCCAGACAAGACTGTATTTAGGGTTCTTTACTGTTCTTCTCATATCCCAGTGGCTAATAGTAAGCACTATGAATGAGAGGATCCTGACAGAGCTTTTAGATATCTCATAGCAATCATAATAAAAAATGTAATTAACAGGTTTAAAGAACATGTGAACAACTAGGTCACCACACTAAGATATTGTAAACATTAATTGATCATATTTGATTACCAATGAAAGGATATTTTTAATTTTCCAACACACAAAATGACACACAGAGAAAACTTTGTGTAAAAAAAGTAAAAGTAAACAGTAAATTTGTAAACTGTGGTAAGTGAGTTGGGTTTTAGCTCTTAGCATTATTTCAGAAATGTCACAGCAAGGACACCAGAAATAGGCTTTGTGGGGTTCTCGATGTACCCCCCATGGGGAATCAAACCCAGGTCTGAAGTAGGACAAGTGAACGCTTTAGCTACCCAACCTCCCATGTAAAATATAAATGATATGCAGCCAGGTCATATATTGGCGAACTGAATGGAAATATTTCACTCCAATTTAAATGGCAATATCACCATGCAGACAAATAAATGCTGGAACATTATGGAAGATTCAAATATACCAAATCATGACAGTAAATGGAATTTTGAAGAATTCAGTCTATGCAAATTTTACAAGAAAATATAACATGCAACTGTAGATAAACATGCAAGATACAGTGGTAACAAAAGCAATTTGTACATATAGCACTCTTAGATATATGAGCACAAGCATTACAAGCTGATTCTGTGAGAGAAGTTAAAACATTTACTGCTGAAAGTGTGAGTGAGTTAGTTGGGCTTTATGCTACTTTTAGGTCAATTAGGTGCCTGACTCTTTGATTGTGGGTTCGAATCTTGGATGGGACTCAACTCGCCAAAATACTAGAATCTGTACTTTACAGAGAAAGTGTAATCCCAAACATAAAATCTAACAAATATGTTACATCTGACACGTGTATTGTGTATTCATAGACTTGGGACATGGGAGCCGTGCTAGTTTACACTTGTCAGGAGGGTACAAAGCAATTTTAACATATAGCACTCGTAGATATACGATGCACGCATTACAAGTTGATGCTTTGAGAGAAGTTAAAACATTTAATGTTGGATGAATGAGTGAGTTTATTTGGGTTTAATGGAGCTTTGTAAGTAGGTGATTAGGTGCCTGACTGAGAGTGTGGTAGGAATCCTGGATGGGACTCAACCCCCGAAATTACTAGAATCTGTACTTCACAGAGAATGTGTAATCCCAAATTTTATATATGTTACAGCTGACCACTTTCACAATGCCTTTGTGTATTCACAGCTTTGGGACATGGGAGCTGTGCTAATTTACACTTGTCAGAAGGGTACACAAAGCATGAGGTCTGGACTACTAGTGGTCAGAGTTCCATTTCGTGCAAGCCAGGGTGGCTGAGTGGGTTAGATCACTGACTTTCGTTGAGAGTGTGGGTTCGAATCCAAAATGGGACTTAACCCCCAAAAGAACTAGAATTTGTACTTTACTGATAATTTGCAATCCCAAATATAGCACGTGTTACTATTCAAGTTCAATCATGGCCTGTCCTGAAGTGATGCTGGTCTCAGATGTTTGGTGAAAACCTGAGGCATGGTTATGGGGGCTAACAAACTTCGAATATAAAATCAGGACAAACTGGGATCTGAAACCACAATCATAGCTCTCCAGCCTGCTCAAGGGTCCAACCCTGCACACTAATAAGCAGCACCTTAGTTTTGGGGTTTGTTGTTGTTTAACGCTGCACTCAGCAATATTCCAGCTATATGGCGGCGGTCTGTAAATAATCGAGTCTGGACCTGACAATCCAGTGATCAACAGCATGAGTGTCGATCTACGCAATTGGGATATGATGACGTGTCAACCAAGTCAGCGAGCCTGACCACTCGATCCCATTAGTCAGCCTCATATGGCAAGCATGGGTTGCTAAAAGAATAATTCTAACCCGGATCTTCACGGGTCTGTAACCACGGAGGAGATCTGTTCTAGTATGTTCTGTTGGGAATGTGATGCCCAAGGGTCCAACCCTGCACACTAATATGCAGCACCTTAGTTTTGGGGTTTGTTGTTTTTTAACGCTGCATTCAGCGATATTCCAGCTATATGGTGGCGGTCTGTAAATAATCAAGTTTGGACCAGACAATCCATTGATCAACCAAGTCAGCGAGCCTGACCACCCGATCCTGTCAGTCGCCTCTTACGACAAGCATGGGTTACTGAAGACCAATTCTAACCCGGATCTTCACGAGCACCTTAGACAACAGGGCCATCGATGTGCCGACTCAAGATGGACATCTATGACATGACATTGATGCATGGGGGAACAGGGATGAACAGGAGGATACATCCATGAGCAGACACAAAGACATCAAGGACATACTAGATCCATGACATGAAATATATATTTTAGGCTATAGCAACATGTCAAATTCAGTAGTGAGTGAGGTTCTATGGTGCTTTTAGCAATATTCCATCAACATCAAGGTCATGCCACCAGAAATGGGCTTCATGAAGTTTACCCATGTTGGGAATAAAACCATTTAGACAATGGTGTTAGTGAAAGATTTAACCACCTAGGCTAACCACCATATTCGGATGATCCGACCGACACAAACATCACACATTAAAGGTGATTAGCGCCAGCGTGCCTTACTATGTTGTTAGCTTGCATCACACTTGTTAATTAGAAACACAAGATAATTAATTGTTAGAAATCATCTGGCAACAAAATCCATTCATAGTTGTGTAATTAATCCCAGGAAAAAACAACCAAGATTATTTAAAATGTCATTCTCTTGCATCAGACACCATATCATAACATAATGATACATCTATTATAGCATATTTAGTCATATTAACAGTTGCAGAGCTCCAGATAAGATTTAGCTCATGTGGGTACTGTACCCACTGTATTTTTTTGGAGTGGGTATTATGAATGTTGATATTTTGGGTATTTTCATTTATCCACTGCTTTCAAATATTATTTCAGTCATATTTACTCAACCACAATTGTCGGATTACGTCATTGAATAAGTTTACTAAGCAGGTATGTTCTGCCTTATGTCATACCTAATCAAAACCAACTTAAATATAATGGAAATTATTTCATAAAAAGTCACTCATCCTATACTGACAGTACAACACTTGTACTACTTGATAGCAATCGATGTCTTTTTCATTACGCAAGCAATTTTTATAAATATATTCTGTACGCATTTCTTTTAAACTTTTTGCGTATCTAACATTTTAAATGCGTAATTGGTACGCAACAATTATTTTTCAATGCGTCATTCTAGGCGTATTTTACCCGGATACACAGCATATCTAGGCCTGTGAGTTGTATACATCAAAGACATTTTTTGTTCACTGGTTTACAGATTTTTTTTGTTAGGAAAATCTTTACACAATTTCAAAGTTTGTTTTGTTCATGAACAGTTTTCAGAATTTATGTGTACACCTTTAGACTTGTAACATGTGTTATATCTGGGATTAGTCTTTCTGAGTCTCGTCCGAGATTCGAACCCACACCCTCAGAGTCAGGCACCTTAATTGCCAGCACACAATGTCAGCCACAACCCGAAACGTGGCCTCGTTAATAGGTAAACTTGAACTTATGAATACACAATGCCATTTAGAAAGTGGTCAAACAAGTGGAAGCCGCGGTGACTGAGCGGGTTAGGCGGCTGACTTTGTGTGCTGGCGATTAGGTGCCTGACTCGGAGGGTGAGGGTTTGAATCCCAGATGAGACTCAACCCCAAAAAGTATTGAATCTGTACTTTACTAAGAACATGTAATCATTTGACGTTACATTTGACCACTTTCTAAATGGCATTGTGTATTCATACCTTTAGCTTTAGACTTGTTCTACATTTTTCCTTAAAAACATTGCCATCTTAATGGATTCTCTAATTTCGAAATCTTGAACCTGTACAATCACATTAAAAAAGTATGAAACAAGTAAATGTACCTTTCAGAATATAGCTCCGTAAGTTTTCGGTTTGCAAAATTTGTAAACCAAACAAATATAACATACATAAATCTGGAAGAGAAATATTGTCAACACATTCAACAGGCAGAAATAAATGATGGACATACATTTGTGAATACAAAGATGGAATCAAGCGATGAGATGCCAAATAAATTGATGTATAAATTGTAAAATAAAGTACCTGTGGTTGTGCCATGGGATCAAACGGTGCAAGTTGATGGTCAGACTAAAAAGCAACAAACACAACGCTAGTAATATGACAACAACAAACAAAATATCAGAGCACAAAACAAATATCCGAGCACAAAACACTCTCCGGGGTATGAGACTTACTACACGGCCACAGTCATCTTCCTTACAAACAATTACAAGAAACATTCCATGTCACATTCTGCTTGGTAACCTGAGAATCAAGGGTTCAGTCATGCAGAAACTGATTGTGTCATTCTAAGATGAAATTCAAATATATGAAACAAGCTGATTATACTGGGTCGTGCTTACTGAGTATTAAGCATCAAATAATATCAACAGCCATTTTAATGAGTGAGTGAATAAGGTTTTATGCTGCTAACAGCTTAGTGCAATATTCCTGCAATAACATGGCAATGACACCAGAAATGGGCTCACCCTTTGGAGGAATTGAACCTGGGTCTTTCTTGTAAAGAGTGAACACTTTAACCACTAGGCTACACCACTGACCCTCTCACTTTCATGAGAACGAGTTAAGAAAAATGTTCATCTTATTTATATAAATTACAATAACAAAGGCCTGAATAAGGGTGCAACATTGGTCAATAGCCTGAGTCTGATTAAAGTACATAATTCTATCTCATAAACTTGCACCTGGTGCAACCTTAGGTACTAACATTGTTGCACTAATAATAAAAAGGTTGCACCTGCTGCTCAATATAAAATCATATTTAATGCACAAGCTGTAGTATTGATGATTCTGAGTCTGGTAAGATCATTCTATTGTACTTGGTAAAATTACATGACATGATCAGGAACAGTCAATCAATCACTGTCTGTGTAGTCATCAGTCACTGCTATTCAGTTCCTCATCATTCAGTGAGGTGAGGTGAAATTGGGTTTAGCGTCGTATATTGGAGAATATTCCGGACTCACCATATGCTGTTTGCATGCGAAAACGCAAAGTGTTATGTGTATGAGTGGCTGCTTGTACTAGCCCAGACTGAAGCTGGTTTTATAGTGCTAGCCCACTGAGATACCATGCCGCGTGAAGTGAAGCATGCCATACCCCACTCAGACACATTATACTGACTGACAAATGTTCCGACCAGTCCTTGTTGTACCCATTAATCACACAAAGCCAGGCAGGGACCAACAAGTACCATATATTTTGTACAATGATCTTTTTGGTATGACGCGGTCGGGGATCGAACCCGCGACCTTCCGCTCTCTCATCATTCAGTGTTCCAGGTTGAGTCTGTGTTCTTTGAACAACAATATATTAACATGCTGGACTGGGTACGAGTTGGTATAAATATGAGGTTGAATATTGCAGTTTCAGGTTGTAAATTATATTGATAAATTATTCAGTCAAACGAACCATAACAGAAATATGTGGATAATGGTCTGATGAAGTCGGTAGGATTGGGAGAGATATGCTTGCAACCACTATCATGCTCATACAGAAATGAAACGAGAGCTAGATGATGCTGATTTCGGTGAAACTATAATGCGATGCAGCTTGATCTAAATTCTATGGCAAATAAATACATTGTGCCCTGCATGATGGGTGTATTAACTCAGAGGAATAGGGTGATGAGTGATACTTTATTCATCATAGCTTTGTATTGATCATGACATCATGTTGACAATATGCTTTGTTGTTTCATCCATGTTGCATCAAGCAACGATGCACTCAGCAATATTCCAGCTACATGGCGGCGGTTTGTAAATAATCGAGTCTGGACCTGACAATCCAGTGATCAACAGCATGAGCAATGATCTACACAACTGGGATACGATGACATGTGTCAACCAAGTCAGCGAGCCTGACCACCCGATCCCGTTAGTCGCCTCTTACGACAAGCATGGGTTACTGAAGATCAATTCTACCCTGGATCTTCACGGGTCCCGACAGTCACTGCGCCTGACAAACTATTCCATTTTGTTGCTCTCATGACAAAAGTGGTTCTTGGAGGCTCATGTTCTCACTCAGAATCCCCATGCTTGTTGTGTTGATAAAGACACTGTGATCATTATCAGCAGAAGTTTAACCTTACCTTTCTGTAATGATATTGCCAACTGTGCATTACAACAGAATCTATGTCTACAACAGCACCAACACAATGCCTCTACTCCAAAATGCACACTTGCCACACTCACTGCAGGAAAGCAGCATAGCTTCTGATCCTGCTTACTGTCAAGGGCCACAACTCTGGACATTCTATTGTGAAATTTCAATTTACTGTTATATTTATATAAATGGTCCCAAAATACAGGTAATATCTAGGTCACACAAGATCCACCCACAAGACAACTTACACACAACATAAAACTTCCTAGAACACGGCAGAGAATGTGCATTATGTCCAGTGATCTACATTCAGTCAACACATGTTACATCTAGTGGAAGCCATGACGAGTCAGCTCTAGCTTTCCGATTTTCAAAGTTCCACTGTCCTCTAGTTTTGAGGTGGTTGCAGCAAAGGAACAAAACATGTTAGTGGTGTAATTGTGAGTCTTACAAGAGTCACCTCCCCTACCTTTCTTTCATGGTTCCATTCTTGGGTCAGAGCTGAGACTTCCTCTTTATGGAATGTTTCCGATCTTGAAGAGTCTTCTCATATGACTTTTTTAACCTCTCTTCCATTTCTGACAGCTCCACCTGGTGCTGTTCTTTAAGGGCGGATAACTCTGACTGCAGGGCTGTCAATTGTTCAGTCATCTCTCTTTCTCGTTCCTACAGACAAATTGCAGGTTCAAAGCCTGACGACACCTATTATGCCACAAAGTCTCTTGGCTAAGACGAATTAGCCGTTTTCTAAATAATCAATGCTGACCATGACATATGACAGTCTTCACCAAACTCTTCCACACAGAACCATGCCAGGGAATACATGGACCACGCTTGATGATAAAAGCATTATACTTTTTGAGATGGTGTACATATCTCAATGAGAATTTTTGTCATGTGACCTTGACATTTGACCTCATGTCATGCAAGAAAAGGATTGTAAAGGACTAGAGGAAACGAGAAACTGACAATCATATGACAATGTTTTAAACAAAAATTATTCACTCAATGAATAAATGAGTAACTTATCTTAACTCAAAATTTCAAAGAAGGACCTGTCCTATTCACCAAGTATAATAATTAAAGCTTGAAGGATGTCTATCTGAATGACCTGCATGAAGTGTCATATATCAGAACTGGTATTACATCTATGATTAGGACAGTGTAGGTCAGTGTGAAGAGCATGACAGGCTAAAAGTCAAACCTGCAGAAAATTTGGTGTAAAATACCATACGTAAAGTAAGTTAACTCCTTCTTTGTGTTTTGCTTATGGTGAAACATAAAAACATACTTTAAACTATGACGTCCCTGCATTCAAACCTTGCCAAAGCACTGTGACTGACATCATCAACAAAATGTATCTGCACAGTAGAACTTGAAAGAATATCTAAGAGTAGTGTTGGGAATCGGAAACCAAATCCACTAATGATTATTGGACGACTTGTGGTGAACGATTATTGATTATAATTGATTTATACATTTTCAATGTGATCACCAATTTCAAGGATTTTTCCCCAGTTGTTTTCTAATTAATGTTAATGTAGTTATTCTGTTTATTTATGCAACAAATATTTATCAGTATATCTCATTACGTTCACAATAGATGTAACTTTATTCATAGACAGGTTACAGTAATATTTACCGTTGTGATGAATACGAAACTGTGAATACAATGCACTTAGCATTATGCTGTTGAGCGCATGTTTGTTCATGAATATTCGTCAAATTTAATGATTAGTTTACTTCGCTCAAGTGTTGTTATACTAAAACAACAAAATTCTGATTAATCGAAAATATGATTTTACAATCGACAATTATGTTTAATCCATCTTTAGATCGATTTTCGATCATTGGACCACCACTATCTAAGAGTTCTCATATTTATCTATTTCCCTAAGATTTGCATGCTAACAAGGTCCAGGAAAGCTGTTGCTGTATGATGGTAAGATGCAGCACTGGTAGTGACCACACTGACCAGCGGTCACCCGACTGAGTACAGTACCTGCAAGGCCTCCTCATGTTCCTGCTGCATCTGCTCATGCCTCTCCTGAGCTTCATGGATATCCTTGTACAGCTCCTCAACCTGCTCATGATGCTCGTGGACGATCTGCTGCTCTCCACGGTGACTCTTGTCTGAAATACACTCTCACTGATACTCACAATACTCACTGGCTTTTGGCTTGGGTCAGTTGGTCTATTAGCTTGGGTCATGTTATGTTAGCTTGGGTCAGTTGGTCTAGTTAGCTTGGGTCAGTTAGTCTAGTTGGCTTGGGTCACTTGGTCTAGTTGGCTTGGGGTCAGTTGGTCAGTTGGCTAGTCAGTTGGTCCAGTTAGCTGAATTGGCTTGGGTCAGTTGGTCTAGTTAGCTTGGGTCAGTTGGTCTAGTTAGCTTGGGTCAGTTGGTCTAGTTAGCTTAGGTCAGTTGGTCTAGTTAGCTTGGGTCAGTTGGTCTAGTTAGCTTGGGTCAGTTGGTCTAGTTAGCTTGGGTCAGTTGGTCTAGTTAGCTTGGGTCAGTTGGTCTAGTTGGCTTGGGTCTTGGTCAGTTGGTCTAGTCTAGGCTTGTTGGTCAGTTGGTCTTGGTCCTAGTTAGCTTGTCCAGTTGGTCACAGCTTAGTCACTCAGTTGGCTTAGCTTGGGTCCAGTTGGTCTAGTTAGCTTGGGTCAGTTGGACATTTAGTATTTGGGTCAGTTGGTCTAGTTAGCTTGGGTCAGTTGGTCTAGTTGGCTTGAGTAAGTTAGTCTAGTTAGCTTGAGTCAGGTTGTAAAATGCTTAAGGTAACGTAAACATGCTAAAGGATGAAGATTTTGAGCTATTTAGGGCTGCTCAATGTTTGGACTAGTAAATATGGTAGGACTTTGATAACAAGTAGGTCTTGGATCAATGGTAGTATTAGGCATGCTGAGTGAGTGAGTGAGTTGGGTTTTACGCTGCTTATCAATATTCCAGCAATATCATGGTGGGGCACACCAGAAATGGGCATCACACATTGTACCCATGTGGGGAAATGAACCCAGGCCTTTGGCGTGACCAGCGAACGCTGTAACAACCAGGCTACAGCACCGGTAATTAGGCATGGAAAAACTTCATTAACATGATTAAAAGCTGCTGACCCCGGGTACTACATGGCAGGACTTGTAAGACAGGACTTAGATAATCTAGGATGAATGAAAGAGTGAGTGAGTGAGTATGGTTTTACGCCAGTTTTAGCAATATTCCAGCTATATCAAGGCAGGGGACACCAGAAATGGGCTTCACACAGTCTTAGATGAGAGAACAGGTCGGACTCAGATTTGAGGAAAGGTAGGATACAGATCAATGATACATCTGTGATCTATAGAGTCTGATCTACAGAAGGACCGAGATATGACTGACTGAGATTTACGTCGCTTTTAGCAATATTCCAGTTACATCACGGTGGGGGACACTAGAAATGTTCTTCACACATTGTAATGTGGGGATTGGAACCCGGGTCCTCAGAGTGACGAGCCAACGCTTTAACCACTAGGGTACACACACACACACACACACACACACACAGAGATATGAGTATGAGGTAGGACTTGGTGAGTGAGTGAGTGAGTTTAGTTTTACGCCGCTTTTAGCAATATTCCAGCAATATCACGGCAGGGGACACCAGAAATGGGCTTCACACATTGTACCCATGTGGGGAATCGAACCCGGGTCTTCAGCGTTACGAGCGAACGCCTTAACCACTAGTCTACCCCACCACCCCCAGGTAGGACTTAGACTGAAGGTAGTATTCAGAAACAATGTAGGAGTCAGATCCAAAGGACACAGATCTAAGGTAGGATCTGATATGTAGCCACATACAATACTCAAAAGTCAAATTTTCAAAAAATTTGAGTAAGACATAAAAAAAGAGTAATTTAATTTTGACTAAGTGCCAGTCATTTACAACTCGGTCAGTCTATCGCAGCTTGGAACAATGTTTTATATTTCATGCCTTTAATGTAGAAAATGACGTATGTTTTGACATTTGTGAAACGTGTGAAAAGACTCCTGAAGCAGTAACTGTGAGATAAAAACCAACAACATGTACAAACTTACTGACAGCTTCGTTGAGTGATTCTTCAAACAAATTCTCTTTTTCAGCTAACTTGGTGTTGAACTCTCTCACAAGCTGTTTGATCTTCACAGCGTGATCTTCCTCAATAGACCTGTGTTCTTCAAGTTTATCCTTTTCCATCTTTTCAACCTCATGTGAATGTAACTTTGTCATTGAATCAATCTCTTCCTCTTTCTCCTTCCTTAACAGCTGTAACTTCTTTTCCAGTTTCTTGATTTGTGATTCCAACTTTTTGATTTGACCTTCAAGTTCAGTTTTCATTTCACCCTTTTCTTTCAAATTTGCAGACATTTTGTCACTCAGTGTGTTATTTTCAGAGTTCAACTGTTCAATATTTGTCATCAATTCACTTTTCATTTTATCTGACATTTCAAGTTTTTGAACTGTTTCTTCAATTTCCTTATCTTTTTCTTGCACTACTTTGAGATGGGAGGATTCTAACTGTTCTGTCTGCTTCAAGAACTCTTTCGAGGCATTTTGTTTCTCAGACTTCTCTTCATCAAGAGTTATTTTCAAATTTTCAATAACAGTTTGTAAAGAAGATATTTTTTCTTTAGCTCTGGCTGTTACTTCTTCCTTCTCCTCAATCATCTGCTTTTTCATCTGAGCCAGGTAAGTTTCTGCCTTTTTCTTGTATTCTGAAACTTTGGAATTATTTTCTGTATCTTGTTTTGAGCTGTACTGTTTGATTTCCTCACTGTGTTTGTCAGCCAATTCCTTCAGCTGTTTGTCACTCTCTTCTTTCAATCGTTCTCTCTCCACTAAACTTTCATTCAACTTCGCTTCGGACTCTCCTGTGGCTTGTTCACTCTGTCGTAAAGTCTCTAACGTGGAAGTCAGTTCTGTACATTTCTGTTGGAAATCTGAAACACTTTGTTTCAGCTGTTGATTCTCTGCCTCAAGGTTGGCAACTGTTGCCTCACCCTGCTTAAGAGAATCTTCAAGCGTTTGTATCACTGATTCTTTCTCTGAAATAGATTTCTGTTTTTCAACAACCTTTTGACTCAGTTCATCACAGGAAGACTGTTGACTATGTTCAATTTCCTTCACAAGGTTTTCTTTCTCTTCCGCGTCTCTCTTCAGTTTCATTATCTCTTCATCTTTTACCTGCAGGGATGAAGTAACCTGCAAGATTTCTTGGCTCAATTGATCCTTCTCAGATGACACTTCCTGAACTCGGTTCTCAGTTGACAATAAACTCTGTCTCACTGTTTCAAGCTCGTTTTCCTTATCATTCAAAGTCTTTGACATCTCATCCAGTTTTCGTTCAAGATCAATAATGGTATCCTTAGAAGTCCCTCCAGCTTCTTGAAGTTGCAGCAGACGTGTATTTGCATGGGACAACTCTGAGGATACTTCCCCTTTATTCTTTACCTCCTTCTTCAACCTGTCCTCCAGGTCAGCAACCTTCCCCTTATTTTGTTCCTGAATCTCCTTGAGTTTGGCTACATATTTCTGTTTAATCTCCTTCATCTTCCCTTTCCATGATGTCTCAACTGTTTCCATATCTCTCGATGTTTAGCTGCCTGGTCTACAAATTTCTGTTCATTTTCCTGGACTTTTTGCTGCAGAGATGTCTGCAACTCTGCTGAAGTCAACTGTGCATTGTTCTGCACATCGTGCAACTGCTGCTTTAGAAGAGTTACCTCCTCTTTGACTGCAACTTCCTGTCGCTCTAACTTTCCGCGATACTCCTCGAGCTGACTCTCATAACTCTGAATACATTCCTGCAATCTCTCCTCTGTACTGGACACTTTGCCATTAAGTTCTTTTAATCTTATTTGTAGTTCACCATCATTTGCAACCATTTCAGAAATCCGAGTTTCATAATCTTGCACGATCCTTGAATGTTCCTCCTTCAAGTGTTCGGCTGCCGCCTCCTGAGCAGCCTTGTCTTGTTGCAAGTTCTTGAAATTATTCTCCAGTTCTGACAACTGTAGTGTAACTTCCTGAACTTGAACCTGTCCAGATTTCAAAGATTCACATTCTTCACTCAAAGACTGTATTTGGTCATCTTTATTCTGAGCAGTTTCATTGAGTGCTTTAAGCATCTCCTCCATTGAAGAGTTCTCTGTCTGGAGCATAGTTACCCGCCCTTGATGATCCTGGAGCTGAACATCCTTCTCTTGAATTTCTTGCGTATGTTTTTCCTGAACCTCAGATAGTTTTTCATTGAGTTCACTAATCACAGATTCCATCTGACTAATTTTCCCTTTATACTCACTCACAGTTGATTCACACGCACTCTGGCCTGACTGTTTCTCTGTTTCCAGAGCCAACATCAGGTTGCTGATCCTAGTTTCTTTCTCATTCAACCGTTGTCTTAACTCCAACAGCTCCTGCATCTTTTCATCTCTCTCTGAATTAAGATCAGCAAGTTCTGTCCTATGCCTCTCAATTTCTTCCTGAAGAGACTTTACCTGTGCCTCAAATGACTCTGACATTTCTGTCAGTTTGGAGGAATGTATGGATTCAAGTTCACTTTTCTTTTGCTCATTCTCCTCAGAGCTCCTTTGAAACTTTGAATCAAATTCATCCTGAACAGTTTGAAGTTTACATTTCCACTCCTCGACTACTTCCTGAATGGCAGTTTGGTGGCGCTCCGCTTGGTCCCTGAGCTGTTGCTCACGCATGTCCTCAAGGCTCTTGGTGACGTCTTCCATCCCAAGTTCCTTCTGCTGAGTGAGCTCCTGGATCTTGGTTTCAACTTCTGCATCCTTCTCCCTTAGCTTCTCCTCAAACCTTTCCTTGATCTTGCCCATGGTCTCCTTGAACTTGGCCTGCTTCTCCTCAAATTGTTTCCGGAAGCCATCCTCCAACTTCAGCATGTTTTCCTTCTCTGCAGCCAGCCTTTGCTCCAAGGACTGGATCTGGTTGGTGTACTGCTTCTCCATGTTTGTCTTGTCAATGTTCATCATATTCACTTTCTCCTCCCATTCCTTCTGCTTCTGGGCATTCTCCTCCTGATGTTTCTGTTTCGTCTGGTCTGCAGACTCCTTCAGCTCCTTGATCTTCCCCTTTGCCTCAGCTCTCAGCTGATTGAACTTCTCCACATTCTGAGCAAGCTTTCCTTCCATGGTCTTAATGTCTTCATCCTTCTTGAGGACAGTCTTTACTGTTTCTCCTTGCTTGTCTTCCAAAGATTTGACAAATCCTGTGTTGTCATCAATGACTGTTCTCAGTGCTAGAATTTCATCATCCTTTGAACTTAATGTCTTCTCAGAGTCTACTAACTTCTGGACATATTCAGTGAGATCCTTCTCTAGTGCAGCAATTCTTCCCTCCAAGACCTCCTTCTCTTCAGAAGCCTGTTGGCTAAAGGTCTGTTTACTCTCCTCCAACTTTTCTGCCAACTCTGTTTTTTGCTTTACCCAGTTGTTCCAAAACAGATTCTAGTGATGTAAGTTTATCTTCCATGTTTGCTTTCTCCTTCTCAATATCAGCTTGACACTCCTCCAGTGTCTTCACTGTCTCCTTAAGCTGCCCGATGTACACATCCTTCTCGGAGCCTCGAGCTTCGATGTCACTTCGTTCCAGAAGGATCAACTCTTTGTCAGCCTCTAGCTGTTTCAACTGCTCATCCTTCTTCACAACCTCCTCCTCCAACTCTCGAACCCGATTCTCAATGGTCTGCAGTTGTGACTGAGATGCTGTAACAACTTCTGACGTCTGCTGCTTTTCGGACTCAGATTCATCCAGTTTTTGTTTGAACTCTTCAACTAGCTGTCCTTTCTCACTCTGCAGTGCATCTATTTGATGATGCAAACTTGCAAGTTCCTGATTTTTACTTTCAATCTGATTTAGTAAGTCTGTTTTTCGGCTTCAGCCAAAGATGTTTTCTCATCAAGAGATTTTGAAAAGTCAACTTGATCTGAACTCATCTGCTGACACTTTTCCACCATATGAGTGTGCTGAACTTCAAGTTGCTCTCGCTGTGATGTCAACTCCTGTACGCGATTCTCACTTTCAGTCCTGAATGAATCAAACTCATCCTTTAACCTCACACTACTCTCTTCAAGCTCCTTCTTACTTAACTCCAAAGCATCAACCGCGGACTGCAACTTGGATATCTGTTCCGTCAATGATGTCTTAACATCTTCAAACTTCGAGTCGAACATTCTCAAGTTCTTTCTTAACCTTCACATTCTCCTCCTCCTTTTCAACAAGGTCAGTCTGCAGCTTGGCGATCTGTTTCTCGTAGTCACCGGTCCTTCCCTCCAGCTCACACTCCTTCTCCTCCATGGCGGCCTTGACCTCCTTCAGGTCCTGCTCCAGGGATTCCAGTTCCGTCTTCTTGTCCTGGAGAAGCTGTTCCTGCTGATCCTTCACTGTCTGCAGCTGGGCCTGGTAGTATGCCTCCAGTTCTGTGTTCGAGCCTGCCAGGGCCTGAAGGACAGAAATGGGTGGGTGAGATGAGGTGAAATGGGATTTAATGCTGATATTACTGTATTTATATCTTGACGTACATGTAAGTGTGTCTGCTTGAACACTTTTGAGACTTATGCCAGTTTTACAGAGTGAACCCACTGATGTATGAGACAGTGTAATACAGCTACCTAACTCACACACAGCTTACTGACTTTGAGCCAGTCATCCCATCAATACCAAGCAAAAGCCTTTGGGTATTATGTGGCCAGGAATTCAATCATGATGTAGAGTCTCTATCCAGGTGTGTGACTTTATCTGAGAGACATGATGATAGAATTGCATGCCTTTTTCTTGACAGGTCTGCATTACCTGGTTATGCTTCCTTGTCATTTCCTCCATCTGCTGAATGAAGTTGGCTGCTGCGGCTGCCATGTCGTCCTGGAGCTTGCTCACCTGGTTCTCCAGCTCAATCTTCTCCTACACAGAGTCATCTGGTTACTCACACTGCATATGCTAACTCTTGGACAAACGGGAGGATTTTATTGTCATTCATATTTTAATAACTATCGAATGAGTTCTATACTGCTTTTAGCAATATTCCAGCAAAATCACTACAGGGGACACTAGAAACAGGCTTCAAAGATTGTACCACACGTGGGAATCGAAGCTGGGTCTATAGCGTCACAAGGGAACACTTGTAAATAAATTGGCTAACCACCACCCCAAGAAACTATACAAAGAATAAAATGACCTATCTGACATAAACGTCCATTGAGCCAATACACAATTAGACTGAAATGGGCCAAACATTCAGTCAATCACTAAGTAAGTCGCCCCAAACATTTGCTATAACTCATCTAATCAAGTCAAACACCCACTGAGCAGAGTAAAAAACTGACTAAATCTTTTCGTATATCAACTGAATTAAGTCGCAAGTCAAGTTGCACATTCACCCAGTTAGGTCACACTCATGAAGTCAAGACGAAAAATGACTGACTCTGGTCAAAACAATCATTGTGTCAGATCAAATGAAGACCAAGTCCAGTCAAACACTGATCTGGGTCAAACACTGGCCAAGGCAAGTCAAACATTCATTGACACAAGTCAATTCCGAAGCTACTACATGAAACTTGTTAGATTTGTTTTCCAAAGAGTCACGTTCAGTCTAAATTAACCTGATTTATGCGCTCAAGTACTGTAATGTAAAATGCACGGCTCCTTTTCTATTTTTTTATAACATCATAGTAATCGCTAATTATACTTTGGAATTTGTTGCGGGTACGGGTTGACCACCCAAACGACAGCTTCCGATGAAGCATGTTTTACTATTTGTTGGTTTCTTATTAATTATAATTCCACTACGTTTTGTTACTTGTGAAAAATACACAAATTCTGGAAGTCATTAAAATGTCAGCATCTCAACCTATACCATCTTATTTATATCATATCAATTGCGAATCATGAATAATAAATAATGGGTTTCGAAGAGTCAAAATTATTTCCATGAATTGTAGAGGCATTGGCGATAGTCTTAAGAGAAAACAAGTATTTAGATTCCTCAAAAGAAAAAAGCGCCCATATATTGTTTACAAGATGTTCATTTTACAAAACAACAAGAGCAGTTTATCAAACAACAATGGGGTTACTCGGAATGTTATTTTAACTCATTCAAATCAAACGCTGAGGGGAACGGCAATTCTTTTCAACAATAATTTTGAATTTTATGTTAGTAAAGAATATCCTGATGCAGAACGTGGAAATTTTAAAGCCATTGATATTGAAATTGAAAATAAGACATATCTGTTTATAAATGTATATGGCCCAAACGAAGATACTGAATTTTATGAACAAATAATCAACATTCTAAATGAATCTGACTCGAATTCTTTATTCTTTGTGGAGATTGGAACTGTGCTTTAAATCCTATACTTGATCAATTTAATTATAAAATGTAAATAACCCTAAAAATAGAGCCAAAATAAAGGATATTATATAGAGTTATATGATTTGAAAGACCCTTGAGACTACATAACCCAACTGAAAGGAGGTATACCTGGCCAGCCTACCCCTTTAAAACAATCACGCCTTGATTATTTCCTTGTTTCTCACAATCTCCTCTCTTCAGTAGAATATACCAGCATAGATCCAGGTTTTAGAACTGATCATTCTCTCAAGTAGAGATAAGTTTGCACTCAAATGAGGTCAAACGAGGTAAGAGTTATTGGAAGTTTAATAACTCTTTATTAAATGATCCTGAATATGTAAAACTAGTAAAAATACAATACACCTAAACTTGTGAGGAATACGAAAACCCGAAGTTTTGGAATTTCAGATCAACTTTTATGGGAAATGATATTATGTATGGTCAGGGTAAAACCATACTATATTCGTGGTAGTAAAAAAGGACAGAGAAAAATGAAAAGAAATTATCTGAAAAACTCGTAATTATGACAATAGAGTTAGATGAATCGACAAATACTGAAGAAAAAGAAGAATTACTGCATTATATAAATGAAATAAACTCCCAATTAGAAGAAATTAGCGAAATAAAAGCAAAAGGTAGTTTTATAAGGGCAAAGTCTAAATGGATAGAAAAAGGTGAAAAGCCAACAAAATTTTTCTTAAAGTTGGAATCGAGGAATTTTTTACATAAATCTATTGCTGAACTTGAAACAAAATCCGGAGAAATAATCTCTAATATTTCACACATTTTAAATGAGACTAAAACGTTTTATCAAAATCTCTACTGTGAAAAGGAAACTTCTCAAATAGATCTCGAAGATTTATTTCGAATAGCCACAAGGTTAGTGATGAAGTGGCAGAAACACTAGAAGGCTTAATTAACATAACGGTGAAGTTCTTAGTGCTTTGAAGCATATGAAAAATGAAAAAGCCCGGCCCTGATGGTTTCACTGCAGAATTCTTCAAATTCTTTTGGTGGGATTTAAATGTGTATCTTATAAAATCGCTAAATTATGCTTACAGAAACGGAGCTCTATCAGATACACAAGTTCAGGGTATCATCACTTGTATTCAAAGAAGGCAAACCTAAAAAGTTTCTAAAGAACTGGAGACCCATTTCATTACTCAATATTGTGTACAAACTTGCCTCTGCAGCTATAGCAGAGAGAATAAAACCAACTTTAACCACATTTATCAGTGAGGAACAAAAAGGCTTCATAAAGGGTAGATATATGGGAGAGGTTACAAGACAAGTGTATGACGTTATGGAATATGTAGATACCTATCAGATTCCAGGCTTGTTAATGCTTATTGATTTCGAAAAGGCTTTCGATTCTTTAGACTGGCGATTTATTCAAAACGTTTTCGCCTTTTTAATTTTCGCCCTTCCATTCGAAAATGGATAAAACTGCTCTATAAAAATTCTGAATCTTGTGTATTAGTAAATGGTTTTGCTAGTCCCTTTTTCAAACTAAGTCGAGGTTGTCGCCAAGGAGACCCAATCTCTCCATATATTTTCATAGTATGCACTGAAATATTAACCAGATTACTTAAAAGAAATAAATCTATCAGAGGATTAAAGATTGGATCTATTGAACAATTATTAGCGCAGTTCGCAGATGATACTTCCTTAATGTTAGATGGTACTGAAAGGTGCTTGCAAGCAGTCGTGAATACATTAACCTTTTTTGCACGTTTTTCTGGTTTAAAAATTAACATTGATAAAACAAAGTTGATTTGGATCGGTTCCAAAAACGAGTTCGAATGAAACTATTGAAGAACTGTAAAATGGACTGGACTGAAACATTTAAGTTACTGGGTATCAAATTTGATATTGATCTTGAGAATATGGTAGATGCTAATTACAACGAAAAATTTAAAGAAATTGAAAATTTAATGAAAATGTGGAAATGTAGAACGTTAACGCTGTTTGGACGTAACACAGTGCTAAAATCCTTATTGTTACCAAAACTTAATCTCTTATTTTCTACCGTTCCTACACCATCAGAAACTGTAATACAAAATTTCCAAGCAAAATGCTTTCGATTTATTTGGAGTTTAAAACCCGATAAGATTAAAAGGAACAGGGTAATATGCAATATTCGGACGGGGGTTCAATACTCCATTTGTAAGGATGTAATTGCTTCTCAAAAGATTTCATGTCTTAGACGATTTACCTTCTCGAACACAATACATCAATTATTTCTTTACGAATCAAATACTATTCCAAGTAATATTCTAGAAATGGATGCAATCTATATAAGAGATAATATCATTAACAACATAAGAAACCCTTCTGGTGAGATGTTTTATCATCCTGGGCTCTATTCCTGAATAAGCATAAGAAAACACGAAAGGATGCGCACTCACAGTATATATGGTATAATGATAATGTTAAGATTGATAAAAAATGCATATTTATTAAACAATGGGAAGAAGCCGGAGTAAAATATATCAATGATTTGATAGATCAGGATGGTCAACCTCTTTCATACCTAGATTTCAAAAATAAGTACAATATTTCCTCCAATTATTTAACATTTCACGGGGTTAAAAAGGCTTTGAATAAATATTTGAACGAGCTTGATTATGACGATAATACACCATTAACAGCACCATTACTACCATTTAACATTCGTTTGCTCCTGAATACCAAAAAGGGCTCAAAATATTACTATAATGTGTTATTAGGATCCAAGTTCCAGAAAATTTCAGCCAATCAACAATGGGAGAAAGAATTAGTAAAACAATATACAGATAGGGAATGGAAGAATATTAATGAAATTCCATTTCGATCAACTGATAGTGTTCAATTACGGTGGTTTCAATATAAAATTATTAACCGAATTCTTCCAGTTGGAAAATACTTGTTTAAGATTGGATACCAAAACTCTCCTATCTGTACAACTTGTCACAAGTTCATAGCAGATATCTGTCATGTTTTATGGAATTGTGAAATTGTCAACTCAATCTGGATTGAAGTCCAAAACTGGGTAAACAGTAAGGCGGAAATCAATGTACAGTTTACTAAAGAAACAATTTTGTTGGGCTTTCCTTCTAAAAGAAATGACCCTTTAAACGTAATCTGTCTCGTAATAAAAAAACACAATTTTCAAAGTTTATGTTAAACGAGGAACACTTTCCTTTGCTTCGATCCAGAGGGAGTTGACAAGTTACTATAACATAACAAAAGCCATAGCTTACTCTAACTGTGATTACAACAAATTTGTTAAATTTTGGTCCAGTTGCCATAAGTTGTTTGTTTGACCAATATATTCAACTACTCTTTTCGATGAAACTTCGTTCTATCGATGCACAATATTGATCCAGTTGCCATAACTTGGTTGTTTGAACCACTTTATTCAATTACCTTTTTCGATGAAACTTTGTTTATGGTTGTATGACATTAGTCCATCTGCTATAAGTGGTATGTTTTGAACAACTTTATTCAATTACTACTATCAATGAAACTTGTTTATTGATGTACGGTCCAGTTGCCATAAAGCAGTTTGTTTCTAAACCACTCTATTCAATTACCCTTTTCGATGAAACCTGGTTTCTCGATGTATGGTCTAGTTGCCATACGTAGTATGTTCCTTAACTACTCCATTTAATTACCCTTTTCAATGAATCTTTGTGTATCGATGTATGACATTGGTTATACCAATTTATTCAATTACCCTTTTCAACGAAACTTTGTTATCGATGTATGACATTGGTCCAGCCGCCATAAGTGGTATGTTTGAACCACTCTATTTAATTACTCTTTTTTGCTGAAACTTTGTTTCTCGATGTATAGCATTGGTCCAGTTACCATAAGCAGGTTGTTTGAACCATTTTATCCAATTAGTCCTTTGATGAAACGGCTTCTCGATAGATGAAAATGCTCGTGCTGCCATAAACAGTTTGTTTTCAATGAAGTATGTGTTAAATGACATATTATGTATGACATGTATGATTTGCTGTACAACAAAAAAAGTGGAATAAAAAAAAAAAAGGAAAAAAAAGTCAATTCCTCAGTCAAGCTAGTGGTGTTCCGATTAGTTGAAATAATCGAAGATTGGTCGAAGTGACCAAACGACCAAGCAATCGATCACATTTTCTCATAATATAACACAAACGATTTTGGAACTGCTGTTTTAGTCTTTGAAACACTTGACAATGGAACATATATCTTCAAAGTGGTAAGGACCTGAAATCTTGTTTAATTCTTAGGAAACTCACATCACTAACTGAAAAGTCATGACTGAATATAATAATAATAATAATAATAATAATAGTGCATTTATATAGCGCTATTTCCAAACATAAGGATGCTCAAAGCGCACAAACATGGTTTGATATTAGGGAAAGTCAGGGAAAGCTTGGCGAAAGAGGAAAGTTTTTAGTAAGGATTTAAAGGATGACAACGTTTGAGAGTCTTTGAGTTCTTGGGGCAGATTATAACTCCAGGAAGTTTATGTTCATGATATATTACTCATCACTTTAAAGTAGCAAGTTGCATCATGTTTTACATATCTACAATAACAACCTAAAAATGAAGCTAACCAATTTTTTCGATGATTGCTCGTTGGTAATGAAGCAATCATCAATTGTGAGATTTCAACCAATTCCCAACACTAAGTCAAGCACTCACTGAGTTGAGTCTGTCGATCTGGAGGTGCAGCTGGTCTTTCTGGGTGTCGATCTCGGAGACAGTGGCCATCTTCTGGAGCTCCCGCTCCTCCACCGCCAGTCGCATCTCCTCCTCCTTCTCATCCAGCCTCCTCCGCAAATCTTCCTGCAGCTGCATCACTGCCAACTCCTTCTCCCTCTCCTGCAACACCGACAACCTTTCTTACTACGGCCATCGATTTGGTTAGATCAAGCATGGGGTATTGGAAAACATGCACAGGGGCCAGATGATGAAGATGATGATGATGATAATGATGATGACGATGATGATGATTTCCTACTTACAGCAAGGGTCTTAAGACTGGTTTCAAGAAATTATTTTGGGTTTCAAACTGTGGTAGTGTGTAAATATCTCACATCCTCAATTGATTTACCAGAGAGTAACTTCAAATATCAATCATCAGAAGAAAGGAGCAGCTCAAACATGCATGCACACACGTACGCACGCATGCACCGACTGTCTTTGCAACTTCATGGACCATGCCCCCTTTGTGCAAGTACCCCAACTGAACATATCTCAACACATTTAGCCTTCTCTGACCTTGACATCCAGCACCTCCTGGTGGGCCTTTTCTTGGTCAGCCATCTTTTGTTGCCAGATGCCATCCCTCTCTCCTACACTGGCCTCGATCTTCTCCAGGGTCACCTTCTCCGTCTCTTGCTACAACACACAACATCCATGTCTTACACAACACAGTTTTCTTTATCAGTTTCAGGTTGCCATTGTACAAAACACCCTTAGCACTAAGGCAATTGTAAGTCTATTTTGCGACACTTGAGATCTACAATTTTCACAGAAGTACAAATATGAAAACTATAAATATAAATATGTTAGCTGTTATGACAAGCATGGGCTGCTGAAGACCAATTCTGTGGTACCTTCATGGGTCTCAGGAGAAGACTAAGATTGAGTGGGTATAGCTCTAAACTGCTTTTAGCAATATTCTAGCAATATCAGATAAGTATGAGACTTTCAGTGTGAGATGTACCTGCATGAGTGAGATGGCCGCTGCCTTCCCCCGGGACAGCTCCTGGACCAGCGTCTCTTTCTCCTCCTCCAGACTCTGCTCAGCGACCTCCAGTCTCTCCTGCATGTCAGTCTTCAGCTGTACCTTCTCATCCTTCAACCTACGGATTATCTCCCTTGATTTCTCCAGCTGCTCTTGCACTGCAGTGGCAATTTTGGTAGTTGCTTGAACTGGGGCATGTGACTTTTGTATTTGTTTGTTTTGCAGTTTAATGCTGCACTTGGCAATTTGAGATCTATAAGACGGTAGTCTACAAATAATCAAGTCTGGACCAGACACTCCAGTGACTGATGTCATGAACATCAATTTACGCATTTTGGGACAAGATGAAAAGCATCAGCCAACAGAGCTGCTAACACGCAACAAATTTTGTGATTTCCTGATTAATACGTGTAGTTATACGTGTAGGTAATGATGAGCGAACACTTCACCCACTTGGTTACCCCAACACCCTCACAATTTTGTAAGCTCTTTCAAATTTTGAGCTATTAAAAATAGTTGTTTAGTTGTATTTATAAGCTACAGTGTCCACTTATACTACAGACACATAACGCATGCAAATTGATTTGTGTATAAGTATCAATCACTACTGTCACTCTAGGCACTGTTGAACTTCTTTACCCAGGCCTCCTAGCATCCTTGGTGACATACCTTGCTTCTCCAGCTTCTCAGTCTTCTCCTTCAGCTCGGTGTTCTCCACCTGCCACACCTGTGCCTGACCTTTGACCTCCCTGAGTTCCTCATCCTTCCTCTCTAGCTCCTCATGCACCTGTTTCTTGACCTCTGCAATGGCCAGCTCACGGTCTGTTTCCAGCTGCTGAATCAGCTTCCGTGCCTGCTTTATCTGACTCTGAAGCTTCGTCACGTCTGGGGCCGCTCCTCCGCCAGTCTAGGGAGGGGAATGGTTCTTCATCAACAGTTCACAATTTTCGAAACCTTGTACTATATATGGCCTGAGCCTGACCCATCCTTAACACCTGTCCTCGAACCTGACCCTGACCCATAGGCGACCGACTCTGATATATTTATAAGTATGACCTATATGTATAAGATATAAGAAAGGTGTGTCAGTAAATCAAAACAAAATGGCAGCCCCGGCTCGGCTCGGCTCTGTTTCCGTCTGACAAACGCTTCCATCGCTTTGACCGTTGAATAAACTGCACAATTTATACTCAGTTGACCTCTGTAAAGTACCTTGCGTATCACAAACCTGGTGATTTTATTCCCATTTAAAGCTTTCAATAATTTTGCCGTCCATACTCGCACGAAGTCAGGACATAAGCCCGGAAGTAAACAAATCTCAGGCTACAGACCCGCACCGAATAGTAGAGCGAGTCTCTGATTGGATAGCGTCTTCTATTATTCCCACCTCTTTTAACGTGCAACTATATTATCCAATCAGAGACTCGCTCTACTATTTGGTCTAGGGAGGGGGAAAGAGCTCTTCATCAACGATACACAACTTTTGAAATACCTGACCCCAATCCTGGAAGCTGAAACATGAGAGTGACCTTGACCTGGAACAAATCTTTGACCCAAGACTAACCTTGACCCTGACCCTTGTTTGGCATTCAAAGGGTGGATCTAACACAAGATTTCAGAAGGGGGCAATATGTCATGGTGCACACAGAACTTTTGACTGAAGTGACTAAATCTTTCTCATTTTGTTCTTATAACTGCCTTGAAGAAAGGAAAGATTGATAATCGTTTTTGCTCTATACAGTTTACAGTTTGGAATCTAAATTTGTTGTTCATCTAATGTTTAAGCATAATTCGATTTAAGTACATTTAAAATCATGAACACAATGTAGTTCTGAAAATTTTGAGGGACATTCCACTGACCTTGATTCTCTCATTTTCCTTCTGCAAGTCCTCCATCTTCCTCTCCAGGTCCTCCTTCTCTGTAGCCAGGACCAGGTTCTTTTCTTTGCCAGACTTGATGGTTTCCTGCACCGAGTCAACAAACCCTCCAGGCGATTCATCTACAAGGACAATTTGGCCTTTGAGAAAGTCACTTGGTTGGTTAGTTTAATGGCGCACTAAGCAATATGCCAGCTATATGGCGGCAGACTGTAAATAATTGAGTCTGCACCAGACAATCCAGTGATAAACAGCATAAGCATCAATCTACACAATTGGGATACGATGACATGCGTCAACCAAGTTAGCGAGCCTGACCACCCTATCCAGTTACTCGACTCTTACGACAAGCATGGGTTGCTGAAAACCAATTCTAACCTGGATCTTCACGGGTAGACTTTCAGAAAGAATGACTCATGCCTATAAAAGATTGTGTTTTGACTATCGATGAAAATATTTTAGACATGTTGCATCAATCATCTGATCAATAAACTGCATTCCCATACAATTCATTTATTGATACTAAGTCACTTTTTGTTTGCTGCTGAACTCCGTTCTCAGAATTATTACAGCTAAAAACACTGGCCTATTTAAATAAGTCTGGACAGTCAAGTAAATGAAACCATGAGCAAAGATCTATGAAATTCGCATGCATTTTCCACGTCAGTGAGACTGTCACATCTTATGGCAACCATGGTCTGTTGACGACCAATTCTAACCCAAATCCTTATTGGTCACTGGGTCACTAATGGGGAAGTCCACTGACCTTCTTCTTCAGTATGGTCACTTCATCCGTTGCCCCAGGCGTGTTGGGGGAACTAGGGGGGACAGCAGCTGCACTTGTCTTGGGGGAGAGTTTTTCTTGCAGCTCTGGTGGGATCTCCTTGCCTTCTTTTAACAACTTCACCTGTAAAACATTGAGAAATTATTGATACTTTTCATGTACCAGAAATATATGATTAATTCTTTAAGCAAAGGTAACATGAAATGTGCATGTCTCAGTTTACCTGCATCTATTGTGTTTGATTGTAGTGCATTAATGAATGCATTTCAGAGTAGTGCATGTTTTGTTTGAGCACACATGCATGTGCATTGACATGCATGCACTGTTTGATCATACCTGTGTGTAAATTTGAGTGTACCTTCCTTATGGATTTTGAGCATACCTGCCTGTATCATGTGTTTCAGTGTATCTCAATGTTATGCATACCTGCATCTGAAGCACCTTAACGAACTCCTCCTTCTCTTCCAGGAGGAGTCTGTAGTTCTGCTCCAGGTCCCGTTTGGCCAGCTGGTCTAGCTGTATCTGCTCCTTCAGCTCCGAGATCCGTCGGAACGCTCGGTCCTGCGACTGGGCCAGGGTTTTCTGTACAAATATTGACACTAGAGTCAACCAAATCACCTGGCTCCTGCTCTTATAACAAACATTTCTTTAGTGGATGCCCTGCTACTACCCAAACATTCCAGTAATCCACATAAATGAGCATGATAAGTCCACAGCACCATTTCAACAATATTTCAGGAATATCATTACGTGCAGGCCAAACGAGGACGGGAAGTACTGGAAGTTGTAGAGTAATACACTGGCGAAACCTACAGGTATCTTAACTGGGCTCACAAACTATGGATCAGTAAGTGTGAATCTGGTATTGGAACCAGTAATCAGCAGATCCTGCCACAACCATGGGCCAAAACTCATGTCCAGATATATGATGATGTGTGTGTGTGTGCAAATCAACCGTCACTACTTTTCCTAGACCTCTACCTTTACTGCTGCTGCTACTGCTGCTGCTACTACTACAGCTGCTGCTGCTGATGCTGCTACTACTACTAAAGCTGAATCTGATGTGGTACCTTCACTTTCTCTCTGTCCTGCATGGATTCCTTGTAAACAGTTGCCAGCTGAAACATAGGCCGACATTTATACATCAACACCTGATTAAAGTGGCCATTCATACAACAGCAGATCAAGGTTCCATTCATACACCAATATCTGATCAAGGTTCCATTTATACACCAATATCTGATCAAGGTTCCATTTATACACCAATATCTGATCAAGGTTCCATTCATACACCAATATCTGATCAAGGTTCCATTCATACACCAATAGCTGATCAAGGTTCCATTCATACACCAATAGCTGATCAAGGCTCCATTTATACACCAATAGCTGATCAAGGTTCCATTCATACACCAATATCTAATCAGTTGCCAGTTGAACATAGGCCGACATTTATACATCAACACCTGATCAAGGTGGCCATTTATACACCAACAGCTGATCAAGGTTCCATTTATACACCAATAGCTGATCAAGGCAGCAATTTTTACACCAGCTGCAAATCAAGGCAGATCTTTACACATCAAAGCCAATCAACAAAACTGCAGAAAATTACATAAAATGAGAAACAATTGCAAAGATCTATAATCAATGATAATCTAACATAAGTCGCTTCCATTCTATTATCAGTCAATCAAAAAACAGGAGTAAATGTTCTTCAAGACACATGTAAAATTTATCTAAGCTGCGATTGCCAACTTAAATCATGTACATGATGTACATGTATGATCAACTTATCAATGCATCAAGTTGAGGCTTCGTAGTCACATCATCATAACCATAACATAACCATCAACATCATCATAACCAACCTCCATGTATTTTGTCTTGTATTTGATCACCCGTCTCTCGTACTTCTTGACGTAAGTGTACAGTTCCTCCTTGCTAATGGCATCAAGGTTGACAGACGTCTCCTCGATCTCGCTCTCAATGTCTGACGGAACGTAGTGCTGATGTGAGAAGCTGACATTAGTGAAGAAGGAGCTATCACTGGCGACAGAGCTGATGGACGACGTCCTTGACCTTGAGACTCTCGGGGTATCATCGCCCTGGACGGAACCAAAGTCTGAGGCAGTCTGGAAGGGAATCATGAAAACATCAATGTTATGGGGGATTTTACCATTGAAATAATTAAAGTCAGCGCTTCACCTTATATTGCAAAGTGCACAAATCATGTGTTCTGGAGTCTGTAGGCTGTCTAGCTTACATATACAGGGCTCCAGATAACTTTTGGGGGTGTGAGTGTACTTACACATCATATTGCAAGTGGAGGTGTACTGAGAATTTTGAAGGAGTACTGACGTGTTTTTGTGTGAGCGAGTTGTTGTGGTTTGTCTGGACAATCCATCGATCACTATTTCCAGCCATGTATTTGTATTTGAAGACATGTGAGAAATAACTGAGCGACTGTGTGATGCGCGAAATGTCAGGTCCGACTGGATATAAATAGGAACAGTGTAGTTTTTAGCCAATCGAAAAATAGTGACGCATATCGTTGCATGGCAACGCAAGGGATTCCTACTGTCGGGGTTTCCTTATGTGTCAAATCGTGTTTGGCAAAAGAAACTTAACAAGTTTTTATCCGAAATAGATTTCCATTTGCACGATACGCACGGAAATTAAATGTTAGACGTACGAAGGTAATTATGTGCGTACACGATACGCTTGAAATCTGATATTGTGTCGTACTTAATTGATTTTGAGGCGTACATCATGCCTGTACGCCTCTTATCTGTAGCCCTGCATATATGACTGGTTAGTTTGCAATTACGTACACATAAATAAGTGGGAGAATATGATTGATGCATCGATTTACATTACAATGACTGACTGAGTTTGGTTTTACGCCGCTTTTAGCAATATTCCAGCAACATCACAGCGGGGGACACCAGAAATGGGCTTCACACATTGTGCCCATGTGGGGATTCGAACCCGGGTCTTCTGCGTGACGAGCCAATGCTTTGACCATTAGGCTACCCCACCGCCCCACATTACAATGAAGTTGACTTGAAAACAAACTGGTTGACAGCGACGCAACCTTGTGAGCTAAGTCATTTGGAGCTGGGAGATACAGACAATGTAGGTTCAGTATCACGCCATGCTTCAGATCTCCAGTATCACCAGATTGCGTTTGGTATGCGAGGTGGACAGTGTCATGAAAACCCCTTGTTTTACAAGCTGAAAGTGATTTATGTGTGTCCCTTAATCAATTTCCGTCTGTTTGCAATCACCAATATTCCAGCTAAATGATAGCGATCAATACATAATCAGGTCTGGACCAGACAATCCAGTGATTGACATCATGAGAATCCATCTACACACTTGTGAAACGATGACATGCTTTAACCAAGCCAGTGTGTCTGACCCACAGATACTGTTAGCTGCCTTCTACGACAAGCATAGGTTGCAAATAACAAATTCTAACTCAGATCTTCATGGGTCCTGTCATGGCTGGCACAAAAACATTTTCCTCTGAAATAGCAACCCTATTTTGTTACAAAAATATGCATCATGGGTCAGTGTATGAAAGAAGGCCCAACCTACCACCCTAGACGGGTTAAATTTCAGACGGACGGTCTAGATTTACAGCTTGCCAGCCCAATGGTCTGGTAAAAAAATGAAATTTTTAGAGTAAAATTAATATTTTATACTTATCCTGACTCATGCTTATTGCTTGTCTTCTTCTTCTTGTGAACCTAGTGGAACACGTGTATCTCCCAATTGAAGTTCCCTTCAATAAAAAAATCACTCATTAGTACTCACCACGAGTTACCTCCCTTCCACAGCGCAGGAACGAGGGCGGCACCTGAACTCATGTGCCTCACTCTCTCCTTTTTTGTTTTGAGCCCGACACTTTATTTTTCCGAAGAAATCCAAAGTGTTTAGTGGGGAGGACGGGAGGGCTTACCTCATGAGTCAGGATAAGTATAAAATATTAATTTTACTCTAAAAAAATTCATATTTTTCCTTTCCTGACTCATGCTTATTGCTTGTAGAATCCGACGGAACAGGAGGTGGGATTATATATACTTTGGATTTACTAATTAGTGATTTGAACTGAGATGATTGTAATAACCCTATGGGAACTTCATAAAGGCACTGAACTGAAGAATTCCTGCTGTTAACTTATCAGCTGCCATATAAAGGTTATTACAATTTACTGAATATAATAAAAGTATATACAACATTAAAGTGAGCTGAAGCCATTAATGTGATAGTATAAACTTCTGAGAGTTTATAGTGAATACTTTTATAATGAACCAAAGTATTAAGCTTACAATATGCATATATATAGGCTATAATAATACTGTGCTTAAGATATAATATAACTTAAGCTGTATAATAGTAACCAACTACTTAGAGTTTGTTAACTAATACATGTTATGAATTGAACATATGACTGAGCTTAAGGATTGATAACTTAAGCTGAACATATATATAATAGCAGAACTCCTAGGAGTTGTAAGCATATATATATAGTATGATATAGAACCATAGTACTGAGCTTAAGATAATAAATTAAACTTAAGCAAAATTACATAGATAGCATGTAGCTATTAGTACTGTTATCAGATAAGTATAAAATCTGTAAGATAGACTTATCTTCTCCGTGGAACTGTCAACTGTTGAGCGAGGACCATGGGACCGAAATGGTGGATACCTGAGACGTCCTTGGTGGTGATATCTCTTAGATAGTGGTTGGCAAACACCATATCGGATCTCCAAAAACATCCCTCCATAATGGTATTCAACGAGCAATTTCCATGTAGAGCGAGAGTTGAGGCTAGCGCTCTAATTTCGTGAGGATTAGAAGCTCTTGGAGAGGTCGAGTCCTGCAGCCTTGTAGGCCTCGTGAGTATGACAGTTCTGATCCAAATAGAAATCGAGTAGTACGCGACACTTCTGTCTGCAAAGCGGTAGATATAGGGATAAACAATCTTTGAATTTCCCTCTACTTTGCTTGGATCGTTGGAGATATATTTTCAGTGCACGCACAGGGCAAAGTGATAGGTCCATCGATCATGCGCGTCCAAGTATGGATGACAGAGCTGGGACATGGAACAATCTGTCTGGTTGACCTGGCAGTTGATTTTTCGCTATAAAGTCCCAGCTTAAGTCCCAGATGAGCCATGTTATGAGTATCATCAAAGTGTTCTCAGAATCCAGCGCGGAATCTCAGACATCCCTGGGCAGTAGCTTATGCTAACAGGAATAAGGTCTTGTGGGTCAGTGATTCAAACGAAGCAGATAACAATGGTTCATAAGCCTCACTCGTGAGGTGTTGGAGTACTATATTTAGATCCCAGGCTGGAGCTTGAAACTTCCGCTTCTGATCCTCCAATCGAACGCCAGAACAAAGCCGAAAGTAACTCTGGTGTTTAAGTCAACTTGACGTTCTCATAGTTATGACAGAACTTATGGCTGCAAGATAAGTGGACAAGGTTGAGCCTTTTAGATTCTTAGTTTGACGTGAGATAACATAAGAAATCTGCCACTTGAGGATGTAGCATATCTGGCTGAAAATCCTTTCTTAGCAGCATAATTGACAAAGCTGTGCCATTTGTCATCGTACAAGTTAGAGTTGAGTTACGTAGTGCAAGCGTGACCGCTTTAGCTGCTCTGGCAGAATAACTTTCCTCTTATTCAAACATGCCTTGATACAATCCACACGGAAGTTGGTATGCTTCTGGTGTCTTGTGCATTTGTTTGGTGTGCGGATGTATCAATAGATTGCGCCAGTGGGAGCTGGAAGTACTGGGTTTTCCATTCCTAGCATGAGATCTGAAACCACGTTCTTCGCTGGCCAGTAGAGGTAGCGCCACCAAAATCAGATCGAGGCTCTTCGTTTGACTGATTTTCTGTAAGACTTGTGGGATTAACACAGGAGGCGGGAAAGCGTACGTGTTGAGTCCCTCCCATGATATGCTTAGTGCGTCCGTTGCCCATGCTAGTGGGTCTGGCACTGGCGATACGAAGGTTGTCAGTTGTTTGTTGAATCGAGTGGCAAATAGGTCTATTAAGGGAGATCCTATTTCCATGATTATTTGATTGAATATCTCTGTGTGGAGCATCCATTCTGTCGGCGACGGTTGGTGTGGCCGAGAGAGAGCGTCTGCTAAAACATTCTTTGCTCCTGGAATGTGGCAAGCTCGAACAGTCTGAAACATCGAGTGAGTAGATTCAGTGATCTTGTTGAACCTTGTTTGTTCACATAAAACGCCACTGTTGAATTGTCTGTGTGAATCATCAACTGAGCGTTCTGTAGTAGGTTGCTCCAGTGACTTATGGCGTTTATGACTGCTTGCATCTCTAGCAGATTTATGTGACATTTGCTCTCTTGATTGCTCCATAGGCCTGATGCTGTCCTGCCGGCAAGGTGGGCTCCCCAACATTTTAGTGACGCGTCTACGTAGAGATGTGTTTTCGATTCAGGCTCTACTAAGGAGACGCCTGCGCAAACATTCACTCTCTTGGTCCACCAGAGTAGATGTGGTTTGACGTAATCTGGTAGACTGAATGGTAGAGGGTCCTCGAGATGAGCATTGATGAGGACTTGTAATGGACGAATTGAAGCCTGCCTCTGAGTGTCAAGTCTTGAGCTGATGTGAGTAGTCCCAATAGGCTCTGCCACTGTCGAGTGGTAACGGAGAGAGTAGGGCTTGGGGAATCAGTTGTTGGATCTTGATCCATCTGTCCTCCGGGACTACTAAACGATTCTGAGCTGTAAGGAATCGTATACCTAGAAAATGCAGATCCTGCGTTGGTTCTAGGTCCGACTTGAGTAGATTTACTAACCAACCTAATTGAGTTAGTAACTTGATTATAAAGTTCAGCTGTAGTCTGAGACGCTGTGGATCTGGATCCACTTGTATACTACCGTCGTCTAGGTAAAATGCGCCCGCAGACCTTGAACATGTAGGTATGAGACAATAGGCTTGGTTACTCTTGTGAATACCAAAGGGGCTGAAGTGATTCGGAAGGAAGTACCTTCCATTGGTAATGTTTGCCGTCTAGGATAAATCTTAGATATTTCCTTGAGCTGGGATGAATCGGAATGTAGTAGATATCGTCTTGCAAATCTATGCTGGCCATGTAATCTAGTGGACTAATTAATTGCGAAGTTGTGGTAAATGTATCATAAACGCGTTGGTGGTTTTGCATAGATATTCTCTGTTGAAGGTGCTCATGTTGTAAATGAGACGATATTTCTCCTTGGAATTCTTTTTCGGCACTAGGAAAACTGGGGAGTAGAAACGTGGTACGATGTTTCGTTGATCCAGAACTTCTAAGGCCTGTTTGTTTAGCAGAGACTGTACTGTTTCTCTTAACATAGGTAGTTGTGCCGGTTGAACGTTGAACCATGGCGGGGTGACTGTTAATGGCAACTTGGTCTTGAGTTGTATAAGATATCCGTGCTGTAGGATGTTGGATACATAAGGATCTTGTAGTATTCCCCAGTTTTCCGAGTGTAGTTGAAGACGTCCACCCACTTGAGAAGGTTGTACTGGAACGACTGGGGGTGGAAGACTCCAGTCGTTCCGAACCTGACTTTCATCGTTTAAATCCACGGGCACCTCTGGATGATCTGCCTCTAGCTGATCCTCCTCTAAATTTGCTGTATGGGCGACGAAAAGAATCCTTGGGATTATTAGCTGCAGCTAGTTTCTTGTCCCGTGCTCTCTGTAGCCCTGAAAACTTAGACTTGCCCGAGTATCTCTGTTTTGACTGTTTAAAGACCTTCGCTAAGGTATCCATGGATCTAATCATAAGTACCTCTCTGGAATCTTTAGATACTTCTTTGGAGACCTTGTTTATGTTGCCACCAAAAAGTAAGGGCGATGACCATGGAGCTGTGTAAAGAGGCTCTGTGAATTGCTTATTCCAAGAGCAGAAGGCTAGTAAGCCTTGCCGACGAGCCATGGTAGTAGTTTCAGTAAGCGCTGAAAGGTGCTCTGTAAGAAATTGGTGGTCTTTTTTCTGCATGAGTAGAGCTGAGTAGATCATTCTGTCTTCCTCGTCTGTAGAATTCTTGAACTTGGTGATGAGAGTCTCATTAATAGTTCTAGATCTATTTAATCCGAAGAACATCCTTCTGGAAATGGTATCTAATTGGGCCAGTTTGCGATCGTCTACTCTGTAACTTCTGGACTTGGTATCAGTGATAAGTTTAAAGTTGTCATCAATATCCTGGGCCTTGAAAAAGGGTTCCATATTATGTCCAGCAAATTTCTTGGCATTGAGGACCGGTAAATGAGTAGATTGGGCTTTAGAAGATTTGGAGCAGGCTGTATCTAGTTTAGCTGGTACGGCTGCGATCGGGTCAGTTGTAATTCATTCACCATCCAATATCTTATCTCAGCATCTGAGAAAATGATACCATCCTCCTCTTCTGACGTATGGTCATATGTCGGAGTCATAGGAAGATCTATGAGAGGACTGTGGAGAACGGACTGACGAGTGGCTAGTGTACGGAGACCTTGGAGAAGACATCCTTCGCGAAGGCTGGGGGCTTCGCGAACGGTGAGGGCTTCGCAAACGCTGTGGGCTTCTTGAACACTGGGGGCTTCGCGAACGCTGGGGGCTTCGCGAAGTTCTTCTAGGCGAGGTAGAAATGGAACCACTTAGCCTTCGCGTCCTTCACGAATGTCTCGAGTCAGTGTCCGAATCGACATGTGAGCGCTTGCTTCGCGAACGACCTCTGTGAATTACAAGGTGCGTGCTCGGCGAAGCGCTCCTTCTCCGCGAAGCCTCTCGCAATAGGTGAGGCTCTAGCTCCTTTGCGGAGGTGGCCTGGGACTTCCTATGCAAAGAGCTCGCTCCGGGCTGGGATGCCCTTCTCGGAGGCGCGTCTGTGGGCTCTTGGGCCCTACGCGAAGCCAAGGCGGGCTCTGGGGCCCTGTATGACTTAATATGGGTTGGGCTCTGGGGCCCGTGGCTCTGGGGCCTCTGTAAACCGTAACGTTCTTCCATCAGCCTCATGATTTGGTTGACCAGGTCGTCTGAGGCGGTCTGCGCTGATGATGAGGGTTGTCTCTCTGCGAAGGTGACGGGACCCTCAGTCAAAATTTCTGGTGACAGCGTAGGCATCTCCGGTTGTGTGCTAATCTGCGCTGAGGTGACAGTCGCAGATACAGGACGTTTCTTGTGACGAACCTCTGGAATGATAATCGGAATGTCATCATCATATAAGGCTAATTCTGTGACTGGTAAAATATCAGAGGCAAAATTATTAGATTTTGTAGATTTCCCTTTTGACGTAGTTGTAGACCTGGGTGTACGAAGCGTACGAGATGATATGGACGCTTTGCTAGTCTTAGAATGAGAAGACGGCAGATCTTGAGATGCAGGTGGCTTCTTGGACATAGCGGACTGCGTCCCACGCTTATCCCCCGAGGGAAACTCAGGCATGCCACCAGCCGGTGGCGGGTCGCCAGTCAACAGTTGACAGGAACATTAATTTGTGATCTATTAGCCATGACTGAAATTTGTTTTGAGATATATCTGCCTTCCGTCTAAAAACGGAACATAAATATTTATCAAAGGCAGAAATTGGTAAATTAATACAAAATTTACAACGAGAAACAAAAGAACATGGAGTAATGCAACTAGGGCATTTTAAATGTGGATCAGTAGCAGAGTAACGTAGTTTACAATCTGTGCAGATTCTCATTAACGTAAACTACTGAACAATCACGGCGAACCGTGAATAAACAGCAGAAATACAATTAATATCAATGCAAAATTGAATAAGGATACTAGTAACACCTCTATACTAAGTATAAGAGGTACTAAACTAAATATAAATAAAGGATATAATGTGTTGGGAGACACAGGCGCTCTCACGTCCAGCTCACTGGGCGAAGAAGGAGAGAGTGAGGCACATAGGTTCAGGTGGCGCCCTCGTTCCCGCGCTTGTGGAAGGGAGGTAACTCGTGGTGAGTACTAATGAGTGATTTTTTATTGAAGGGAACTTCAATTGGGAGATACACGTGTTCCACTAGGTTCGCAAGAAGAAGAAGACAAGCAATAAGCATGAGTCAGGATAAGGAAAAATTTGAGATGTTATATACATCTGAGTCATATCTTGGTGTCTGGTCTGGTTAAATCCATTTTTGACTGGTAACATTTTGAAGTTACCAGCCCTGATGTCTGGCTGGGGTTTTGGCTATTTCAAACACTGTCATGGGTGTCATGTTTCTTGGTCACTGCCTCAAACAGAGAAAAGGAATATTATAGCGACATGAAATTTCAAAATTTTGTCATACAGTATCTCTTACCTCATAATGACTGTCATTGTTGGTGGTCTCCAGGGGGATCTCCACCAACTGTCCCGTAGCGACAGCCCCCTGAGTAGGGGATGCCACTGCCCCATCTTGCCCACTCAGATCCAGCAGGGCGGGGCCATCCCCTGCCCCACCATTATCCTGACCATTGCCTTTCTGAGGTGTGCTCTCCGCCAGCGGTTTTCCTGGAGTGCCTTCCTCATCAGTCTGAAACAAATACAAAAGTGAGTAAGTGAGTGAGTGAGTGAGTGAGTGAGTGAGTGAGTGAGTGAGTGAGGTCATAGAGTGAACGAGTGTTTTGTTTGTTTTATTGTTGTTTAGCGATACACTCAGCAATATTCCAGCTATATGGCGGCGGTCTGTAAACAACAGAATCGGGACCAGACAGTCCAATGATCAACAGCATGAGTATCGATCTACACAATTGGGATACCATGACATGTGTCAACCCAGTCAGCAAGACTGACCACCCGATCCCGTTACTCGCTTCCTACGACAATCACGGGTTGTTGAAGACCAATTCTATCCCGGATCTTCACAGGTGAGTGATTGTGGTTCTCAATACTATTCAAGTTATATCACAACATGTTGGCTCTATGTGGAAGACAGGCTCAATGCTGGTCTTTGAGTTTTACCACGTTGGTGAACAAATACACTCGATAACCCCATGTAAGTTTAGAATATGTCCGCAGTTTCTGAAAACAAAGATAGCTTAGCTAACAAACCAAGAACAGATACTGGACAAAAATAGTTAGGGATATATGTAAATTTTGAAATTATGAATAACAATCTATTTATTCATTGACACACTGATAAAATATCAATCATAAAAATACCAATATCCCTAACTTATTTTGTCCAGTATATTTGGGGCCAGCTGGTATTTGAAACCAATGATTTAAGATTGCTGGTGGGCCAAAGGAATGTAACAAATGGTTGCAAACTATCAACAAAACCAGGCATATGGTCTTAATGCTGCAGTCAGAAATTTTCCCAAAATACTCTGACAGCCTGTAAATAACCGAATCTGGACCAGACAATAAACATGATAAAATGACTCAAAGCAAGAATTACAAGTTGCACATTTGGTCCATCATCACATGCAAACCACCAAACCTAGATCAATACAGACCTGTAGCTGATGCAGGTGCTCTGAGTCGCACATCTGGTGCACAGAGACAACTGAGTCTGACCAACTGATCCTCCAGGATGATGGGAATATGAACCTACATTATTTCTCAAAACAATATGTTTTAACAGAAATATCAAGCTTCACCACAAACACCTGACCTACACACAGGTGAAATGTCACCATTACAACATCATCAACAGATGTAGAAATATCTCCACAGTATGTTCTTAATGATGCAAGCAGCAATATTCCAACAATATTCTGTCAGCCTGTACATAAAAGACTCTGGACCATGTGGACCAGACAATCAAGTGACTGAAAGCAAGAACCACATTTCTCAAAAATAACTTCTAAACAGAAGTGACCGCCTCCATGGTGTAGTGGTTAGAGCGTCCGCCCGGAGAGCGGAAGGTCGCGGGTTCGATCCCCGACCAAGTCATACCAAAAGACGTTAAAATATGGTACTTGTTGGTCCCTGCCTGGCGCTTGGCATTAATGGGTACAACAAGGACTGGTCGACTCGGAGTCAGTATAATGTGTCAGAGTGGGGTATTCATGCTTCACTGCGGCATGGTATCTCAGTGGGCTAGCACTATAAATCCAGCTTAAGTCTTGGCTAGTACAGGCAGCCTCACATACACATACACACCCATGCACGTCGTCATATGAGCGAAATATTCTCAAGCACGACGTAAAACCCAATTTCACCTCACCTCTAAACAGAAGTATCACCAAAGCTACAGACAGGTGAGACATCACCATTAACATCATCAACACAAGCAGAAAATATCTCGACACCAGTCGACACATCAAATGGATACAACCATGACAACTAAACTTACAAGAATCATAACCAAAGTATAATCATAATAATATACCTGTTTTTTCCGCCTGTACATATTGTAGTTGGAGGTATGAATATTACTGATATAGGAATACATGGTGGGTCAGAGCATGTGGAAACCATGTGGTGCACGAACAACATCTGAATCAATGGGATCACCATCTGTGCTGCAGACAGTCATCGCCGAGATAGAGTTACAGTCATACCATACTGGGTCTACTTACTGCACAGGGTCCATTGCCACAAGGCAATCTTAGTGCTACAACTATCATAAAAATATCTTCGTATGTGATAGTTATGATTGTCGCATCCCTAAGATTGTTTTGAGCAAGTGGACCCAGGCCCAGTTTGATTAGGTCGTAGGACTGCACCTTTTGATCAATTACGCTCAATTTCAAGTCAAAACACACCTTATGAAACATTAATGAGTTTTCGACAATAGTGATCATGAATAATGAATTGAATTCATTAATGGATACTACTGTACGATTCACTAAATGTACAAGTGAATCGTAACAGCCCTCCTACGCAGTATTCAAAATCCATGCTTCTGCACTGGCCCGTAACCACTAAATTGTGCCGAGGACAGGTAAAATAGCCATTGAGTGATTAAGTGAGTATGTTTTACAAAACTTTCAGCAATATTTCAGCAGTATATCATGGCGGCGGACACCACAAATCAGTGTGATGAGCGAACGCTTTACCAACATGGCTACCCCACCCCCTTCAAAATATCCATTGAGGGACCCACAGAATGTTTAACTTTTCACAAAAGCTATGACAAAGACCACCTGACATTAGTGCTTAATATCGAACACCGTTGAAGGTATTCTTATATATTTGCAGTAAACAATACTTATAATGAACTGATGGATATAACAAACTGGTTTTTTTTTGTGTATAAGTCAAAATGAGTATAACAAACTATGGTTATAACTAGTGGTGGTTTCGATTAATTGAAATAATCGAAGATTGGTCGCAATGACTAAAGACCTAGCAATCGATCATGTTTTCTCATAATCGAACACAAACAATTTTGGAACACTTGTTTGCTTTAAGAATACTTTTCACAAGGTTGGTTTTGCCTGTGACATTAAATTTACATTTCATGAGCACTACCAGCCTGTTCCAAATCAGGATTGAATTTATCTTTAAGACTCCAGTAAATTTATGTTCCTAACATACGAGTCATCCTTTAAAGATGTAAAAATTGGCAAAGGCATTTTGTTCAATTTGCAAAAGATTTGAAAGAACTGCATGTTTTTTTCTTTATTTCTTTGTGCATTAACAAACATAACCAGGAAAATTTGATAAATGACGCTAACCAATTATTTTCGATGATTGATCGGTTGTAATGAACCAATCATCAATTAGCATGATTATGAGATTTTAACCAATTCCCAACACTAGTTATAACGAAAAAATTTAACGATCCCTTTAAGTTGGTTAGGACTGAAGTACACTGTGCACAAAATGCATGTACAAAATGTACAAAGGAGCCAGAAGGTGATGGTTAATGCTTATGTAGTTTCAGTCACAATTGCACCACTTTCGTGTAACTTAACCATGTTAACAGAACCCAACAGTGAGCTATGACTAGGATACTGTTGGCTTGTGGTTGAGTTACATTAAGTTTACATACAGTTGTTTGATTATAAAATGGTTTTGCAACTCCGTATCAAACCAAATCTGTTGCCATGCACTGAACATTGTCCTTATAAAAATGTAACTGATGGTTTTACAAATATAAAAAAGAAAAGATTCCAAAAGTAAACATTTTTATGTATTTTCGTGAAGGTTGTTCAACCAATGTAAAACATTTATTCAAGCCATTTACAATTTTAACATTTTTGCCTTATATATTGTCTAGCGTACTGCGATAATAAAAATAAGTTTTGTGATACCACCTCCGTGGCGTAGTGGTTAGAGCATCTGCCTGGAGAGCCGAAGGTTGATGGTTTGATCCCCCGCCGGTATTCATGCTTAACTGTGGCATGGTATCACAGTGAGCTAGCACTATATTACCAGCTTAAGTCTGGGCTAGTACAAGCAGACGCACATACACATGCATGCACATCGTCATATTAGCGAAATATTCTTAAGTGAGACTTATAAGACCCCATTTCACCTCACCTCACCCATGTTTTGTGCTCACATCTGCAGAGGAACATGTTTAATACGGTACTGCAAGTTCAGTTTGTCATAGCCTTGCTGATGCATACTGTTTGTATTTTGAAATTGTCAAACAAAATCAATAACAAAATTTATAATGTGACATACCACATGTACATCAACCAGAAAATGGTAATAGCATGGACAGAACCTAGCACCAGCCTGCTAGCTGGTAGGACTGAACGATATTACCGGTATATCAGAATACGTCTTTCAAACGCCTTGCAATCTATTTTCTCACAGGGGCGGTGGGGTAGCCTAGTGGTTAATGCGTTCGCTCGTCACCCCGAAAAATCGCGGGTTTAATTCCCCATATGGGTAAAATGTGTGAAGCCCATTTCTGGTGTCCCATGCCGTGATATTGCTGGAATATTGCTAAAAGTGACGTAAAACCAAACTCACTCACTCACTCACTATTTTCTCACAACAGGTATATTGGTAATAAAAATGTATGAAGATTTGTGATTATCTCTATAGTTTTAGTTAAAATGTACACAGGCTATCATTCACACTGAAGTTTTCCATTGTATTTCATTGACAAAACAGCATACTTTACATACAATGCATTTTATAAAAATGAAAATACAATCCCTCAAAATCAAATCTAAATTCGAGATTTCTGTTGTGACAACCATTTATTTGGGGGGCTTTAGTATGAAGAAAATAGGCTCTGCATGTACAATCAATTTCACTAACTGAAGATGCCAATACATTGCAATATGTATCAGAATACGGGTTGCAGAATCCTATATATTGCTATATAACTTATTTGCCAATACACAGCCCTGCCAGCAGACATCAGTTCCTTTGCTTCTGCGAAACGTTTTAACATAATTAAGGGCCAGTAGAATTTATAAACATTTATAGTGGTGTTTATATTATCAAAATTTAGGTTAATTTCCATCTCTGTAATAAGATTCTATTGTAGCATATACACAGGTTGCTAAGGTGATAAACAAAATGAATTTGTTGAACAGATCAATTCTGGCTTCACCTCTGAAAATGATAAAGCACAGTGACCATTGTTAATTGTCCCACCTGCACATACCTGACATATCATTAACTCACAGAGTAGAATGTGTACATATTTATGTCACATTTCTTAACTAAGATTAGTCTTTTTAATTTATTATCATGACATATGTATATGATGATGAAGATGTCCAGGGAATTTAGTGGGGATCCATATCCTTCAACCTACTGGAACTGAACATCATTTCTTTGAGTAACATTTTACAAGTTGGTAAGTACAATATTGACGAAATTGAATGATAATAGTTTTGATAGATTCTTGTATCATTGTCAAACAGGAAACGTTGCACTCACGAAACAAGAAGAGAAGTTTGTTATCCATAAGGTTGTCAATACTGAATATCATTGTGAGCATGGGCAACAATCTTCAGATATTTTCAGAGCTTGAAATTTAGCATGATAGCCAAGGAATCTTTGTCATACATTATTTTCTTAATCTCACGACAGTATGAGGTTCTGTTGATTCATTGGCATGAAAGGAGCAGACATGAACCACTGTACACTGAACACTGTACAGTATTTAAAATTGGATATTTCTTCATTTTTCACAGTCACACCTTATAATGTTTATGGTGCAGAGGCCCAGGTAAGCTGCGTATCCGGGTAAAATATGCATAGAAATTTTCCAATTACGCATTGAAAAATAATTGTTGCGTACCAATTACGCATTTAAAATGTTAGATTTGCAAAAAGTTTAAAACAAATGCGTACAGAATATATTTATAAAAATCACTTGCGTATGAAAAAGACATCGATTGGTATCTAGTTGTATTGTTAGTATAGGATCAATGATTTTTTATGAAATCATTTCCATTATATTTAAGTTGGTTTTGATTAGGTATGACATAAGGCAGAACATACCTGCTTAGTAATCTTACTCAATGACATAATACTTAGGTCAGTAAAATGACTGAAATACACACATATTTGAAAGCAGTGGGTAACGGAAAATGAAATACCCACTCAACATTTATAATACCCACTCCAAAATAATACAGTGGGTACAGTACCCACATGAGCTAAATCTATCTGGAGCTCTGATGGTGATCATGGTTAGGGGTGAAACAGTACACAGTAATATTAGTGGAACCGCAGTATTTTGCTTTTTGTTCGGCATACCGTAATGCAATCCAAGAATTCGGTATTTTAGGTTTTCAGTCATAAAATGACAGCTTTGTTCATTCAAAATAACAAAGTTTATGGTTGTATTTTTCCATGTTATTTAACAATGTACGGTTCGACTCTTGTCAGTTTTCTGTATTATGATCATATCTCATATACTGATGCAAAATGGACCGAACTGAAGGCCTTGTACCACAATACGTAGTGTACCGTGGTAAGAGCATACTGTTTCACCACTAGTTTGTCATGGTTTTATTTATTTATAACTATTCTACTTCCAGAAGATGCATAACCATATTTGCTTTTGGAATAAGAAGATTATGGCCCTTACTGTGTACTCTAAATAGTTGTGCACTTAAGGTAATTTGTCAATGTCACTTAAGGTTTTAAAATTGATCTCATCCTGTTCAGTGCAAATCAGCCTTGTGCCTTAAGCTGGCATGAGCCTGGCAACCCCCATGGCACACGCAGTTGTATTTCAACAATTTCTGCGAAGTGAAATTTAATAGCTTGGTTTAAATATATCATTGATATGAACTGAGATAATTTCATAATGTCAGAGTGCCATTGTACATAGCAATCTTAGTGTTAAGGTGACCCTAACTCCCATACTTTAACATAGACTTACGACAGTTGTAGCTCTGAGGTTGTTTTGTGCAAACGCACCCTGGTTCCTAACTCAACTGTGATAACATATATGCACATTTGACTCAATCCTGTATAATCTTATTCCATGGCGAGAGATAACACACAGAACAGTTAGCTTATATCTCGACACGTTGGCTTAATGTTTGATGAAAGCATAAAGTGATGCATGTCTCAGAAAAATCAACAGGCTGCTGGTGCAATTGATAAATTTTAGGACAAGAGCCAAGTTGAGCCTTTCATTGAGACATGTCTCATCTGTATATTGAGTAACAAATATGCTTAAGAAGTTTAGTTTTCATTCCACATCAATGCAACAACATATTTAATTTTATACAATATAAAAATGGGACAAAATATCTCATTCGTACCTTTATTAACTACATGACAATGCATAGAAAAGTCGAAATATATATTCCCCATATAATTAAAACTACAGAAAGCATGTGACTATGGTGGTACTTCTATATAGAAGCGATTATCATGGTGATGGCAGATCGGAACATGAATATCAACATGGCCGGATGCAGGTAATATTCTTGTTTTGATACGACTGAAACATCGTTATTGCTTCAAATGTGTCAGAGACATGCATCACTACATATCATAATGTAACATTATCAGGGTATCACTCAAATATATTATATCCCATTTAACAAGCCACAGCAACAGCTGACACTTCCGCCTTCTTATTGCCAGGCCGGCTTAGCCAACCCCAGTTCCTGTGTGTGTTCTTGCGTTATTTACCTTTAACGTTCCCGTCACGGCATTCCTCAGAGGCAACTGAGCTACCGTTTGCTCAATCTTATTCTTCAAATTTTTAAACATCTCGCTTCTACGCGAGTAAAGACATAAATATGGCAGTTATTGGCCAACTTCGTGATTATTCGGACTGAGATGTCTGCTAAAACCAAGCAGAAGCCACTGCGCCTGCCCGACACGTCTTCCGGGTTTTTGACAAAAGACGGACGGGAAAAAAAGGACGGACAATATATAGAAATGTTGGAATTGATCTAGTAAATGAAACCGTGTTCAACTGAATGTTTACGCCGAGTCCTTGTTATTTAGTCATCATGGAAAACTACCGATATATACAAATATGGCGTAGTAAGCAAGTTAACACTGTAATGAACTGTACACAGGAATGCACGTTACGAATTCACGTGATCAAGGCATTGTAGAGACGCTTCAATGTGTTAAATACTACCTGTATCGGATATTTATGAGGCGCTTCGCTTAATTCTTAAGCGCTAAAAATTATCAAACATGAAAAGTAATATCATATTTGTCACAGTCGCTAACAAATTATGCTTAATCATATGAGAGTGAGAGAGAGAGAGAGAGAGAGAGAGAGAGAGAGAGAGAGAGAGAGAGAGAGAGAGAGAGAGAGAGAGAGAGAGAGAGAGAGAGAGAGAGACATCGAAAAATAATGAAATTTGTAAGTAGATTTTAAAATGTATCTGCATTCTAGGCATATAAACATGCAGCTACACAATCATGAACTGAATGCTTGTTTACAACACTCGGCAAGATAGATTAATTCAGTTCATGATTGACGAGGGTCAGTCTGACAGTGACCGGTTAGATGAACATGTATCCTCGAGTGTTCCCCCCTCCCCCCAAAAAACAAAACAATAACAAAAACAAGCAAAAAAACAAAAACAAACAAACCAAAAAAACAAACCAAACAAAAAACAAAAAAACAAACCCGGTGGAGCATTTAATCTTAATCATAAATTAAAACAAAATTTATAAAAATGTCATGTTTTAAACATACTTTTAAGAACCTAAGGAAACGGACCATGCAATATCTCATTGTCGGCGTAATTCGATCAAACAAGATGTTCTTAAAAGCAGTGTGATCATTGCACGTTCGAGTCACTGAAATATATACATAGACCTTTGCCGTTTTGCTTTGCATCATCCCGTTACGAGGTGAATTTACTACCGGAATATGTAGATATGAATCATGCTGTAACATTCCAGAATATGGGATTTAAAGGGAAACAACTCTTCAAGATTTGAGTCTTCACGTACTCGCCAGCTGTTGTGAATCGACTAGACTAACGCTTAGTCTCTGAATATATATAATTTTGATTGTAACAAATAAACCCATTTTAATTGAAAAGGAGCCCCAGTGAGTTGGGACATTCAGCCCTAAAAAAATTCCAGACTTGCTTCATTTAGGGCTTTAGCATTGTGCAGAAATGGCTGGGCGGAAGGGGCAAGAATGTGGTTCAGGGAGTGTGATACATACTACGAATCGATTTGCTGGACTCACTAAAAGTGACTAGATACTGGGCTACCATCTGTGAGAACCGCCGTAATAAAATATAAGGCAATATATATACATCTAACATGATTGGTTACCCTTGACCTGTGAAGGTTTTGATATTTCAAAGGGCGTAATTAAGCTGATAATTTTTTTCCACCTTAGAAACGGAAGATCACCGGATGCCGCTTTTAACAATATCCCTTAAAACATTTAAATACCCCCGCGATGAAAGTATATTGGTATTTCTGAAAGTGTATGCGATGACTGAGATTGATATAAGTGCCATTTGTGCGTTCATATGACCTGAGATATAATCGTGTCACATGACAATGTCATGTCAATCGACATAAAATATATAAACACATTTGAGGCCGTAAATAAAACCGCATTTTGCTATAAGAGAATGCTGGAATGAGGTTACTAGAAGTTTTTGAAGAATATTAAATGAGCTGCGCGTCTTGATATTACTCAACATTTTTACCCGCGGAAAGATTTTTCTATATAAACTAACGGGTAAAAGAAACGATACCAGGTCGAAATCATTGATATTACAAAACGACAACCCACCATTGTGAAAAAGGAAAGTGAATTTTAATAACACGTGTACAGGCAACATGCATACTTGGTATCGTTTCTTTTGCCTATTAGTTTATTATTGATTGAATCCTGTTTCGTTTGCAAAATAATGTTAGTGTTTGTTTTGTTTATTTGTTTGTTAATTATATAACGCTGCACTCATCAATATTCAAGCTGTATGGCTGTGGTCAGTAAATAATCGAGACAATCCAGAGATCAACACCATGAACATCGATCGTGTCTGGTTCCATTATTGAGCTGATTCGATTATTTATGGAACTCTGTCATTAAGCTAGAATATCGACGAGAACAGCGCTAAACAATAAACACACTCAGTTATATGACAGTGGTCTGTAAATAATCCAGTCTGGACCAGACAATCCAGTGATTGACAGCATGAATAACGATCTATGCAATTGGGAACCGATGACATGTGTCAACCAAGTCAGCGAGCCTGACCACCCGATCCCGTTATATTAGTCGCCTCTTACGACAAGCATGGGTTACTGGAGACCTGGGCCTAGATTTTCGAAGCTCTCTTAGCGCTAAGATCGTCGTAAGTTAATGTTAATGTATGGCACTTATGACTATCTTTGCGCTAAGAGAGCTTCGAAAATCTAGGCCCAGTTCTAAAACGGACCTTGACGGGTTTAAGTTTAGTTCAATATTCATTGTCAAAGATTTGCCTTATTTATCCATTGCAGTCCCCGTCGTTAATATATCTATGACTAACTGGATTTTAGACTTAGAGATGGATTCCATATATGGGAACTGATTTTTGGGATCATCTTAAGCTTTTATTCACACGTAATACATTACTCAACGCTTTTTATGATCATATCTCTTTCGCCTAGGTATGTATGTACACTCGACGTGTATCACGAAAAGATAAAATATTCTTATCGAAAGTGGAACAGTACAACAATCTGACCTTTACTCTGATATAACAACTTACAAGTAACAGTATTACGAAGTGCTTGTTGATTCTTATCAGTGAAGTACAATCTTGTACACAGGCAACACACAGCTTGATTGCACTGTAAACATGTGGCTCGGTGCCGTCTTGTTTGGCCTTCTTCTGAATGTTTTCCGAACTGAAGGGTCACCCGTACAGAGTTGTCAGTACGGCATTCAGTTCTTCCACGTAGGGCAACATTTCATGAAGAACGAATGTGAACCCTGCGTGTGTGACGTCAATCTGGGCATCTCCTGCGTCGCTATTATGTGTCAGAACAGCGCATGCGTGGACGCTTTCCGGGAGTCCGGAGAGTGTTGTACTGTCTGTCCAAATGGTGAGTTGGTTTTAATATTGTTTTGTTAACATATGTCATGCTTGAAGCGACTAACGCGATCGGGTGGTCGGGCCTGCTATCTTGGGTGATGCAAGGCATCGAATCCAAATCGAGGATTGACGATCATGATTTCAATCATCGGATCGTCTGGTTTAATCCAGACTAGATTAAATACACTTGGTTGGTTTGTTGTTTAACGCCGCACTCAGCAATATTCCAGCTATATGGCGGCGTTCTGAAAATAATCAGTTCTGAACCAGACAATCCAGTGATCAACAGCATGAACATCGTTCTACACAACTGGGATACGATGACATGTGTCAACCAAGTCAGCGAGTGTGACCACCCGATCCCGTTTGTTGCCGCTTACGACAAGCATGGGTTACTGAAGACCAATTCTAACCCGGACCTTCTCGGGTCAGATTAAATACAGACCGCAGTTATAGCTGTAGAATGTTGAGTGCATCCCCACTAAATAATAAAAAGAAATCGCCCAAACTGTAGATGTGAAATGTTCAAGCAATGAAACTTATATTCTGTGTGGGTGAAAATGCAGAAAAAACGACCCCTTTGATTGCAAAACTTCGATTGTACTTTCCAATGCACAATCCTGTAACAATGAGAATATTACGTTTTGGGAAACTATACAAATATGTCTTTAAATTTGTATACCGAATTACAGTTTTTGTTCTAATATATTCATTTAACATTGAACTGTCCTGTCATAACCACAGAAACTGTTATTATCATCACATTGCATTTGTTATGTTTGTTTTACGCCACTAAAATAGTGCAACAATATCACGGCGAGAGACACCAGCAATGTATTTCACATATTGTATCCATGTGGGACTCGAACCCGGGTCTTCGGCGTGACGAGCGAACACTTTAACCACTGGGCTACTACACCACCTCATTTGTTATGGAAGTTACATGTGACGGTGTTGTTTTTTAAAGTTTGTGACTGATTAGCAGAGGTCATGTTCCAAAACAAAGGGTTCACAAAAACAATACTTCACTTTGGGCAAAGTTATTAATTTTATACAAAATGCATCCCTATAACGTGTTTGGTTGTGACATGTATTTGGTACACATAATAAATCTGCCACAACTGAAGACTAGTTTTGGAATTGTATGATACTAAGCCAAAACATAAGTCTTTCACAACGTTGCCACTCGACCCTCTTCCTAAAGTCCCATTTTCTGATGAGAGTGATCTCCCTTAGAGCAAGTACATCACGTTCATATTTTCGTTTTCTAAAGCATACTTACCGCTGTTGTAGTTTTTCAAGTCAACAGTTCTTTAATGTGTATCTTGTGTTTGTGAGTAAACAAATAATTTTGACTATGTGAGGATTAAATTGATAAATACATATGAATATGAACACACAAATGTCTTTCCCGGGTTGGAGTGAGTGAGTTAAGAATTACAGTCACATCGGCAATATTTCAGCCATATGGTAACTAAAACCAGTTTTAAATTCACCATAAATACATGTAAATTATAATACCTGTCAACGAAGCACAGTAAAACAAACTAGAATATATCACAGTATCAAGAAATAAAACTAGCATCTCTCTCTAATTTTCATTTCAAATTAAGACAATACAGTATAAAAATTGGCAATAAATCGCCAACAACAGAAGGTAGATCATCATACTAAGGACCATGGGGACTTACAGTACCTTTGCTAACTGCATGGACCCTAGTTGGGTTTACATCATCCCGGGTGGGACATACGATAATTGACAACATGAATTGAAACATCATGTTAAAGAAGTGAATTACCCTGATAATATATCTCTCTTGTTAAAAATACA